CAAAACGCGCAATACATTGTACGGATCCATATGTGCAGGAGTAAATTCTACTCGAATTGATTTATTCATCCCATCATCATTCTTCTCCGGGAAAAAAAAAAATATTAAAAATAAAAAGGCTGAATATTTTCTGAGACAGGTTTATGGCTTTTCCCGCTAGGAGTTGGCATTTATGACCATTAGCAATCCTCAGAATGTCTTCAACTGTACGGAGTATTCAGCCAAAAATCTGAGATTTCTATCGGATATTTTAGATAGCCTCTTTCCCCCTCATGCCGTGTCCCTTTTCGGCCCAAGAGGCTCAAACAAGACCATTTAAATATTGAACCTGCCAATGGTGATTTACATCCTTAGCACACTTTAGGTCAGTGTGCCTGAATTGGATCCAACTCCGCATAGTCTCAAGCGCTGAGATCAGCCATAGCAGCCATCACATCAGGAGGGCTGAGTTACGAATTTGGCCCACGCAGCCGGGAGAAATAGATAGGGCGTAGCTGGATTCTAGAAGAAACGAGGACGAAGGTACACTCAAGATTCGTTGTAGTTGGCGACAAGCAGAACTCAAGATCTTGGATAACGCTTCGGCCCTTGCCTAGTAGAGATGATTAGTACAAGGAGGCTACCATATTAGGTTTGATAATAGATCTTTAGTTCATATCATACTCCGTATTTTATAACAACCATATACGACCGTGCTTTTGTCAACAAGAGTGGGTGATGAGGATGATATGGCGGCTAAGGATACTAAACATTGAATTAGCATTTTAACCTTTCACAAGCACACTTTCCTCAAACGGGATGTGGCGATCATTCTAGAAGTAACATGGTTCATGTTTATTGATGCGGAGAATCCCTCCCTCTATTTGCATACTGTGTAATATTCTTGGCTAAGGGGTCTACTCTATATAAACAAGGGCAATATCCCCTTGCCAACTGGGCTCAATTGAAGCGGGAAGCGGGAAGAGAGGAAGAAGATTTGAATACGTACTTGTCCTCTTTCTTTTATTCTTCATTTACGGCTCTTTTCAGTCTGGAATCTAGTTTGGTATCATCACGCCATAGATGAAGCGAACTCAAGATGGTGGCATCATCGGTGGTATTACTCCGTAGAATCGGGTTGGCGCTTCATGCTCGTATTCACCCTGCCTTTTCTCTCTTCAAGGTGGACCTCGAGTTGTGCCTTGTGCCTATTTGGTCGAATTGAACAGGCATTGGATCTGTTGGATATCTTGTGATCTCGTGATGAAACTCTAATCATGGGTAGAATCTCACGGTGATCAATGCGTCCGAGAATGTACGGAATTGTTATCCTCACTCTAGCCACAGCAGGTGCATTATGCGTACATTATACTCCGTATGCAATGCGAAATGACACAGGAAAGTTGATGAAACCGTTGAACCGAAGCTGCATTGATCAGTCTGTGCAAGGTCAAGAATGATGATAGATGATACCTAGGTATGCACAGATGTGCGGAGTATTATATTGAAGAAAAAAAGTTGGGAAGGGTTTTTCCAAATTCATCTGCTTCTGCCATAATGTCTTCCAAATAATAGACATACTAGGTACTCCGTACATACAAGTACGCAGTTAGATACACCGTGCATACACCAAGGTATCATTTTGGATCCCCTTGGCAACTTCCTTAAAGTAAACAAGTACTGTGTATATTTTTAGGAATTCTTTATTGATGAATTATTGATTATCGACCAATCATCATCCTTCGAATTGTCCCGAGCAGATATCACAAGCCAAATTTCTTCCGCATCGTATTTCTAACAGCGATTTTTGCTGCATTCCAAAGCGCGCTCTCTCTCTATTCGCCTAAGGCTAGCAAATAACGTTACAGCCATCTATTTTTCATCCTCCCTTCCATCGTAGATCCCTCAACCTTTCATAAACTACTACCTAGTATTTTGGAGATCAGGAGAAAATCATTCGTTTTTTAACTTCAGCATCCTCAATATCATTCACCGGTATAATGAAAACTTTTTAATATCCCCAAAATACTTCATCACTCGTTTAAAGAAGGAAGGATCTGAAGGCGAATATTGTTCGTATTATTAGATAGTGCGAAATAGACTCTTGCCAAAAATATCTACCTACCTGCCTACTCAATCCAAACACGCGCTTCTCCCTTGCGCCATCAAGAATTCTTGACATCTTCATTCCGATACACATTTGGTTTTGGGATATTCCAGACCAGGGCTCGTCTCTTGTATTCCATACCTACTGTACATGTTTTATCCACTCGATTAAATCGCTTTACCGGTACCTGCCTCCATTCGTTACTTTCAAGGAAATATCGGTACATGGACTTCTATACCGGCGCCACTTTGTTTTGACTTGGTCGACCAAGGAACCACTCACACCATTAAACAAGGATAATATTACAATCCCTCGACTCCGCACAAAACAAAACAACTTTGACCACTGTTTGACCGCTATCAATGTATGCTTCCCCATATTCCTCATGCTCTTTCAAGTTATGACTGCCCCTCACATTCACTTTGATTGAAAGCTGCTCTGCCGAAAAAGCATTGTTGTCGGGCATCTAATTTCTCCCGGGGGAATTTGATTACCGCTGCTTCATCCTTCTAACCGCTCCCATCAGTGACGGAGACGCCGAAGTGATTGTAGTTGGAGATATCCATTGGAATCTCACAATTGATTCATTGATCACATTTATTAATTATAATGGAATAGAATCATGTCTCCTCCGAGGCGGCCTGATAATAGTGAGTCAAATAGATCTCAACATTATCGAAGTCATTCGCGGCGCGCACAAGTTCAAGATGAAGAAACTGTCTATTACACCCTACCAGCAGCTTCACCTACACATGAAAGTCGACCTTCAAAATCTTCCTTCTCTGATACAGCATCGTCGCCACTCACTCCAACGATGTCTCGTGATCCTATTTCGCCAACGCGAACCACAGCACCAGCGACTGGGGTGTCGAGAAAACGAAGTCTCATCCGCCCGGAACGTAATAGAATTGATGAAAACCACCCCAATTACCATTACCGTCAGCATGCCGCCAACATGGATACTCAGCCCTCAACGACTGGCAACGATCCAATAATGGAAGATATAGAGGCAGATGCTGCAAATACCGAGACATCGGGCCTGCGAACATCAGGAGAAGCGGAATCCGATATTACACCTCCCGTAAAACGACCTAGACGCGGCCACGGAGCTGGACCAGAAGACCTTGCCTCGAACGAAAAGGCCGGGTATGCTTCAGAGTCTCGAGGGGGAAACAAGCTGAAGAGAGAGAGGGTGCAGAAGATGTCCAAAGAAGAGAAAGAAAGGCAGAAGGCTCTCGATACTGTGAAACCACCTAGTCTGTGGAATGTTTATTGCGCCATTGTAACTTTCTGGTGTCCAGGTTTTGTTCTGAAGTGTTTTGGTTTTCGGTCCAAGGCACAGCAAAGAGCCTGGAGAGAAAAGATGGGTTTGATCAGCATAATTCTCTCCATCATGGCATTTGTGGGGTTCTTGACATTTGGATTTACGGCAACAGTATGTGGTACTGGCGGAGGTCTGCGATTACAAGTCAACCACGTCGATTCCGGATACATGATCTTCCACGGTCGCGCATATGATCTCTCTAAATCACACCATCCTGCTGCAACAGGCATTACATCTGGTGCGAATGTTTTATATGATCTGCCTCAAAAATATGGGGGTATGGACGGAAGCTTCTTATTCCAGAATGTCAATGGCAAATGTAAAGGCCTGATTACTTTGGCTGATGGATCGGACGTTCCAACCAATTCTGACAAGGATCTTGCGTGGTACTTTCCTTGTCATGCTTTCAACCAAGATGGCTCAAGCTCCCCAAATGAGACCGTTGGTGCTTATTTTGGATACGCATGCCATTTACAAGCAGAGGCACGCTCATCATTTTACAAACTCAATAGCGCTGGAGATGTCTATTTTACTTGGGGCGATATCAAGAATTCTTCGAGAAACCTCATGGTATACTCTGGCAACGTGCTTGATCTGGACCTCCTGAAATGGTTCAACACCACTCAAGTCACTGTTCCATCTAGGTTTACTGCCCTCGCCGACACTACAACCGCCGCCAACGAAGCCGTACGCGGTAGGGATGTTACACACGCATTCCAATCATCAGAGGACAAGAGAATTGCGCAATGTTTCGAGCAGATTATCAAAGTTGGAAGTGTTGATACCGAGACTGTTGGATGTATCGCTTCCAAAGTAGTCCTTTATGTATCCTTGGCATTCATTCTTGCCATCGTCCTGACAAAATTCGTGTTAGCTTTGATATTCCAATGGTTCATTGCTTCCAAATACGCTGCTTCAAAAACTTCTCAGTCATCCGACCCTAAGAAGCGCCAACAACAGATTGAGGAGTGGTCCGATGATATTTACCGGGCGCCTGTAAGAATGGCCGGTGATATTGGTAGCTCCGCTCCCGGATCAGGATCTGAAAGGCCAAGCAAACGAGCCAGTGTGTTTTTGCCAACGACTTCTCGATTCTCAAATCCTTATGCTGCTGCTGACCGATCATCTCGCGTTGGACGCCCTCAGCCTACAACCATGGCTAGTCAAAACTCTACAGCTCAGTTAATTCCTCCGAACCCCATGTTCCGAAATCAGAACAGTAGCCGAAACAGCCTTTTGCGAACAGATGGTGCAAATGACTACGATGGTCCTAACCCTGCAAGCTTCGTCCACGAGCTAGTAGTTCCTCAACCACCAAAGGAGTGGGAACCATACGGATTCCCTTTGGCTCACGCGATCCTTCTAGTGACCGCCTACTCGGAAGGTGAACTTGGTATTCGTTCGACTCTCGACTCTCTCGCTACAACTGATTATCCAAATAGTCATAAAACTATCCTAGTTATTTGTGATGGTATCATCAAGGGTGAAGGCGAACCAAGGTCAACGCCTGATGTTGTTCTTGGTATGATGAAAGAATTTGTAACTCCTGTTGAAGAAGTCCCGGCTTTCTCTTATGTAGCAGTGGAAAGAGGATCCAAAAGACATAACATGGCCAAGGTCTATGCTGGATTCTACGACTATGGTGCTGATTCTACCATCAATGCCAACAGACAAATCCGAGTTCCAATGGTGTGTATCGTCAAGTGTGGTACTCCTGATGAGGCTACACATCGCAAACCTGGAAACCGAGGCAAGCGTGACAGTCAAATTATCTTGATGTCTTTCTTACAGAAAGTCATGTTCGATGAACGTATGACTGAACTTGAGTTTGAAATCTTTAATGGATTCTATCAAATTACTGGTATATTTCCGGATATGTATGAAGTTATTCTCATGGTTGACGCAGACACAAAGGTGTTTCCCGATAGTTTGACACACATGGTATCAGCAATGGTAAAAGATCCTGAGATCATGGGACTTTGCGGCGAGACAAAGATTGCGAACAAACGTGCCAGTTTCACAACCGCCATTCAAGTGTTCGAATACTTCATTTCGCATCACTCTGTGAAATCCTTTGAGTCCATCTTTGGTGGCGTTACTTGTCTTCCAGGTTGTTTCTCCATGTACAGAATTAAGGCTCCAAAGGGTGGCAACTATTGGGTACCTATCTTGGCCAATCCTGATGTCGTCGAACATTACTCCGATAACGTGGTGGATACTTTACACAAGAAGAATTTGTTGCTTTTGGGAGAGGATCGATACCTTTCAACGCTCATGCTTCGAACTTTCCCCAAGCGTAAACAAGTATTCGTCCCACAAGCTGTTTGCAAAACTCAAGTACCAGACTCCCTCTGGGTTCTCATGTCACAAAGGCGTAGATGGATTAACAGTACTGTCCACAATCTGATGGAATTGGTTTTGGTTAGAGATCTTTGCGGTACCTTCTGCTTCAGTATGCAATTTGTCGTCTTTATCGATCTTGTCAGTACCTTGGTTCTTCCGGCCGCTATAGCCTTCACAATCTACGTCGGTAAGTAAACGATTCTTTTTTTGACATTGTAACATTTGACTAATTCATTCTAGTAATTATTTCAATTATTCGTCGCCCTGTCCAAGTCATTCCGCTCGTACTTTTAGCTTTGATTCTTGGTTTGCCGGCAGTTTTGATTGTTATAACTGCTCATCGTTGGGTCTACGTTCTTTGGATGATGATCTATCTCGTCTCCTTACCCATTTGGAATTTCTTATTACCAACATACGCCTTTTGGAAATTCGATGATTTCTCATGGGGAGATACTCGTAAGACTGCGGGTGAAAAGACTAAGAAAGCTGGAATTGAATACGAGGGAGAATTCGATAGTTCAAAGATTACTATGAAGCGATGGAAAGAGTTTGAGAAGGAGAGGATATTAAGGAGTAATTCAAGTTGGATTAACTCAAATACCTCTGTGAACAAGGAGAACCATCGTTGGCAGCAACATCAATACGATGATTATGCCGATAGTTAAGGGGTTGGATAATGATATCCGGGTTGGAAGATACTGACTTCGATTAGACTTGCTCATTACTTGTTGAGCGCACATAATGCATTGCGTGGTTAGGAAACGGGATTAAAATCCTCCATTCGCCAAGTTTTGGGGGCGAACAGTATAGTCTAATGATGGCGTAACTCTGTTTTGTAGTCTTAGTACCCTGGTTTTTGGTACTTTGCATTTTCTATTAATTGATGGTGCACGCACGTATACACATTCATGAAGTACTTGGTTGATTGGTTTATGGCATTTATACTGGTGTGGAGTGGAATGAATGGAGTGAGATGGAGTAGAAATTAATTATGTTATATTAATTATGTTATTATTATCTTGTGATGTAATGTAATGTAATGTTTTATCAATGGACCGGACCGTCTTTTATATATGATCAGTGATGCGGTTTAGTTGTTTTTATGATGTATATATGTTTATTCGTGTTTATATTCGCGAAGTGTGTAGAGAAGATAGTATATCAATATAAGATAATAAACTAAATAATCTCAGAGATGATGGATATAACTATAATCTATTTATTTACTTATTTTAACACTTATGATTAATAGTTCAAGATATGAAAATCACACGTAATACTCAAAACAACAATAATAAAAGGAACAAGTAAGCAATAGAAAATCACCAACAAAAGCACTGCTCACTATAAAGAGACAACATCAACAAATAAAAAAACAACAAATATAGCGTGAGCCAGGACTAAACCCTTTCAATATCTATCTATATGTGTGTGTATATATATATAATTATGTATAGTAGTTACTTTCTCTACGCAGCGCAATACAAAAAATGCAACCAGCAACACCACCAACCCAAAGCTCTACAGGCCACAAGCCCCGAAAAAAAAAAAGAAAATGATAAAGGAAAAATAAGTGTAAATCCTCAGTCCTCAATCCTAGTAATCTACCGAGTCGTACGTAAAATGCCGTTTTTTCGGATCCGCTCGCTCATGCTATGCCTCATATGATATGATATGATGATATGATGTAAACAAGGAAAAAATTGTATGAGTAATCTTGTGTTGTCATGCATGTAATATTTTACTTTTCTCTAGCCGATATATCTAGAAAAGTTGGATGGAACCCCAATGTTGTTCGGCACCGAAGGCACCAGGTGCCTTCCAGTAATCGTCAGTGTAACTGAAGATTGTGGTGCGTCCACCGCACAATTCGACGATGCTTGCAATGGCGATGCTCTGCTCGGAGACACCTGGGCAGGCGAGTCCGTTACAGCTTCCGGCGGAGGGCCATCCACACTCGAGGTTAACTGCGGATTTTCCAGGGCACATGCTCTCAGCGAGCTCGAGTTGAGAGAGAGCGAATTTACCGGCATTCTCGGCAGTGGTTTGGGCGTTGAAGAATGGGTGGAGATTGGCACCAGTAATATCAACGACTGCGCAAAGAGTGCTGGTGTATTCTTGCCAGATGTTGAGGGGTTCGGTGGTGGTGACTTGTCCGGTGTATCCAGAGCTCTTGAAGGATGAGCTGGAGGAGCTGATGAATCCAGCAAGTTCGGTAGCACTTGCGTAACCGTTGAAGACAGCTTCGTTACCAACAACGATGAGCTCAACGAGAGACCATTGTCCCCAAGCAATAAGGTCAGTAACTTGACTAGCAGCTCCGGAAACTCCAGTTTCGCTAATGAAGATACCAATAATCAACTTAAGACCAGCAGTTTTAGCTGCACCACCAATGTTTTCGAGTCCTGAGCAATCAGTGCTGTACATACGAATGGCTTTGAAACCCTTGGAAGCAATGAGAGCTACATCAGTAGCAACTTCTTCGGCAGTCTTGCAACCACCTGAATTTTGGTATGGAGAGTAAGTCATGGCCCATTGATTGCCACTGGTTCCTACGCTACCACCGTTACCGGAAGAGGAGGAAGAAGAAGCAGATGGAGATGCGACGGAAGATGCGACGGAAGATGCAACAACAGGAACAGCGCTTGAGGATGGTGCGACTGGGACTGCAACAGAAGTGGAAACTGGAGCTGGGGCTGTGGTGGCTTGGGCATATGTGCTTGCTGGTAATGTTGCATCGACAATTGTGTAAGCTGAAGAGGAGTATGGGCAGAAAACAACAACGTTAGTCTCAGTGATGGTGGTAACAACTTCAGGTTGAGTGTATGTTCCTGGAGCAAAGGAAGCAGGAGTTGGGTAGACCCATACAGCGGGTTCAGTAACGGTAGTGGTCAATGGGTTGATTGTGTATGTTCCTGCGGCTGGGCAAACATAGGTAGTTGTCAAAATAGTGCTTGTAACAACACCATCTGTAGTTGTGATGGCAGCGTATGGGCATACGATTGTTGTCTCTGTAGTTACAACAGTAGTGACACCTCCTACAGTGTAGGTTCCTGGAGATGGAAGAGCAGTTGAAGTAGCTCCACAGACAGTGGTGGACTCAGTCAAAGTAACGGTTGTCGCAGGGATGGTGTAGACACCTGGAGTTGCGGCGGTGGTTGCGAAAGGAGTTGGGACAGCGGGTGTTGCACTTGTGGCTGGAAGGTTGGGGGCAGTTGAAACTCCTTGGGATGCTCCTGGGGCAGATGATCCTGGAGTTGAGTTTCCTGGAGTTGATCCTGCTGGGCTAGATGGGACTGAACCTGCTGGAGGAGAACCTGCTGATCCTGATGGGGATGAGCCTGCTGGAGGAGAACCTGCTGATCCTGATGGGGATGAGCCTGCTGGAGGAGAACCTGCTGAACCTGCTGGGCCGGATGGGACTGAGCTAGATGGAGGAGAGCCTGCTGAACCTGCTGGGCCAGATGGGACTGAACCTGCTGGGCCGGATGGGACTGAGCCTGCTGGGGGAGAACCTGCTGAACCTGCTGGGCCGGATGGGACTGAGCCAGATGGAGGAGAGCCTGCTGAACCTGCTGGGCCGGATGGGACTGAGCCAGATGGAGGAGAGCCTGCTGAACCTGCTGGGCCGGATGGGCTTGAACCAGATGGAGGAGAGCCTGCTGAACCTGCTGGACCAGATGGGACTGAACCAGCTGGAACTGAAGTGGTTAGAACGCCAGTGCTAGTGACAGTCTTAGTAGAAGTGCTGTAGACGGTAGAAAGGCTGGAGGTAGTTAAAACAGTGGTGGTTCCTCCATTAGTTTGAGTCATGGTAACAGGGCAAACTGTTGTGTATTGATCGACAACAACCGTTGTGTAAACAGTGGATGATGCTGATTGGCTACAGGCAGTTGGAGTGACAAGGGATCCATTGCTATCATATGGAGAATATCCAAGGCATGAGGCGAATGAAGAAGCGCAACTAGCACGGTTTGCATCTGGAGCACCGCGACAGTCGTTATATGATGTATAACATTGAGCTGCACAAGCCTCAGGTGTACCTGTTGAGCCAGTTGGGACTGAACCAGCTGGAACTGAAGTGGTTGGAGCAGGGGTGGACGATCCTGATTGGCTACAGGCAGTTGGAGTGACAAGGGATCCATTGCTATCATATGGAGAATATCCAAGGCATGAGGCGAATGAAGAAGCGCAACTAGCACGGTTTGCATCTGGAGCACCGCGACAGTCGTTATATGATGTATAACATTGAGCTGCACAAGCCTCAGGTGTACCTGTTGAGCCAGTTGGGACTGAACCAGCTGGAACTGAAGTGGTTGGAGCAGGGGTTGACGATCCTGATTGGCTACAGGCAGTTGGAGTGACAAGGGATCCATTGCTATCATATGGAGAATATCCAAGACATGAAGCGTACGAGGAAGCACAGCTGGATCGATTGGCGTCTGGGGCACTGCGGCAACTGTTGTATGAGGCACTGCATTGAGCTGCACAAGCCTCAGGCGTACCTACTGAGCCAGTTGGAACTGAACCTGCTGGAACTGAACCTGCTGGAACTGAACCTGCTGGAACTGAACCTGCTGGAACTGAAGCGGTTGGAGCAGGGGTTGACGATCCTGATTGGCTACAGGCAGTTGGAGTGACAAGGGATCCATTGCTGTCATATGGAGAATATCCAAGACATGAAGCGTACGAGGAAGCACAGCTGGATCGATTGGCGTCTGGGGCACTGCGGCAACTGTTGTATGAGGCACTGCATTGAGCTGCACAAGCCTCAGGTGTACCTACTGAGCCAGTTGGAACTGAACCTGCTGGAACTGAACCTGATGGAACTGAACCTGCTGGAACTGAAGCGGTTGGAGCAGGGGTGGATGATCCTACTTGGCTAGAGCAAGCAGTTGGAGTGACGAGCGATCCATTATTATCATATGGAGAATATCCAAGGCATGAAGCGTACGAAGAAGCACAGCTGGATCGATTGGCGTCTGGGGCACTGCGGCAACTGTTGTATGAGGCACTGCATTGAGCTGCACAAGCCTCAGGTGTACCTGCTGAACCAGATGGAACTGAGCCTGCCGGGCCAGATGGGACTGAACCTGAAGCACTTGAACCACCGGTAGGAGCTGGTGGGAAGTATACTAAGATAAAATGTTAGTAAAATGCCGGTAACATAGTCCATGAATATATGAATATGACATACACTGAGGTTGACCAGTGACAGTAGACCAAACAGTGGTGCAACCACATGACTCGGATGATGATGCCAATAGCCCTCTGACATGGAAATCTTGATGACCATGTCTTCTCCCGAGGTCCCTAGCAGTAACACTACCCGCGAGGGCAGCCGCTACTGCGATAACTCCAGCCTTCATCTTTGCTGTGATAGATTATGTCGTGTATTATATCGTCTTATGGTAAGGTTATATCCTTCCACAGTGTCGTTCGTAAAAGTTGCTCGTAAAGAATGCCCGCTGAAAGAGTGAAGCGGTAGATGTATTTGGTTTGCGATGAAAGAATGTGAAAATAGCCAAATGAAGGTATTCACGACAATGATGATGTCGATAAGAGAAAAGAGGAAAGATATAGACGTGGGAGGACAGGAGATAAATGAGAACGCGGAGAGATAATCAAAGACGGCAAGCTAAACTAGAGGCTACAAAGTGGGTTCCAAGACTTATGGACATGGGTAAAACCCCGAAGTTGGGATGAGAGATGATTGAGAGTCAGAACTAACCATTCAAGCGGCTCTTCAGTGTCCGCCCAAGTGACAAACGGCCGGTAAATCTTAAATTTTGTGTACCAAGAGATGATTCCATGAAGAGCCAAGATATTTTGATTGGTTGGTAGAAAATAACACGAAATAGACAAGAAAAGAGTAGAAAAGCGGGATAGCATCATAAACTTACGAGTTATTTTCATAATGGACATATTTTTCTTTCTCTTAGCAGTTGTTTTCCATCTTTGTGTACCTGGGTAGGAATCACATACGATGATGAAGATTCACCCGTCTCTCTCTCACTCTTTCTCTGTGACTCTCTCACTCTCTTGCTCTTGCTCCCCCCAATACATCTCCTCGACTCTTGATGCAGATGACAGCATAATTCCTGACTTAGTAATTGCATTGACCATGTATCAATTCATCTAATTTCCCATTATCGTATTTGCTCCATTGAGTTTCTCTCCTTCTGTGGATCGTGGGACAAATCGATGGTAGATGTGCTTCAGGGATTCCCAGAAAAACATAGGGGAAAGTTGGAAAGCGATGGAAATTTAAAGTTGTATTACCTGGACGAAAAGAGATGCTAAGCCACTACACTTTAGGCTTAGCCTCTACGGTAAACAATGGATGGTGCACCAGCAGAATTGATTTTCAATTGAATGAATGTTTGAGGCGATGAGAATTGAAATAGATGTATGTAGGTATTATTAGCTATCGGGTTATTGAGTAGTAAAATCTTATAATCATGGTAAGTCTTATATGGTAGATCAGTGTGAAGAATTTATCAGATTTTAGTATTCTTTAAATTCCACTGTTAAATATTATGTTAAAGCATTACGTCGTCAGACATCTGGTAGCGGCTTCCTAGCTAAAGCATAAATAAGCCTCTTCATCATCAATCTTTATGCTTGTAATCCCCCGTCTGATTATTATACCAAGCTCATAATAGCTCACCAAAGTTTATAAATTCATAAATGTATATAATTACGGCCTACATCTCATTTCAACCTTCTGTCACTTCAGCAACGTGCGCAAAGTACGAGCAAACCATGCACTCTTCCCGGTTTACTATGGACTCAGTAGTATGGGATGTACTCTGTACTCCGTACAGATGAATACAAGGATCTGTCCCTCCTTACAATATCTACCGCTACCTTACTTAATTGGTTACTAGTTACATTGGAAACCTCCACTCCCACCTCCACTTCCATCCACCAAAAGATTCTGTTCCTGACTAACAAACGTTCTAATCTCCAATCAATGAATCTTCCAAGCTTGGCATGAACCTCGATCCTAGTCATAAGCTTAAGTTATTTCAGAACATTCTTTCATTTCCTTTGATTAACTTTTACTGGAATGGGGAAACAGTTGAAGATCAGGAGAAGTTCATGATCATTGTATGCCCCAGGTGAGAGAAATATCGAGGGATACGGAAACTCCGAACTTATTATAGTAGTCTGGACTGTGAAAAAGAATGGGAAAGCATGGGAAAAGCATGGTACCGATTTACGCTTAGAGGGGGCTCCAGTGTTCAGTGTCCACGGATGTTGCAAAAGAGGGACAAGGACCGGAAGACTTCCATTATTCATTCCATGGTGAAATTTGAATAGAGTTAACTATTTGCCCTGCCTTGCCCTGCCATGTGCTGTGTACTTCCGTAGTGGTAATTAGCAGCATGCTGTTTCCACTTCTACTTCCACTTCCACTCCAACCCTGAACCCACCTACCGGATTAACGGCGAAACGCTCCTAGGGAGAGCAGAAAGGGCAATTTTGGTGGATGGACAACTCGTGTTTTGTAAATTAAGTCTTCCAAAGAAACCTATTAACCTGCTCTAGATGTTTCTTCAATAATAGATTGTCCTCCTACTTTCCATGTACACAGTATATGATACTCTCTCTGCATCGACCACCATCCGTATAGATTTCTCTTTCAAGCTGATGTTCAGCAATAGAAAAATGCGGAGAGTGAATAATAATCATAAAGAAGACTGAGAGGCACAACTAATCTTGACATATTTTTGAGTGCCGAACCATCGTATGATATAGACTGGAGGTGCATTCTGACGTTATGATATAACACAACCTCGGTCTTGTGTATCAATCACACAGATTTTGATTTCAACCTATCTTTGCGAGAAGAAAGCCTCTTTACTATCTCGTAGTATCTACATTCCCTTCAGTGTATCCAAACTTCCTTGGTTTATCCATATCAACAATCATTAATATTTACTTTAAAGTTTCCTCCCGCCCATCCAGCCTTTCAGCGAAAATGAAGTGAGGATGAAAGCTCGTGACTTTTATTCATCTCCCACCGCCTCTATTGGCCTAGACTTTTCATTATCTGCACCGTGCACGTTAAAAGAGAAAGAGTCCGTTAAACTCAAACCAGCGCGTCAATTTCCCTTTTCCTCTCTTCCCATCCAATCAATCCATTCAATCGAAAATTCACCAGTCATTCGCGCCAATTCTTCGACAACAAATCTTTCCTTTCAGCGCTTGATGACCTCTCGATCTCCAATTGCTTCAAGATGGAGAGACTGTACTCCCCAATTAGCTACTGACTCATTTTTAGAATTCTGCAAATTCTTGGCTTCGGTACAATCTATACCAATGATTTATTTTTACTGTCGCCAGCCGCTGTGGTGAGGGCCAGTACGATAATTTCTATCTTGTTATGGATATCGTTTCTAAATATTCTATTCGAAGGTACACGGCCGACGCGTGAATGACCCTTTAGACATGGGCATCTGCGGTCAAAGTAAAATGTATGGTTAAAGGCCTTTTAGTCGTCTAGAACAAAGTGGTGTTTCCGAAGGTGAAGAAGTCTCTTACAAAACGCTATATGACGAACTTAGATGCTTGATCTGGTAGACAATAAAGAAAGTCTGGTCTCTCTTCATATTCAAAAACTTACTCGCCACTTCTGGAATCCTTGACTTTCATTGTTCATATTTCAAGAGAAAAGAGATCTCTGACTCTAATTATATCTTTCTTTGTTTTCTTTTCAATTTAACAAATCGTCCCCGTGGTTAATTCCTTTTTATGCTTTTGTGAATCATCACATTCTACATTGATTCTTGTATCTTCTACTTTTATTTCTAATCAGCCCTTCATACTATTCATTCTTTTGAATTTGGCTGCTCGAGCACAACATTCATTACTTTAAGCATATAAATTAGGATTTGATACATTTTCGAGAGGGAAGTAGCATTACACATCATTGGAGATATGAAGGGAATTCGAGTCAACAAATATTCCTTATGGACGGCTGTGTGTCTTTTCAGCACAAGCTTTGCACAAGCAAATACTATCTTTGAGCGAGCAACATGTCCACAATCGGGTTACACACAGTGTACCAACATGGGGCTACCTTCGGACTTTTGCTGCCCTCCTACTTCGACTTGTATAGCTTTAGCACAGAACACCACCTTATTATGCTGTCCTAGTGGGAGTGATTGTTCCACTATCCAACCCATCACATGCGACATAGCTCAACAAAATATCACTGCACATCCCGATAATACACTCAAAACTACAGCTTTGACGGCGAGTTTGGAAAAATGTGGCAGTAATTGCTGTCCATTTGGGTATACTTGCGTGAATGGTAACTGCCAGATGAACGCCGATCAAGCAGATTCCGTTCCAGGTCAACAACAGAGTTCTGCAGTAATCAGCGCAACATCATCCGTAGCGACGAGCTCAGGTACAAAAGCAACAGCTACCTCAACCAATCCCTCGCTGTCTATTATCCCATCCTCTACCTCGGTTGCGCCTTCAACCGACACACCTATCGCTGTCATCCCAAAGACATGCAACAAATTTCCCATTGATGCAATCCTCGTAGGTTTTTTCCCTGGCATTGCTTTAGGAGTCATCCTCGCCCTTCTCAGCGTGTGCTTTCTTGGCCGACGCAAAGAAAGCAACCGCAAAAGTGGCTCCTCCTTCGGAAATATATCCGATCCCGTCCCCACCAGCGACATACGTACCGATTTCCTTCGCAAGATGCCTCAAACCCCCTCCACGTCAGCTGGCGGTACTCCTCGAAGACAAAACACCGTCAATCGTGTTCGATCACTATTCCGAAAATCCACCGCCACAGGAATGGCCAACAGTCCACGTATGGCATTTCAAAATAGTCCACCTCCCGCACCACCCATCCCTCTAAACATACAAAGACAAAAACAAACACTCGTACCCGATGGCCGACCCGTCACCCCGCCTGCACAACGCGAACCTAGTTTTGAAGATATAAATATTTTTACCGATGCCGATACCGCGAGCTCCTTTCGTGAAGCGAGGAATCAACAACATCAACAGAATGTAAATTATCTTGGTGTGCCACCGGCATTTGGGATACAGGGGAGAGGAAGTCATCAAACGACATTTACGGATATGATGGAGAGGAGTGGGTTAGCGGGATTGCAAAAGGGTCAACGTACGTATCAGCTTCTTGAAGATAATTTGTCTAGACGGGAGGGATGGAAAGATAGGGAGGGATAGATTGTGGTGTTTTGGTTTTCTTTTTGATATTTGATTTTATTTTGATTTTTGTAGTGTCGTTGCTAATTGTTTTTTTTTTTCCGGCGAAAAGCGTATGTTTATCGAGGGAATGAAACAGCTTATACACCTAGTCCACCGCAAAGAGAAAGAATGGGGAAGGTATGATATGATAGGATATGATATGATATGATTTGGATGGATGGATGTATAGAAGATGATGGGATGAAGATTTTATTTTATTCTGGTACGATTTCATGGGTGCATGGTGTTATAAAGGGGATGAAAGAACAATATTACATATTATCCGCAAGTCGGGTTGGAGTATAGGTGGGATTGTATTGGATTGTTAAATGGGTGGGATGGGCATATATTACTTGTTAAGATTAGTATAGTACAGTACTTTAATATTCATTTTTTGGGAGTTAGAATGTATGGGTTCTGGGAGTTTTTATAGGATAGGCTATTGCATAGCATAGGTAGGATAGGATAGGAAAATATATACCCCTTTTTCTTAAAAGTCGTTTTTGGTTGGTTGGATTTGGATGTTAGATGTTACTAGTTGAAATATACCTGCGCTGTGCTCGTTACTTTATCTATAGATATGTATATTGCACGATGCTTATTAGTTAATGATTTATTGTTACATATCTGGGAGTCATATAGGTAGGTACGTTGCATGTGATTCGAATGACTGGTAGACTACCTACCTACCTACTTGATACCTACTCATGAACGTGCATTGTGGTAAGTCCATTGGACCAGGAAAAGATATCAAAGCTTGCAAGAGTATCAAGATAGAAATGGAATAGAGTGGAAACCCCGTTTTTTTTGGCCTATCTTCATCTCTTGTTCCATGATATCTATCTATCTACATGGAGAGGAAAGGATTTGTGTTTAGCGGATCTGCTCGTAGAGAATTAAAATTCCCCTCAAAGCGAATAACACAGAATGAGTGAGCATTCCGCATATTTGTGTTGTGCAGAGTTATTTTCTTCTCCAACAGAGCTAGTTATAAACAGATAGTATTTTTGGTCCGCCATCTTTTGTTCTACACTTCTAACATGCAGTTTTTTTGTTTATCGAGACCTCACATATCATATAGTACATCCAAATGCCTTGAACGCCATCTCCCAGATATACCACAGCAGCGTAGTTTTCTGATTCTCCGTCTCGGTAGCTTCGACAAGGCAAGATTCCTCGAGGATCTTACTCCCGCTCAAACCTTACAATTGAGTTTCCAGATAGGGCTGCGTTGTCTGCTACTACAGACCAATCGATGACGTTCCACCAATTCTCTACATAGACTTTCTTTCCTCCTACATTATCGACTCCCATTCCGTAATCGGGAATCCATACGTGTTCCCATGTGTTGACGCACAGAATGGGCGTTTGCTCGATTCCTCCCGGTGGTTTTCTCTCCTTGCTCAATGCTCCATGTGCCCCGACTGTATTTACAGGTGGTCCTGCTAACCTCTGTCTGTGGTAATCGGTCAAATTCTCACTCTCGGTATTCATATCCTTTGTTTGTTTCCTGTAGTGTGCACCTGGGAATGGTGAACCCGCTAGATATGTAGTCAATAGTGAAAGACTATCGAATCTGTCCTTCATTAACCAGACAAATCCCGGTCCAAACATTTTACTAGCTGTGATGACGAATTCTTTCTTTAGCGAATCGACAGAGGAGAATGAGGCCTCGATGGCGACTCGGAGTCGTTCTGACATTTCGGGTTCGCTGGCGGGGTTGGGTTGGATGCAGTCGAAGAAAAAGTTGTTATTGAATGCCATTGATGCATAGTTGAAAGTTGCCGCTTGATCTGGATCACGCGCAGTCATGATGGCGATTTCCTTGGGTTGTCTTCCTTCGAGGTGAGGGATCCCTTTAGAATTATTAGTGACAAGGTTATATTGTGGACATATCGTCGCAGTTCTCAAGAAAAGTTCCCGTAACTGGTACTTCTAGAGAAACAACCCTCGCAGATGTAATGGTTTACCACCAACTGCAACGCCACTCGTATAATAAGAAATAACCCACCTGCTGTTGCATCGGTCAATTTGTCCACCATAAGCTTCTGATATGCCGTCCACGAGAGGTCGAAAGCTTGCGGGCCAATGAATTCAGGAATGCCTTTTGTGAAATCATGTTTCAATGGAGGCACTTTTTGGCTAAAACTCCTGATGAAGTTCCTCTGTACAGAGAGCCCTATCCTTGGGAAGCGCGAGCGGAACATATTTGGAGGGGTGATGGGCTTCTGGCTCTCGAGGAGATATTTCGCGATCCAAAAAATTGTATGGAGGGTCCGCAAAGTCCGCAATTTGGCCTCAGGCATAAACGATCCTTTGCAGCTAGCTGATCGGATGGATCTTGTTGTGGCGGCCAACTCCGCTATCCTATCATTGTTGATGCGGGGAGGCTTTGGGGCTTTACTTCTCCAATATCATATTCATTATAAACTTGTTGAGGATGAACAATCAAATTAATTATTGGAAGTTTTTTGCTTCGTTTTTAGATCCCCCTTGATCGCCGAAGAAGTAATATTTGGTATTTAGAGAAGTTTGTTTCGTGTAAACATGGCTGAGGATAACATGGAGTACAATAAGACAGTGGAAGAACTCAGGAAGCATGAATATCCTATGCTCAAAGGTAATAAATACTTTAAATATCTATGTGCTAAGCTAATAGAGTTTCCAGATGCCGTTTACCTTGATCATGCCGGTACAACCCTTTACTCAAAATCCCTTATGGAGAGATACATGGCGGATATGATGTCAAACCTATACGGGAATCCACATTCCGCCTCTACATCCTCACAGTTATCGACTTCGCGTATTGAGAATACTCGTTTGAGTGTTCTACAGTTCTTTAATGCCGATCCGGCAGACTTCGATGTAGTGTTTGTGGCAAATGCTACGGCTGGAATTAAACTTGTTATGGATGCGTTTAGAAGTCAACCAGGTGGATTTTTATATGGGTATCATCAAGACTCGCACACTAGTCTTGTTGGAGTGAGAGAGGATGCTGCCTCATGTCGTTGTCTAGATGATGATGCTGTGGAGCGTTGGCTATCTGGGTCGGAAAATCTTGTAACGAAGAAACATGATGCTGAGATTGGACTTTTCGCTTATCCAGCACAATCGAACTTAGATGGTAGACGATTACCATTATCTTGGCCAAGAAAGGTGCGGGATCTTATCTCTCAGACTCAGTCAACCACATATACATTACTAGATGCTTCTGCTCTAGTTTCTACTTCTCCGCTAGACTTGAGTGATGCTAGAAAGGCAGCAGATTTCACGGTTCTTTAGCTTCTACAGATAATTGGGATTTCCTGATTTAGGTGCATTGATCCGTGCGGAAAAGATTCTGGGGCGATATTTCAAACGAGAAAAGTATTTTGAGGAGTGGAACAGTTGAAGTGGTAGTTTTGTTTAAAAGAGCAATGGCATGCACCGAAAGGACAATCATTGCATGAAACTTTAGAGGATGGTACTCTACCTTTTCATAATATCATGGCTTTGGAAGCGGCAATCGATGTCCATAGATCACTGTATGGTTCTATGGAGCGCATTGCAAATCATACCACATTTCTTGCACGAAAACTGTACGAAGGGTTGAAATCGTTGCGACATTCCAATGCCGAACCAGTGTGTGAGATTTATTCTCGTGGCTTTTTCTACAAAACTTCCTCCCAAATGCAAGGACCTACTATAGCTTTCAACGTCAGAAACAGCTTCGGGGCCTGGGTAACCAATATCGAATTCGAAAGGTTGGCCTCGATTAGAAACTACCATATCCGAACTGGCGGTCTTTGTAATCCTGGTGGTGTTGCATCGGCATTAGACCTTCAACCATGGGAGACGAAAAGGAATTTCTCGGCTGGTCTCCGATGTGGGGGAGAGACCGATATTTACGCTGGTAAGATTACAGGGATGATTCGCGTGAGCTTAGGAGCTATGAGCACAATGAGTGATGTTGAGTCGTTTCTTTCATTTATGGAAGAGTTCTTCGTGGACCAGATAGCCGTATCCTCTACTAATGAGGACACTGCCACTCCTAGGTCGGTTGACATGTATGTCGAAAGTCTTACAATCTACCCGATTAAAAGTTGTGGTGGCTTTGAGATTCCGAAAGAAACTTCTTGGGAAGTCAGACCAGAAGGCCTTGCTTGGGATAGGGAATGGTGCCTTGTTCATCAAGGCACAGGGCAAGCGCTAAGTCAAAAATGCTACCCACAAATGGCTTTAATCAAACCAGCAATCGATTTTGATTTAGGATTGCTGAAAATTCGATATCGAGGATCAAATTCCTCTAGTCCTGCGGATGAGATCAATGTCCCTTTATCTTCTGACCCATCGTTCTACAAAACTCCAAATAATATTCATTCATTATCATCGAGAGTTTGCGGAGATGCTATCGTGGCACAGACCTATTCAGATCATAAAATCAATGATTTCTTCTCCAAGATTTTGGGTGTGCCTTGTGTTTTGGCACGATTTCCTGCTGGTGGAAGTGGCCCTTCTTCAAGGCATACAAAGGCACACATGCGAAAGCACCAGGAAGTAAAACGTCTAGTTACGAATGAGAAGTCCAGTACCGACTCTTCTCTTAGCCCTCCGACGCCGCCGGATTCTGATAGTGAAAATCGAAAGCGGCCGATATTACTATCAAATGAAAGCCCCATACTTGCAATCAATAGGTCCAGTATCGATATGCTAAATGAAGAAATAGCCAAGAGTGGTGGCAAAATTGCTTCAGCATCTGTCTTTCGAGGTAACATTATACTGGCATCAACCGAATCTAATGATCGTCAGCATTCATATAGCGAGGATCATTGGAGGACGTTACGCATTGGTTCGGAAACTTATCAAATGCTAGGGTCTTGTCGGCGTTGTCATATGATATGTGTTGATCAGGATACTGCGGAAAAGAACGAGGAGCCTTTTGTTACGTTGGCCAAGACACGTAGGTTTGAATCGAAGGTTTTCTTCGGCTCTCATATGTGTCATGTACCATCATCGTTGCCCTCCAAAGAGCACCAATTCCCAGTCATTAAAGTGGGAGACAAGGTTTCTACTGGGCTGTGACCGGTGAAAGCTGTACAATATAAACAAAGCAAAATATATATTTTCCCATGAGTTTGACTATTCTTTCTGTTGCATTCATTGATTTGTGATGGGGATGTAATGTGACTCTAGTGTCATAGCTATATATGTCAAGATGTAAATGGGTAGCTGATATGTTATTCTAGAGCCAGTACAGAAGGCTTCGGAATCTGTAGGTAGTAGGTAATCTACTCTTCATCCACAGTCCTGGTTTCAATTTTCTTAGCAAATGATGGATGGATCTTTGGAGCTTCATCGATGTCAAGTGGCTTGTTGAATTTCATGTTTGTTTTCTCAAGTACAAAGTTGGTAGGATAAGGAAGACGTATAGTACTACAATACCTTCTTAATCATAGATGGCATGTTAAAAGCGGTGTTTCAAAATATCAAACCCGATTGAGTGACACAATTACATACACAATTTCTCATAAGGTTACAATTGGGTTACGAGGGAGATTTATACACCTGGTATATTCCTTATAAGTACCTAATTATATTTCGTATGAGAAGCTCTTTTGGGTGAGTAATTATATGATTCCATCTCTGCTGTTTGCTATTTTTTTGCTGTGAACGAGTCAGCTTGCCAGTAGTGTTCTCCTAGTACTAGTGGTGGTGGTAGTAGTAGTACTAAGCTAGTTACCCTAATTTAGTATTGCACATATTCACTCATCATAGATTGTACAATCACTTTTATTCATCGCATGAACAACCAAGATAACGAGATAACTTCCAAAATTAAGAGTAAATTCCTCAGTGACATTTGAAAGCTGAGCCGAGTATTTGTCAATTGCTCCAATTACAGGCTCCAAAACTTCGCAAGAAGGCTCCATTTCCAGAACCTTTCCAGAACTTTTCCAGAACTTTTCCAGAACTTTTCGGAATTATCATTGGCTAAAAACTTCTGTGGAGAGTCTTAGGTCATATCCCCTAGCTTGAGAAGCCACGTAGTTCACTATTTAAACTCGTGTTCCCCTCTCGAATTGATTTGTTTTACAAATCAATGAAACATGGCGGATTCTCAGCTCATCGACCCAAGTGACAACCACGATATGGATATTGACCATCTCGAGGGCGTCATTCAATCTGATGGCTTGGATAGCCAGAATGATCACTTTGATGGACTTGATGGCTTCGATCATCAAAGCGACGTTTCCCATATTTCAGCTCCTTCCTCCACCGAAGACCAAAGTATGGAAACTTTGATGTCACTCAATGATATCGAACTTGAGGACGGAAGAACCGCCCTTACATTCAAGAAGTTTGGAGAATTACCCGAGGAACTTCAAATGAGTGTATGGAAATTCGCGGCACTTCATGTCCGACGCACCATCATGATGAGTTTTGGGCGAGATAGTTTCACGTTTGTCAACTGTCCCCCCACACCAGCAATTATGCACGCATGCCATCAAGCTCGCAAATACGGCTTGGATATCTACAAACCCGTCGATGTGCATGGAATCCCTCGAGATATTGAAATCCTCCCAGGCTATGAGAATTACATCACGTGTGTCGCTTTTTATTTCTACGTTAACCCCGTCAGCGATGATTTTGTCTTGAAATTTGGAGATGAGACCGTTCGTCCAAACCCCGTTTATTGTCCCATAGAGTCGAAATGGCCTAATAGACTTGGATGGGTGGCTGCTGAACAGAGTCTCGAGGAACGGATTCAGGCATTGGAGCGCGAACGTGTATGTATTACCAGCGCTCCGTATACCGTCTCGCTGGCTAATAATTATACAGAGACAAATACGTAACATACCTAATCGACCTCCAAGACCAGGCGAATCAGTTTTCCCCACTCCCGACATCCTCCCGCAATTCTTCACCAACATCCGATCCGTCGGCATCAATCTCAATCTTCCCTTCGCAGAGGACTTTAGCTTTTCCAATATGAGTCCCGAAGTTCTCCGATCCTGGGCTCGAAATGCTATCAAAACCACATTCGACCATTTGTTCACCCAGATCTTAGAGCAGTTCCCCAAGCTCGAATATGCTTTTGCGGTTGTGAGAGCGATTGGGCGTAGTAATCAGGAATTGAATGAGAGGTTTGAGCTGGGGAAGGAGAATTGGGGAACTGTGGGGATGACGAATGCGGAGGGTGTTATTATGGGGAAGGAAGAGTTTCAGCAGTTGGAGTTTGAGGGGAGGAGATGGTTTATGGAGAGGATTGATGGGGGTGGGGGGTTGAATGTGGTGGATTTTGATTTGTATGTTCAGAGGAATCTTTATTGGGAGATTTAGGAGTGGGCATTGGATGGGATGGGATGAGATGCGTTGTTTTTAGCTTGTTTGTGGGTTTGGAGTTTGTGGTTTGCTTGCTACTAGCTTCTATTTATTGATGGATGGATTCAGGCGAGGGGTCACTTCATCACTCCTTCACCTACGAATCTTCTACAAACACCACTACAGTACATACAAGCAGTGAAGGAAAGAAAAACACCCGTACCTTTCCTCGACTCAGAGAATGAAGGAGTTAGTTTATTTAACTTTCCTACTCGAATTCTTTGCTTGGCAATTTGAGCGCAAGGAAATACAGAGGAAAACATGGAGTTATATTTTCCCTGAAAACCAGCTGCCTGGTATTTGGTTTGGTTCGGTTGTGGTTGGGTTGGGCTTGGGATCGGGATTGAGATTGGGGCGGGAATTGGGATTTGGGATTTGGGATTTGGGAATTGGGATTGGGAATTGGGATTGGGAATTGGGATTGGGAATTGGGATTGGGAATTGGGATTGGGAATTGGGATTGGGAATTGGGATTGGGATTTGGGATTGGGATTTGGGATTGGGATGGGAATTGGGGTATTTGGACTATCAATAGGTGGTAGTGAATATAATATAATGGATATTGAAGCAAATGTAGGGTTTTGTGTAGATGGTTGGGTGAGGTGTGATATGATGTGAGGTATCAATGAATACTTGAGATATACTACTAATATTTCCCATGATTCTGCAGGATATCAAATGTTCGGCTAGGGCTTGTATTTGTATGGTAGATAAAAGGATAGTTGATGAAGTGGTCAGACATATTAGGAATCATGCTAAATTAGTAAGCAGATGGGCCAATATTTGTCAAAGCTAACACTATAAAACACTTGAGATGAGGAGGATTTTGGAAGATGATAAGTATATTGCTTTTGTTGGGAATCAATTACTTCGTATAAAACGAATCAGAATATTACTACACCTAGATCCAATGCCCCTTTCACCGTAGATACACAATCTCCCATTGAGGCCCCTACTGTCTCTTCTTCGAAACGGATCTGGTAACATGACCACTTACACTCCTTTGCTTCTTCTCCAATTCTTTCTTCTCCTGTTCCTCCTTCTCAAATTTCTCTACCTCATCTTGATCCTTACGTTCCGCATACCATTGACCCGCCTGCAAAACCAACACTCCCACCAAAACCAATGCCAAAATCGTATTACTGGCCGCCAAAACCCTCAAACTATCTTCTCTCCCAACTCCCACTTCTCCTTCTGGCGCACCCGCTTCGCCATATAATCCCAGCGTCACAATGCGCATGCCTTTAACAATATTGGTAATGTAAACCACGACGCCCACGACATAAAGAACGAGCGATGCGCCATCAAATAGGAGGTTAGCTTCAGAAGGCTTGAAGAGCTTGGTGAAGAGTCCGATGAATCCGACCGAGACGACAATGTGTAGGATGCGTGGGATGATTGGCGGGGAAGCATGCATGAATTTTAGATGCTCTTCAATGAAATTGTAATAGGCATCGGGAGTACTTTCAGTGGTCCAAAGGAGAGGATAGTCGTAGGGGAACGAGGAGAAAAGAATACCGAGGAAGAAACATACGGCTGTGATGGGTTAATTGGATTGAGATGGGAGCTGATACAGGAGTGAAAACTTACGACCGATGATCATGAAGGTCGCGAAAGAACTCGCGCCCCCTTGACCTCGAGGCTTGTCGTATGTCTTGAATATTGAGACTTTAGATGTATCCATTTTGCGCGTTGCGATTTGTGATGCAATTCTGCTGAGAGGTTTGAAGGGTTGAGGATTGGAAATGTATGGTTTCTCGAATTATTTGAAGTGTGCGAATGTTCCACTAACAATCTTATCTTGTTTAGGTGGGCTGGGCTGGACTAGAGACAATAGTGGGGTGATGAAATGGTACAAATGTTGAGGTTTGTAGATGATTTTCAAGATCAAATGAATGAATGAATGTATATGTATGAATATATGTATTCGTCAAATGTATGTCAAATGTATGCGAATGCGACGACGATAGATTGAATATAAGACTTATATAATATCAGAGGAAAAAAGAGATTATTGGCAGCTGAAGATAACACATGTACAAAGTGTACCTAATAAGTTTTATTAGTAAATTATTCGAGTACAAACGGTACAATGCACAGCAAGTTCAATCTCAAGTGGAGATCAGGATAAGAAGACGCTAAGAACTCTAAAGAAGATTGGGGATTTATGATTTACACATGTCAATGAATCATTTACAGATTTAGAGGGGTAAAAGTTTATGTAAAATTGTCCGGTAAATCCGGTCTATCTGTCTATCGGTCTACAGAAATTATCACAATTTACCATCAACAAGTGTGAACTACCTAAATAGCGTCAACAGTAGACTGAATTCTCTCTTTGTTTTTCTGAATTGCCTTGGTATGCTTAAACAAGGTAATCTGGAATAATGGGCAAATAACAGGGAAAATGAGATCTTTCCTAAGGCTCAAAAGAAGATTCCTCAATCTCCCTCCAACTTCACTTCACTTCACTTCTCTTCACTACACTCCATCATTCCATCTCTACAAGTAATTCAATTTTGGACAAGTGATTTCTCTTCATATTTCCATCTTCAAATATCTATCTACCTACCTAATCAAACATCTCAATTATGACAGGAATCTCTTTCTACATCTTCTCATTTCAAGCTCTCTTCATTCTATGTCTACTTGTTATCATTGTCCTCCTCATTCAAAACTATGTTGACGAAAAACGTCTCATTGCTACACCTTCCATTAGGAAAGACGAAGCTATTCTCACAGCATATGCAAGCATCAAAATCAACGCATCTGCAGACCAGGTTTTTGATGCAATAACCTCATTTGAAAGGTATGGAAGTGGATTTTCCCAATACAAATGGGACAATGGTCAGGATAAAATGCCCGTCGTGGGCGCGAGGGGACTTTATTCGGTGAGATATTTCCCATCGCAGGAGAGCTGCGCAAAACTAACTTCCGTCTAGTTTCGAGTCGAAGATATACAAGACCGTTGCGTACCTGTTGTCTTGACTTTGCTGGATCCTGTGCATAAGAAGATGGCGGCGAAGACTACTCAATACCCCGATTGGCTTCTTGGCACGGAGAGAGTCCAGGAAGTTGTGCCTATTAAAGGCAAGAAAAATATTTGTGAGTATAGAAATTGGATAACATTACAGGGGTTTGCGGCATATTATCCTTTGTTGACGGCGAAAGAAGAGCTTGAGGATGTTGCTAGGGATGCGGCTACGGAATTGAAGACGTTTGTTGAGACACGGAAGCACGAAGGTTGACATTGGAAACATATTTGATAATGAACCAAAGATCAGGAGAAGAACCAAGGCTTTCTCTTGAAGGCCAGGCGACGAGGGTACTCTCGTCAATACCTGGGGCTTTGCGAAAGACATTCGACATCATCGTATACCATCAATCATAACGAAATGGTATATTCGTGGGAGCATAGTGAGAACGCAATGGATTGAAAATTACTTGTATTTGCGAGTATTGTTATCCAGTTCTAGTCAAACTATACACATCCTCATTACATCTCAACATCGCCGAAATTAAACCATTCTCTCCTCTGTATGGTGAACGCCTGCCTTCTCATCTAGGCCACCTTCAGTCTCATCACCAATCTGAAGATCATGTTCCGCCGCAATGACTTTTGCCTTCTCGGTTGCAACTTGACCACCAACTATCGCATTGTCTCCATCGAAATGCTTCACGATCTCTTCCAAAGGAGTGTTACGTGTCTCGATGTAAAACTTCCAGATGACAAAGAACTCAAAAGTTAACCATACGCAGTAGAATATGTAATACTTCCAGTGGAGGTGATCCAAAGCAATCGGGTTAACATATTGGTTGAAGAACAAGGAGAGGTCGACCGCCAAGAACATAATTGTCAATCCCTAGAACTTCAATTAGCATAGCGAGCAGAGGGCGGAGGGGATTCATTACCTTTGCACGGATGTTGTATGGCAGAATCTCGACACCGTATCCAACCAGAAGCCCCGACCACGCACAGTTATAGAATACGTAATAGAGGAAAATCATGACGATAACGGCATGTGCAGAAGCTGAGCTTCCATGCATCGAAAACTGAGCCGAGCAAATGGTCCAAACAATAAAGACAGCAAGCATTCCCCCCGTGGATACCAAGAACAATAGACGTCGACCGAGTCTATCAACGAAGAAGCACATTGTTATAGCTACGATCATGTTGACAATTTGAAGGATAGCATTGATTAAAAGCTTGGTAGTCGAGCTGTGGATACCGACTTGTTCCAATACAATATTAATGTAGTAACTGAAAATATCATGTCAATTTTTATCCCCACATATCTGGACTGATGCAAACTCACCTGACAAGACCATTTCCTGACCATTGAGAGAAGAAACCGAGGGAGACGAGGATAATAAGACGATGTCTGTTTCCAGGAGTCTTCCACAGCTCGGCCCATGGGTTGCTCTCTACTTCTTTTTCGAGTGATAATGTTTGGCGAATTTCCTGGTATTCGAGCTGTACAACTTCATCATTCTGATCTCCGCAAGCGTGTACGTCTGCCAAAATCTTGAGTGCTAGCTCGTTTCTACCCTTCGCGATGAGCCATCTTGGTGATTCAGGTACGAACCTGACTTAAATTAGCTTTTACTCAGCCATTAAAAAGATAAGCAAAGACTCACCAGATGAAGGTCATTTGGAGTATGGAAGGGAAAGCCTGTACGACAGACGGAGCTCTCCATGACCAATTTCCTGCGATGTTATTCGTTCCTGAAGATGAGGTCAGCTGAAACTCAAAATTTTTCCTTTGTAGCTGTATTCCATACCGAATGTTAACCATGCTGCGACGAAGCTTCCAATGTACCATGTTGTATTATAAATGGTGGTGTAGATGGCTCGATGTTGTGGATGGACAAGTTCGGTGATGAGCAGTGGTGATGCACCATGTGCTATTGCAACTCCAAATCCGATCAAGAATCGAGCACCCACGAACATGCCAAATGAGAATCCCAAACTCTGGAGAAGTACACCAATGAGCATGAGTACGCAGCCGATCATTACACCTGTGCGTCTGCCCAGTATATCCGCAGCATATGGTACGAACGGAAGAGCAACGAGTGAGCCGACGGACATGATACAGTTGAGGAGTCCAAGTTGAGATGCTGTGGGATGGAAATCTAAGGCACATGTGTAAGCTTCATACTTTACACAGTTCGTTATAAAAACACTCACAATCTTCCCAGGCGGGAAGAGATTGAAGACCGTTCATCATGGAGCCATCGTATCCATTTGTCGCAGAGGTCAGAACGACGAACATCAAACAACAGTACAAGCCTCTCATTCCCTTTTGCTTATACCATGTTACTCGAGGAAACTCCTGGCCCGCGAGTTCGAAAGTGGGCTTCGTATGTTGGAAATCCATGTTGACTGCAGTAACAAAACCTGCAATGCCGCAAGATTACAGATCACACAAGTAATTATAGTGAGGTCGACGACTTCACTTGTGATTCAACTACACTCACGACCTGTGATTCTCCACAAGGGAAACATGGGATTATATACATTTCCCATCAAACTCCCTATATCTACTTTACCCTTCTTTATTAACCGGAAATCGCTCTGCACATTGTTCAAATCGGTCATACGGAACCACGGTCCGTATAGGTCTTCATCTACTATATTTACCTCGAACACTCTGTCGGTAAACGGTACTAACATCTTCGAACATCAGCTGTTAGAGGCCTCGCCTGTGCAAGTGGGATGGAGGCGAAGCCTAAAAGGGTAAGGACTGGGTACTAACCCTGGTCTGGGGACTCCTCACCAACAAATAAAAGCTTTCCAAGCTTTTCAATCCCCAGGTTTCTCCATATCGCCCCGCAGCTTGGTAGATATTTACATGCATTTTTGATTGTTTGCCATCTGTTTACCAGGGTGATATAGGCTATATCCACGAAAAATCGGGTGGCGCCGGGTAAAGTCGACCATGGGCCATGGTCGCTCTCACCGTCGCCATTCAGCAGCTAAAGCTCGTCGTATATCCCTTTGTGGTCAAGCGAATCGTTGATGCATTCAATCAGAACATTCGATGTGGATCTACGGGATAATTTTGAATGTTGAGACTTGATGGGATATCGACACGTTGACCTTCGCATCGTATGTCAGAGTTGCATCTAGGCTGGTCTAATAATGTAAAGTATCCTACTTATCCAGAGATAAATTTCTTGCTTGTTCAATGAAAAGGGGTAAAAACATCTTGGGTAGATGAGGTTTTAAAGGCCAACAAAATACATTGTTGTTTGATCTTTCGACCTACGTGGTACATTTGAAAGTACAGCTAGGTGCGAACTACAGTACATATGTACATATCTACCTGACGTGGAAGTTATTCATTTGACGAGTCCTATGTAAGGCACATTATGAAATGAACGGGCGGGCGACGGACGGTCTCTCGGTCTAATCAACCCTATTATGCTATGGCCTTCGTTTATGGCTCCACGATCAAGCTACTTCAATCGAGTGCGGCGCAGCGGAAATAGAGCGAGACGAAACCCGTTTTTGTCCGGTGTGGAATCTATCGATTTTTATGATTCCTATGTAAGGCATGTCTCGGAGAAGCGAACGGATGAACGATTCGATTAATCCTATTATGTCACGCCTTTCTTTCTTGAGTCCTCAAATTGGAAGCCACTGAGCTACTTCAGTCGAATGCAGCGCAATTTAAACATACAGTGAGGGAAATCCCGGGAGTTCTACTTTATGAAAGAAACTTTCACAAGCCAAAGGCTTGAGCTCTGTTGTCCTCCTTCGTAGGAGACAACGGTGTTTTGAGTTATACACGATCTTTGTTACCTCACGACGGATGGCCTGCTATACTTCCCGGCTCCGAGGCAAATCCATCGAAGGAATGAGTGATTCCTTCAGAGCCCGACCCGTGGATATGGAACCATTTTTGTGGCCTCATAGCGCCCACCCGATACACTTTGCACGGGATTAAAAGAGGGTCTCAGTAGACTTTGAAGGATCACGCGACCTGGTGATGTCCGCTTCGGTATCATGGATTGGGATTTCACATGATCCATCGAGCTTCGACTTGGTAGAGGTCTTCCTTCTGCTCACAAAAATAAATATGATAAGGGATTAGTAATCTACCCACATGTATCAGTCGCTCCACGTGCATTTCCTCGGAGCATTAATCATTGACTTTGCGACGAAGTGTCATCACCAGCGCCAATATGGTTGGACATCACCCGCATGTGAGTGGAGCATTGAAAGGTTGCCACGCCCAGTCAAAGGCGTTTCGAAGATTCTCTTGAGGTGATAATATCACAGCGACTGGATGGATAATAGCTCATGGTGATAGCACCAAAAAGAAATATTGCTTATCTGGAATCCTCAATGAGAATCCTATCACTTGTCATGGCGCCCTCAGATCACACTTGGTATCAACTATCGCATACTCAAAGGCATATTGATACATTCAGATCCCATTACTGTAAGTTGTTGGTTCTTGGAAACGGCAAAAATTGAAAGTTTGACTCATTGTTTTGATTCTACTAACTCGTAGACTTGATTGAGGCTAACTTTGGAGTCTTGAATTTAAGCTTTACAAAAAGTTTGCTTGATCTTTTATATAATCATGCAATATTCTGTCTGAGTGATACGCGGCAACAGAGGATTCGGGTCTGATTGATACCTTTTGCATCTGGATCGGGATTAAAATAGATAATTTTTCCGATTGCATGAACCAATCAAAGTATCCGAGGGGAAATAAAAAAAATCACATGGTTTATCTTATTTAAATCAACACATTATCATTCCAATAAAAACAAAAGTACCTGTGAAATTCCTCTTCTCCGTACTATCGCTTGATATAATACAAAGTAAGAATCGATGTAATCCTCTTCTATGTCCTTCTTGAGAAGTCAACGACTATAGATTTCACTAAATCCTGCGTCTCATCCCGAGTATCCCAGTCAACGGGTTGGCCCTATCTTAGTCATACTACAATGATATCTAACTACGAGGATTGGGCAATTCTCACGAAATACTGGTCCCTATCATTACTAAGAGTCGAGACATGATGATGCTTAATGATTAACGCTGGCCGCCTTGAGGCCATCTAATCATGTTGCGGATAGTCCCTTGACCACTACTTGACCAACGCGATGCAGATAGTGTACGATCTATCGACCCGTCGTATTGGTTTCTCTGCTATATATGCTACAAAGGAGCATTTTAAGCTTCAGATAAGGCATGTCAGAATCCCTGAGTACACGAGTTTGATCGCTCTAAAGAATGATAGGGACAGCGAGATAGCAATGGAGCATGGACTTTGAGTGGTAAACCTTGGCTACTTTGTTGTATAGAAGTCTTCGAGAAACTACACCGTGACATCTTCTCATTCGATAAAATAGCCCGTCCTTGTGGACTTAACCCGAACCGCGCGCTGCTCTATCGAGTTCCGGTCGTCAGATAGAAGCTTGAGTGATATGGAACCATTCATATTCATCTCTTGAGCCACTTCCCGAACAACTGTTGAGAAAGTCTCGTGGCTGGCGTCTCCATTTATCCTCGGCAGCCCCTCAGGCGCGCGGAAAGAGCCCAAATTGTAAGGCTATCAGTTGAAGAAAACTTTTCTGGTATGGATGATTCGACGATGCGATATTTTCATCAATTGAACATTGAAGGTTTTATCTAGATGCGGGCGCGGATTGTAACATGGAGGAAGTAGAGAAGCGGTAAGAACATATTACAAAATGGGAGCTAGAGTCTCACTGATGAAGTTATCTGCACATCAATTGCAATTTGATCTCTTCTCCTCAGCTATATCAACTTTCACCAAGACCTCATTCGTGAATTCATTCCGAGACCGGCCAACATATTGACTCTATTGGTCCCCTTCTCACCCCCCATACTTAGCCCCCCATTCTCACGTTGATGTTCGGTCCCGTTCTTCATCGATATCAAATAACAAGTAAAAAGCATTTTCACCCAATATCACTATCGCACACCTACTGGACAAAAGCGCCAATCATTGGATCAATTATTAAAACCATCCAGTGATATCGACACTGTGCCGAATTAAAGGGCATACTTTTGACGCCCGACACCGCCGTTCGTAACATCCGCTCTAAGTATAGCTTATAGCCTATACTCCGTACTTCACAAAGTGACCCCATCGAAGCGGAGCCAATCAAACCGAAGCAAACTCCAACCGCTCAAGTTCTCAGGTTTCCTTCTCCTGCAGTTCACCACAAACGCAAAACGCGAATCACGTCTTAGGATTGATACTTTGTCGGTTGATATTGGTGCGGGACACACAATTACTCGACGCCGTTCACAACATCTACATCTCGTCCTATCACGTTGTTGATTGCGTTGAAGATCCCCTTGTACGCATCTCACTGCCACCGTCATTTGCCTAGACAGCTCGTATGAGTAGTCGCGCATCACACAAGATACATACGTTTTATCAGATAACCATAGCATCCATCTACCATCCCTCCGTATACCAACTGTTTTCCTTGTTCAATCATTAGACCCTTCTTATCCACTTTGAAATTCTGGTCATTAGAAAACCTAGCTCGAACTCTTCCTCTCCCTACCTCAGACTCAGAGTCTCAGATCAACTTTATTATTAACCACCCAGTCACTCTACCCAAGACACTTTTTTTATTTTTTCGCTTCCAGAAACAATAACGACTCGCCGCTTTTATCCATCGGAAGTTTTTATTACTGTTGTCCAATTCCAGTATATTTCCCACGTTGGATCCCATACCTGGCACATTATTGGACTGAAGACTAAAATAAATAATTGACGGCAGCGCGGTAGTAAAAAGTTAGCTAGCTCGAGGCTCCACTACTCCTAATTCCCCTTGTCTTACCACGACGACCCACATCCTCTGCTACCCTGCCAGAACTCCACCAAGGCGGCCATCATCATCAATTACGCTCATTGTCAAAACGACCCCCAAGCGCCCTACTCTAATCTAGCACTGGCTGCTAAATTCGTCAATACAGACATACCCTGCTCCTCTCCGCGCTATTTTTCGTTACCTTACCTTCTTCACCTTCCTTACCTTGCTTCAGCTGCTGGGGAAACTTTGTTTCGATTTCACATTATAATACTTCCCCAAGTCCCAAAACGTCTCAACTTTTATCTACCTTCTTTACGGACCTCACCCTACCGTCGTCGCTGTTTGCAAACCCTTTTGTCTTCGTCGTCATTCTTTACAAGTAATGGAATCTCCAACCAAAACTTCTGCCCCGGCAGCCGCAAGCGCACCTATTCTTCCTCCTCCAAAAAGAACCATGTCTTCATCCAAACCGAAGCTTCCACAACTAAAGACTCCAATGTCTTCAACTTTTCCCTCGGAACTATCAGCTCTATCAAATTCCGCACGCAGCCCGCTTCCTGGCTATGCCGACTTCATGATCAAACAAGAAGATACTATCAAGACTCCAATTACCCCTCCTCTTGCTTATACCGATTTCCTCAAGACGATGAATAGTCCTATCGTTGCAGAGATTAAATGTTCGAGACCAACACCTACCTCTGCACCTTCATCGGATTCTTTGACTAGCAGTGAAAGTAGTGATTGTTCATGCAACTGCGATGCGCATAAATCACCAGCTAGCTCTGTTCCTCCTACGCCGTTCCTCTACCCAACATCTGCGCCATCTTCTGCAATACTGGGACGTCTTCGCATCCCAGCCTCACCAGCATCTTCATATGCTGACTCTCCTTTAAGCGCACGCTCTCCCTTTAGTGCACGAAGCGCACGTTCGCCATATGATTGGGACATGAGAGGCAAAGGAAGATACTTTGACATCAAACCACAAAAGCAAACACGGTCAAGCGTTCGCCAGGTTAGGGAGGTTGTTACGCGAACAGTCACATATACACCTCGAATGAGCCCCGCACCAAAGGGCAAGAGAAGGAAAGTCGACCACAATGTGGAGTAAAGGATATACTAATATCTTACCCCTCCTTTCGACATCATACCTATCACATTCCCTCATCAACACATTCCTTTAAAAATACATCTACATCACTACTCACTATAACATATTTCTTTTGTTATACTGTTGTTACTTACACATCAATACATTTTACGACTTTATGGCTTTATTTCTTGATTACGACAATAATGACACAGTCGTGTCTTATTTAGGGAGGAAAAATGTACGAGTTCGGCGCAAATAGCCTGGAGTCTCATCTGGAGTTCCGGAGTGAACATCATTTATAGCACGGCTTTGGGGATAGCAAGCGCACTTTGATTACAGTACGACTTGGCTATTGCATTTGGAGGTTTACTCGGACTTTACAAAGTACAGGAGTAGGAGCGGAGGATACGTTTTTTTATCGAGGAGGATGGGACTTATTGCTGGCTGTTGGCGTATAATTTTTATTTTTTGAACAGGCGTTTCACGGGCAAGTTCTGGCGGTGGATGCATGCATAGTTGCTCGAGTGCTTGATTTTTTTCAAGCAGGGGAGTCTTGGATATGGAGGATATGGATTGGATGGGATGGGATGAAGATGGAGATGAAGATGGAGATGGATGAAGCTATAGTGTACTGTTTTGTATAAGCTATACTATTAAATACAAAATCTATTACTATTATTATTATTATTACTATATCTATGTATAATCATCTGCGCACTTATACCACAACTATTATGAAAGCTAAATCTAAACCTAAACCTACTTACCGGTATATCAATCAAAATTTATTAATAATAACTAGGATAAAATCCGGGTCTCCCTCCTTATTTCAAAAAACCATCTACCGGCCACGGTACACATACCCGTCTTATCTTAATATAACTCCCGGTGTTCTTTCTTTTTTTACTTATACGTATTAATTATTAGTATTATTTATTATCTTATACTATTATTATATCATGACACTTTTAAGTCTTGGTTTTTAAGTTTTTGGTTTTTTTGGATTTGTTATGGTGGAGTCTTTTGGTACTGGGAGGTAGGTAGATGGATGATGGTAGTTGATATTGTGGTTGATATTGTGGTTAATATTGTGGTGGTTAAAAATTCATTTTGATGGGGTGGAGGAGGTGTAGATGTGATTAGATAGTTATTACCCACTAGAGGTTATGTGATTGATTTTCATATATATATCTTTTAGTTACCTACTTAACTAGACTAATAATCAATACAGCAACTAGCACATACATACACTCCCAAACCCCCGACCCGTTCTATAAACGGGACAGAACGAAGACACGCCACGGCTACCACGGGGGATCTTCCACCAGTTCCAGTTTCATGTCATGCCATGCCATGCGATGCTATGCGTGACTTCGGAACGTTAACTTCAGCTTCCTTTCTAGGTCATGAAGCTACCTACAGCACCTCGTGGCTAATTTGATATGAAACTTAGTTTACTCCACTTTATTTCACATCACTTCACTTCACTTTACTTTACTTCAATTCACTCTATGCGGCATGCAGTAAGTAAACAGATGAATGTACGGAGTATATGAAAATAGGTATGGAAGTGGAAATAATCCGAAGAAGAATCACATCACATCACATTACCGGTACTATGTATGTACTTCTACTTGTATCTGTGACTACTTGGATGGGTGATTGTGGATTCATAGTATAATAGTATAGTATAGTGTATAATATACTATTATATCACACTCTAACTATACTTATAGCTATATTTTGTTTATAGCATTTTACAAATTACGGAGTACTGGTTTTGGGTTATAGTAGTGTGTATTGCAATTGGTGTACTAAGCATTTGGGATGATGAGAATGAGATATCCATGTATAGGTATTATAAGGTGCATATCAACAGTTACGAGGTAAAGATCAAGCATAATCTTCCTACCTATAACATCAATCTATCTATTAATATTCTGAAAAGTAACACCTCATTCATCTGTACCATCGTGTAGCATGTAACATCGTGTACTCACCCTCACTCCAACAACATTCGTTAACATTGCATGTAAGATTATGTTTCTGGAATGGCCTTTACCAAAATTAGATAATCAAGCAGCATGCCATTGCAATAATTAGCATCCCGCTCGCGCACAACAACTGGTGAACCAAAAGCCCCAAAAAATACCAGCAACGAAAATAGAAACAAATTAAATCATTTTAAAAAAAAAAATATTAACAACACTCACAAAGCAGCACCAAACACACTAACGAAAGCAGAAAAACACCATCATCCACCCAGCTGACCTAGAACTTAGAACCAAAAAAGCCAAACCCCAGTCTCAGCGCATCCCATCGAAATAATTGGCCAGAACCATCTACAAAAGTAAATTGATTGGCTAAAGAAAGGGAAAAACTAACATGCATCTAAGCGCCGCCAGATTTCGGAGCTTTTTTCTTTTAATACTAGCAAGGATGAGGGTACGAGACAGACAGGGCTGGGTTTATAGAACTTGTGGATTGGATTTTTTTTAATGGTGCATGCATGCGTGTTTATTGGTGCTGAGGGAAAGTGGGATCGTTTTTTAAGCGCTGAGAATCTGAGATGTGTGGTGTGGGTGGAGTTTTTGGCGGGGGATTGGAGATTTGTGTTGGTGGAGGTGGGAGGTGATTGGTTGGGTTGGGGAGTTAGGGGATAGGGTGGAGAGGGGGATTGAGGATTATTGTACTGTACTGTACTGCTGCGATGGGAGGTGTGGGATTGATCATGATCATGATTCATTTGATGAGGTCTGTAAATATCACAAGGAAGGTCGTTCGATGCAAGACTCTACTGTTCCTCTCATCGCTTTCGTAGGAATATCGGGATGCTGCTACAGAGTCGGACTGACCGTCAGTCAGAAACTGCTAACCTAACTCCCTGCAGCTCCTTGAGATTGATTTCTGAGGCACAGTATTGAATCGGGAAGGAATGCCATGGCTTCATTTGACATCTAATATTGTTGACGGCTTCGAATCAATGCAAGACATGGATGCATATGACCATCAAAAGAAAAAACTTGGTAAGATACATCGGGAGCATTGGGGCGTAATTGCTTACTTTTCCTGAGAGAAGGAGAAGACATGACATTCTCTACGCCAGGATATCGCTCACGCCCTTTCAAATGATGAATAGCCTCCAATATGAGGTATCCTATTCCAGCATGCAAGATAACAAGACATTTACAATCTCTATTTACAAACTACTTAGCCAAACGTGGGGATACGATACTAAACTGTATCGAAAGCAAAAATCTATCGAATCAAGCCAGGATCATCGAGTCTCCACAGCCTTTTCTTCAAACACTTCCTTCACGTAAAGTATCACTGAAACGGACCATGGAAAGATTAGGTATGATGTCGGAAATCAACATCATCATCCATCCATCCATTCATTCATTTAATCTAATATTGGCTTACTCCGTATACCGGATCCACCAGCTAGTTCTCGTCGCACCGTCAACCGTTACCTTTTCACTGCCACTGCCGATGTTATAGCTAATCACATCACAAATTAAACACTAGAGCACTGCACCCGCCGCCCGGCTTCTCCGAAGCATAAATATACATATATTGCGGAAAATTGCGAGGTTCCTCGCTGTAAAACTCCCTCCAGGAAAGAATCCCGTGATTTACATCCATCGGAGAGTACGCACTACGCCGCAGCGGGTGGAGCTCTAATGAAAGAGGGAAATTTCAATAACATATTACCAACACATCCGGTAGTTGGTTTTCCATTCTCCTAACTTGATGAGGCTCGTTCCGAATACTTTCGGGTTGAGTCGGTCTGCTTTGTATTCGGTGATGCTGGAAAGGATGCGATAACTTAACATTGAAAATGGGTGTTGGCATACATACTGGCCGCTTATGATGCGGCCACTTTCTCCATTTCACTGCATATTTTGTTCCTTTTACGGCAGCAAGGAAGAGATTTTTCTGTTGGCACGAGAATTTTTTCTCCAAATAGTTGCTTTATTGAAGTTCATTCACCAAAAGAAACAGATGCTCGGTTTGCTACATAAACTTTCTAAGTTTCTAGCCAGAAATATGCGGTCCCGTCAAAAGAGGCTCTAATATTTGATACGGAGTACTTCAGCTTGGAATATACACGTGTATTTCGCCCAGGTCAACCTGGTCATGAAAATTTCCTGGGTCTTCCATCCCCCACTCTAGAAGCATAAACATCTGTGGGGGTCAGCATGCGCAGTACTGACTCTATCTCCCTCTATCATTACGGGATCTTACATACATTGATCCCTAGCAAATTAGCAAAGCTCGTTTGCGGCGGCTCAAATGATTACCAAAATCAAGATGTCATGGCATCGCTGTCCGACTCACTCCACTTCTAGCCTCATATCATGGTTCATTCATTTATTCGAACTTCGAAGGATTGAAGATGCAGATGCAGATGCAGAAAATATTTTTATGGATCTCCCAGCCTTGTACTCCTCCGTATCCAAGTCTTTCCTTCATTTTTAATACTCTAGTGACATTTGAATTGATTCAATTGATTCAATCCATTCGAAGGATTCAAAGATTCGGTTTCGAATTTCATCATTTGTGTTCTAGATTATGAGCCAAGAAGGTTTCAGTGTCTGATCGGCTCGGAATTATTACTCGGGTTTTTTTCCCGGGGAGGTGTGTTGAAGGGTTAATGTTTTGAGCCTCTTGAGTCTTGATATTGGAGTGGAGTGGACTCGTTTGCTAGGCAACAGGTGTGAGGATGTCCTCTTGGGAAGATATTCCGGGGCATTAGTTTGCTCCAGAAGTTTTGTTTCGTCGGGGGTGTGGCTGTTTCTTGGATAGTGGAATGGTCATGGGTTTTGACAGACGCGAGTTTGCTTCAGAAGTTTTGGTCCTCCGGGGACTTAATAGAATGTTTCCTAGATGATAGTCATGGGTTTTGACAGCCGCGATATTACTCTCTACAGATGGATATCTTGTTTGGACTCGGCTCTAGCTAGCTAGCTATAGCTGGCCACTTTGATTCAAGTGCTGTTATTTTATTCCAGAATATACGAGTAGAAGCTGCAAGTTTTGATCTGCGAAGTTGTGCTTGCCAAAGCAGCACTGGAAGGAAGTTTCCTTGCTTCGAAAAATGAGCAGTGAGCACTGCCTTAAGCGCATTGATAGGATTTTGGTATCTAGTGTATCTGCTCGCTGCCTGAATATGTTCTGCGAAAGAGAATGCGGGCTTAAAGATAGGGGAAGTTAGATCTGTGATGATGATATGCGAACATCATTCACATTTAGCAGAACATTCATTTCTTGTTACGAGCAAGTAATTCTGATACTACCAAAAATGAACATAGAGTTATGCTGCCTGTACATCGATATAATCGTGAACCTATAGTACATTGATAAACTTACCCTTCACACAGACCTACCTATAGAACATATTCAGCTAAGGATAGAAATAGCAAAAAGCCTGAAGAATTTACTTTATTGAAAGATCTCACACATAAAATAATTAGTTGTAATCTTATCTACCTATAGCTATCCCTATAATATTCAATATTCAATATACATTGTAATCCACCCCTCCGTCTTCTCAACATACCTCCATCAGTGCCTCCAATCTATACTCACAAGTAATCTAATACAAACTCTTCACTCCTCCTTCCATCCACTACCCCATTAATCCATTCACCCCCCCTCCCCACCAAATCCAAACATCACAAACACTACTCTAATTCATCAAACTTGAGGATTCAATAGCATTCCATCTCCAGTTCCGCTCTTTGTGTTGTTATTGTTGTTTTTGAAGTAGCCACGGGATTGTATGTGAAGAGGAGGAAGAGGAGGAAGAGGGGGAACTTTCTCACATTCTTGTGGAGCTAGTGAGTGGTATGACTTAACTTAGTGTTGGTGATGAGGTTAATTATAGAGGGTCAATTTTTCGGGGTTTTTCATTGTTCTTTTCTTCTTTCTCCTTTATGAATAGGGGGGGATATCATGAATGTAGTACGTGGCGCGTGGTGCAATTAGCTATGTGTTTGATTTATTCATTATTTACCTATTTGTGGGACATCCATTCTCTGTCTACCAATCTATTATTTTCCTTAAAGATTATAGACCACTATTGATCAATCTACTATCATTCCTGCTGCAGAAAACTCTCATAATCAATCACCAACTCCACCCCGCATAAACCCTCACTCTCCCCCTTCCCTTCCACACAAAACCCTCCCCCACAAACTCAAAACCCCTCCAAATGACTAGCACACCTCCTCCCAGGCACCCCCCTACTCCTCTCCACCAAACACGCCACCCCCGTTGAAATCAAATACGGCGCCGCAGTCAACGGATCCACAATTGTATGCGCGCCCAACGCCCCCCTAACAGCCTTCGTATACCCCCTCACCAACTCCGCAGCAAACTCATCCGATTCCTCCATCAATCCCTCCAAATGAAACAGCGCGCGTCCATAACACGTACTTGATTTCGTGATGGAATACGCGTAGGGTTTTACGCAGGCGGCTATACATAGTTTGCGGGCTTCGTGGGAACGAGGGAGTTGGAGTGCTTTTTGTATGTGCATGCGTGAGGGAAATTCGCCTCTGTTGGAGGAGTGGCGGAGGTGCGTTTTGAAGTGCGTGAGAATGGGGGTGAGCGGTGGGGTTTGGATTTGGAGGGTTCGGTGGTGGGTGAAGAAGTGGAGGTATAGGGTTTGTTTTTCAGAGGGGGTTGTGATGGTGTGGGGGAATGTGAAGGTGTTGGTCGAGAGGAATTGGATGATTAGTTGGAAGACTGTGAGGGATGTTTCTGGGAGGTGTAGTTCTTGAGGTAAGGGGAGGTTTTTGTTGATATTCTCATTACCGTTACCATTACCATTAAAAGCCTGATTGAAAAATGCTGAATGTGTACAAAGCAGAGCTTTAGGTAGAATGAGCGCTTGCTGCTGCTGCTGCTGTTGTTGTTGGTGATTTTTCAAGCCATCTCCAGTACCAAGAAAAATCTTAACAGTGGGACCACTGGAAAGATCGATAGTGCTAGGACCTCAAAGTTAGTTAATCCTATCTAGGTATCTATCCCATACCAATTACAAAAAGCGCATGGAGTTTGTAATGCATATAAGAACCTACAACAACCTATCAATACCTAGGTAAATATTAAAATCCCACATACCTCAAAAAGACATCTGCAGGAATATCTCTCAAAGCCTGTTCTTCTGAATTCGCAATTCTATTTCTCCTGTTGCGTCGATCCCATGGTTGACTTTCAGTCTCGTCGCTGTATTCATCGCTAGAGGTTTGATATTCGTCGTCGTCTTCCTCGAAATGAAACATCTCGTCTTCCATCATGACTACTTTTGGATTCTTGATATGATATGATATTGAGTCTCTTGAAAGGTTGTTTGATATTGTGGATATCAAAGTGCTCGAATGAAAGTTGAGTTTGAAATCTGGAAAGTCGTCGGGAAGGGTCTTGATATTGAGGTTGGTGACCAACAAGGTATTTTGATATTGTTGTTCTAAGATGGAAGGTAAATGTCGAGGAGGGGAAAATAAACTTCTTTCAAGGCTTTGATTTCACGCTAATCTTGTACAATAGCATTGAATAATTATTTGACCAACAAGGTTCTTTTTCATTTTTGGTTTGCCGTTGTACAAAAGTTACAAAGTTGCTATTTAATGCGTCTGATACGTCATATAGTTACCTATCTACTCTGCTTATCCCACGTCTTTATATCAAGTCCTTCCATTATTCATCGCAAGCCAATCATTAGCTTGAAGTGTGTTGAAGTGACAGAAGAGATTCCTATGTTATTATCTACATGGCACAATCATAATGTCATCAGTACATCCTCATCCATTTTCCCTTAGTAGTAAAATGTCTCGCCATCAAGAAGATCTCTCGACTCGGCGTACTTGGCTGGCACACGTTTCTCTGCTACTTCACCATATACACGCATGAGATCCGCCGCAAATCCATCCAACTCCTCGAGTTCCTTCTTGAAAACGAATGTCCGAGCTTGCTCGTTGGAGGGATTGACAGATTCAAGGTAGGCATGGATACATGATCGAGCGAACAACATTCGAAGTCCATGTCCAGTTGGGTAGTTGATAGCCTTACGAATATGTTTTGCCAAAAGGTTACGATGATCATCTACAAGTAATTGTTTGATATTATCCAATATCCTGTCTGAGATATCAAGGCTAAGCTTCTCTGCCAACTCGTGAAAATCTACAAGTGTAGTCTGCGAATATTGAGGGGTTAGCATTGCTCCATCCTGTTGAAGGTTTCATCCCGTTCCATTATTCCATCTTATGTAAATGTTCTCAGCCACCCGAATCATGCAAATAAATTCGAACATTGAAAGCTCATGGAGACTTACTATTTGCTCTGATCCTGATCCTGCCATGAAATTTGGGCACACAAAGGTACCAGTGTAGAGGAACTGCACAACGAAATCGAAGGCTAAGGTTGAGCAATCCATCTTGAGCATCTCCTGCGAAATTTGACCAATAGTTTCAACTTTGATGCCGGTTTCGAAGTATGGCGATGCTTGAATGAGTAATGCTCTGGGTATTCGGTAACTTTTGACCACTAATGAAGTACCGGCAGCAACAAGAACTTCAGGGCCGCGAAATAAATCGAGTCTATTTGTGAACTCATTGGCGGAAAGTTGAGCAGCGATGTTATGAGTTGTCTTGGCGCGTTTCTGAGGCGGCGCATCAAATGGTTTGTGTGATGCTAAGGTAAATTCAATATGTGCAAGGTAGAAACAAACTGGTTTCAAAATTAAAATCGTCTTGATGGTAAGTTAACATACCATTGGCAAACAGGCTCCCCAAACTTTGAGCTGCCGGATTACCAGCAGCAGCAACCTTGACCGAGCTAGATTTTAAATGGTTGAAAATTGTAGTAGATGAGCTAGAACCAAAGATGTTTGACCTCGCCGGCGTAGCATTTATATTCGGGCCACCCGTTTCTCTGGAGACACTAGGTGTAGAAGGAACCGATTTAGCAGAAGACAGCGGCGTTGAAGTATTCATTGCTGATGATACTACTGTTGCAGTTGTGCTGAAATCACATATTTTGGTTGAAGAATTCGAGATAGGATGGAGTTGTACACTATTCGACGCAGGAAGAGAAGACGTTCCGGCTGGCTCAGATTGATTGTCGTACATGACGGGAGCTTGATTCCATACTGTAGCTGTAGCTGGTGGAAAGTAACCACCCGAAGTGGAAGGAACCGATATGGTACCAAAAACTGGAGATCTTGAGTTATTCATTTTCTAGATCGTTTCCAGTAAAACTTAAGATGGTGAAAAGAAGAGAGATTCGATGGCTACCTTCTTTAAACGTAAGGAAAGTTCTTAGCGGAGTTTGAAAATGAAGTTACGACCTTGATTTCCTGAACGCGACACTTTATGGCTGGACTCAATTTGAAGTTTAAAGATGATATTAAGGTAGGCCGGTAGTAATCATATAAGCTTCCTGAAAACGTAAAGTTCCAATGCCGGCATTTAATTGGACAATGATACCTCTCACTTTTGAAATGTGAACATTTACAGAATAGATTATTTAGGAAATATCAAATACTGACTACCTAGTATGTTTTTGATTTGACACTAGAAAAGAAAGGAAAGAACCTCATCATCACATCACCACACAAGGCAAGAACATTAGATAAATTACCAAGTCTCTTTAATCTATGCTTACTACCTAGGTATACTCATCCACCAGCCTCCCTTTAAACGTGAACCGCACTTCATCATAATATCAGTACTCAACTTTCCCTTCCATCCAACACCAAGAAGACTCGTTTGTCCTACACCCATCCACCCAACTCGTGATCCGGAAAATAACACTTACAAGCGCATCTCCAACTAAAAGCCGCGAAAACAAAAACAATATAAAAGTAGAATCATTCCAGGTAGACCTCGTCAGCAATTCTATATATCGAAAGTTAACGGAGTAGTGAAGATACAGCAACAGGAATTCGCCTACGGAGTACACCTCCTTCCGAATCCCCACTACCTAGTACCTAATCCATAGACAAAATTTCAAAGAGCAATACCACCGGATATTATAAACCACTTCTTAGAGTATCAAAGAAGACTATTCATGCTGGTTTTATGTCTGCTGCCGACAGTGCTACTTGAGGGAGTACCTCTGTATCTCTGGTCCCCTGAAACGCCGCTCATGTCCACTTACTGTACACGCCTTCTATCGGAGAACTTTAGTTTGCGCGTACAGAGTTATAATTTATGAAGGATGGAGTGGGTTCATGTCGGGAAGGTCATCGGTTTACCTACTCACATCAAATCTTCCGACGCCTCTCCTGCTGTTTTCTTTCCATAGGTGCTTATCAGTCAACAATTTTTAACTGTTGCTCCTGTGGATTCACACCATGAGCTTGTGCACTTGTCCACAGCTACAAGATGCGCTTTTTGGCTCACTGTGATATCTTAATTATCAAATCCTTTAACAAATGAGATAATTTTTCACATTCTTCAAGTACCAGTACCAGACGCAATATACTAAGAAAGTTGTAAAACCAACGACTATTGAAATCTGAAATGAAACTAAGTAGTAACGCTGAATGAATGTAGACACCTCAACTTATCCTCAAATACTATGACTCCCCATCCCAACAACCAAAATCTCCAAATCCACCAGTAAACTGTAAAGCCCCATTCATTTTACCCAAATACCTCAACCCTCAAGTAACCAACCTACTTCGCTCCCACAATCGCCCTCTTAAACACACTGCCCGTCGCGAATTTCTTTCCCGTCAACGGGCAGTGCATCGACAATCGGGAAAAGCCTCCACTATCCGGCTTGCCCAACGCCATATCATTCAACAATGAAGCTACAAACCTCAAAACTCTCAATTCTAGACCATCAACTTCGTTGAATAAATCTTTGAATGTTTTTGCCGTCGACTTCACATTAGCAGTATCAGCAGTAAGCAGGTGCTTGGCATATGGCTCGACGAGGAAACTTGCTAGTAGCTCTCGGACAGATTCGTCGACTGGATTCGCAAAAGCATCTTTAAGCACTTCCTTAAATGTTGAGTTGCAAGTGAATGCATCTTCATCCTCGTCATCCTCTTTTTCCGTTGCGGCAATAAGTGCATTCTTAAGGTTTTGTTTTACCATTTCGAGAGAGCCGTCGAGTTTTAATGCTTTTACAATCTTAAAAAATTGAATGTACGATCGGACTTGGTCAAAGGATTTAGACGATTTGCTGATGATGACGTTGCCACTATACATCCACTGAAGTGCCATATTGAAAGTCTCGACGTCCCACTCATCGAGCGACATTGTCTTGACTTGTTCATCGCTATCACTCGTGACGGGTGGCGATTTGATTTTCTCCTCGATGACGTCTGAATAGTAGGATAGAAGTTCTTCGGACACAGTACGAGTCACCCCACTAGTTGTACTTTTCGAAGAGGCTAGAGAGACGACTAACCTATTCCCTCGGAAAAGTCCCGTTTTCCTGTAATAAAAAATAAGCAAGGTGATGCTAATATATGGATGAATCATTACTTGCCTATAAAATTCACAAGCTGGAACTTCAAAAGCTCCCTGAGATTTACTAAGTTTGATTGTTTCCTTGGCCACTGCATCGATGCTCGAAGGGGTCTTCATCTTGAAATTGTTTGATAGTAAATGGAACAATGAATAGTAGATTGAACCTAATTTAATGTTCAACCAATAGTCAGTTATGCTCAGAGGATCTTAAGTAACAGATTCGGGGACAAAAAAAATACTACACATACCGATGCCTTTATTTCCTTCGTAAGTTGGTATGAAAGTTGGACTTTGTTTCCCGCATATGATTTATCAGTTAACGAAGAAAATGATGATCCGTAGTTCTTAAGTATCGATTATTTACTAACATGCTCTTTGTAACAATTCTGATTCATAATATGAACTTATGGTACGATTGCTGGGATGGAGCCAAAGACATGGTGCGAGAATCATCTAGAGATGATAGCCCAGAGAAAGAGCAAGCATCATACACATGTCCAGTCAGGGCTCCTTCCATGTAAGATAAACTCCCAGTTGTACCACTGTAGATTGGTCGCAGCTCTCGATAATAAGCATAATACTCTCTTGTCACCAATTTTGGCAGTCAAACATTTATTCGAATAATCACAAGATATGGGTTCTGCTTCGAAACCTAGAAGCGCTCTAGTGAAGCTGAGTCCGGCGACAGGGCTCCATTGTAGAAAGATATTCGTGGTTCATTATTTAATATTATTTCCCTGTCCTTGCGGGTACCCCGAATAACACAACTCAAGCCAGCGAATGCTCGATGAGCTTCTTGTAACCCCTAACAGCTTCCTCGAGGTCAGAGATTTTCAAATGCTCGTGATCGGAATGAGCCACTAAAATATCTCCAGGTCCATAGAGATACCTCTTGTGGTCTCCTTTCAAGTTTGGAACATCAGTACCGTAGTTGACTGTGATGGTATCAAAACCTCCCACATCAGTGTCACAATGCACTGGTCCATACCCTTGAGTAAACTCAACCTTTAAATCCTGCCCAGTCTTCTCCACAACATCCAAAACTAGCTTTTGTATCTCCTGTGGCGTACCAGCAGCGATCCTGATAGCAATCTTCGCCATTGCGTCTTCCGCAATAACATTTGCCGCAACGCCTCCCTCAACCCTTCCGATATTCAGCGTGGTATTTCCATACTTCTCGCTCCACGGCAAGTCCATTCTTCCTAACTCATAAAGCGCCGGTATCAACATCGAATTGGCATTTCTTCCTAGTGAAGGATATCCTGAATGTCCAGCTTTGCCCTTCGCTGTAAGATGTATGCTCATAATACCCTTATGCCCAGCCGCCAATTTCAGTTCCGTAGGTTCGCCAAAAATGACCGTTTCCCATGAGAGACCCAGCTCATTGGCTTGCCCCATACCAGCTCCATATGTTTCCTCGCCCACCACAAACAAAAGCGCAACATCCCCTTCACCGATCTTGCCCGCCGAAATAAGGTCTTGATATGCAATAATCTGAGCCGCAATACTCGCCTTTGCATCTACACTTCCTCTACCCCATATTTCATCACCTCTTCGTTCGTATGGCCAATAAGGAGGCACGGTATCGATATGTGATGTTACTAATGTCCTCGTTCGTCTCTTGTCTCCAATGTATGCTAGCACATTCTGGCGCTTCTTATCCGAAGATGACGATTCGACGAAATCGACATCTTGTATTTCCACTGTAAGATTCTGCTTCTTTAGATAAGAAACTAGGAATGCGCCGGCATCATGTTCGTTTCCTGAAGTGGATTCAATTTCGACAAGGGATTTGTGAAGTTTGAGGAGGGATAATGAGCCTGAGAATGATTCGTCGATAATTGGGGTCTGCGAATCAAATGAATGAACTGCATTTACTAGGAGAATGAGAGGAGAGAGTGTGAGAAGCCTCATGATGAAGATAGTTGTATTTTTGATGAGGTTGCAACAGCTGTGGAAGGGAGCTCAAAGCTTCGGCGAATGACATTGCACAATTGAGCGCCAAAAGATGATTTACCGATGAGAAGCCGAATAATGTAGCACGTGTGGAGAGCAGGACTTTTGCCAAAGAAACATTCTGAAGATAAGGTTGAAGATAGTTACACATCAGTGAGCATGCCAACTCATAAGCCCAATCCTCTTGGCTTGATACATTTAAAAGATAAGAACTTATGTGGTATCATCATTAGAAACAGTACTACAATAATATACAAGGCCGCGATTATACCGCTATCTTAACTCCTTCAAAAGCATCTATTAGACTTTTTGGCGGTCCCTCATTCATCGCCATCTTTTCTCCAAATTCGGGGCTGTCTTCCCTTACTTTGAAACTGTATCCATGCACCCAGTATGTCTTCTGAGGGACTAATGCAGCTTTTCTTAGCTCTTCTATGTTCTTTTTGGCATCCATACTGATACACAAGGCGGAGTCGAGTTCTTTAATCCCAGGTTCCTTTAGCACTGCTAGAGCAGCAAGACCTAGATACGAGTGATAGATGTCTGGTATATCCCCTGGTGTTTTCCCAAATCCACCAATCATATGTTGTGTTTTCTCGAATAGAAACCTTCGAGATCCATCTCTGTTGATAACGTCGCGGTGCCCAAGCATGTTTAGAGAAGCTCCAACCCAAAAACAATAACAAGTATCAACCTTCTTATTGCACCGCCCATTGAAGCCAACGAATGTAGAGTCAACTTCCGGTACAAAATAATGGTCCGATGCCGCTTCTTTGTGATTATTTTTATCTCCTTTCTTTTCTCCATCATAAGATGTCTGCCTTAATGCTAGCCATCTAATAGTCTCCGGCAGGTTCGTGAGACCGGGTAAAGTGGGGTTTGAATTTGACAAGTCGGTAGATTGCGAGGAGGGGCATTTCGGCAGCCGATCGAGGAGAGATAAAGATGCTATGGCACAATAGGTATACCCAGCATGTGCCTCATGCTGAGCACTCTCTGAGATCCCCCCATCATATGTCTGCCCAGCTCTTAAATGCTCCACCAATTTTTCCACATCAATATCATCATCTCCCATCTCCTCATGCGCATCTTCGGTCAATATCCATCGAATTGCTGTAGCCACATAGCAGTACCTCATATCTCTCCCACCTTGTATTTTCCCATCTTCCGTAACAAATTCGCCAAAACTTCCATCTTCCCGCTGCAGCCTTTTCATCCATCGCAAACACTCTCTTCTCTTCACATCCACTAATCCACCCACAAAACCTAGACTCAAAATGGCAAAAAATGTCGCAGCTAAATTCGCAGGATCAACATCCCTTTTCCCATGCCCTACATCCGCATAATAAATATCGGGAAACCTATGATTAGTAGAACCACAAAAGCCTCCAAAAGGATGTTGACACCTTAGAATCCCAGCTCGTATAGACCTGCGTTGCGACTCTGGAAATGTAGATGCGCCAACATTAAGTAAATCGAGAGCGGAAAGTATGAAGAAGCCAAGAGTCATGCGCGTGGAATCGGTGCTGGTATAAGCAGTAGGTAATAGAGATTTAAAACATCTTTGCCAATACTTGATATGTTTGGCAACCTCCAACTGAGGCTCTCCCATCTCGACAGGCTTGTTAAAACGCAAAAAGGTTGTCTGTTATCATCTGATGCTTTGAGAAATCGCAACTCAAGAGATGGTGGACCTCGGAACATTTTCTAAATATCCCTGCTTCGGATCGGAAGAACTACAACGCCTATATGAATTAAAGTTTTTAAGGGTAGCATCTGGCCTTGGAGCTTTTACGAATGTTACCTATTGACCAAAAAATCGTCCAGCTCATCCAACCTTCACCCTTACACATACTATCCCCTTCCCCATTCAAATCGATCTTTGGAGAGCAAAATACTTTCAACATGGGGTTAATTTCAGGAGCAACAATCATTACCTCTCTCTCTCTTTTCCACATCACCCTCGCATTCTTTTTCATTACAAATCCAGTTGCGATTGCTGAGCAGTCGCTGGTTTTCATTATGGGTGAATCCATGGGAATGGTAAGTTTCACTTCCATCTCCGAAGTTCCGATGAATTGATATGCGCGACAAGCTCTGCGATTAAAATCTTCAAGAAATATATGCTAATATCCAACATGATAGCCCTACGAACGTTCCTTCGACCACCCGTCTGCACCCATATCGTTTCTCGGAATTGTATTCCTCTTCCTTGGTATCACCGACCTAGTTTCCGTATCTATGCCTGAAGATATCTCCCAATATCACTGGGGAACTCAAGGTTCGTCCCGTTATCCTCCTTCTTTTATCCACGCTCAAAAATCATATCTAACATGCCCTTCCGCAGCACCCATCCGATTTTCCATCTCCGCCGGCCTAGCCTTGTATTCCTGGCTCTTCTCCTCCGCCTCCCCTATGCTCACCTCACGTAGCTCTTACCGCAGTGGTGGCTGGGGCGAGGGTCTCAAGAACCGCGTCATTTTTACATGGGGTTTTATTGAAATGATGGCTTGGTTCTGGGTTTTCGTTACTTTGAGGGAGGAGCGACAACAAATTGCGATTAAGAAGGCTGAGAAAAAGGCTGCTGAAGAGGATAGGATGTGATGGTATTTGATGCGCTTTTTTCAACATGAAATCTGTGCTTATATGCAGCTGTATTGGACATAATTTAACGTGATATGAACATCAGTCTGAGAGGAATCTTTGATAAATGCGTGAACATTATGTAAGTAGGGGACTGAGAAAACTTGACCAACTACAGTCCGTCTACAAGTCATCTAAGAGGTAGATAGATCACTGCGTATCCGTAATTTTGACATGTATCTGCATCGCCGCGATATTTTCTTGCAAATCTTCCACACCAGCCCTAAACCTTCAACATCCCCAGTCCAGTCACCGACTCTCTCCAGCCCTCTACCACAAACCCAGCCCATTCTTCTATGAAATTCTCTCCTACCAAACTTCTCAACTGCTCCCCCGAATCTCCCACCTCCATAGTTTCCAACGCCCTATCAATCCACCCACTTTCATCCAATCCATTTTTAATACCCTTCGTCTTCTCAGCTACTGCTTCCATGACTAATTTTGCGCTTTCAACTAAAGCTTTATTCTGCTCCATCTGATATTTGTGAGCTTTGGGATCTTTCTGCGCAAGGAATTTCGTGGCATTGATGATGGTGGACGCGAGATCATAGGCTGTGTAGAGTGTATGGAGAGTGTCCCACAAAGCTGGAATTGCGTTTTGAGCTTCTTCGATGAAGGAGAGATGTTGTTTTATTTTTGCGCAAAGGGATTTATTGGAGGTTTCGAGTGAGGTTTGGAAATCTGCAGCGGATGATGCGGCGGGGTCGCAAGCTTTGGTTATGATGGAAGCGAGATGGGTGTATGCCTCGAGTGCTGAGGTTTCAGAGCGTGTCAAGAAGGATCCATCTGGGCTGGCTTTGATCAATCCTGCTTGTTTGTGCAACTCTGTTGATACTTGAGAAAGGATCTCTCTAAAAGATGAGAGGTCAATTGGAGTAGATGTGGATTCAGGACTTATTATGGAGATCAACTTCTCAACAAGCAGGTCTACACGGCTTCGGTTGCTCTGGGCAAAATTAATAGGTTGCAAGCGAAATTTTGGTACGAAAACTTACAGATGGACTTGGTGCAAACCGGGTCAACTTCTCAAGCCCCGTGCCTAAGGTAGATTCGTAGTCCGGAAATGAAGTATAGTCATTGGAATCCGAGAATTTATCCAGCATCTCCGGATTTTTCGCTAGCCACATGTTAGATATATTTCGATTGTTATCAATTGACGGGGCAAGCTTACGAAGAATGTCAAAAACGTCAGAAGGCGCGTCCTGCTTTAAGAGTCGCGATATCTTTGTGGTTTCTACAGCAGAAGATACTGCCGATAATGTGTTGGTAATAATGCTAGAAAACTCTTGGAACTGGAATATTGTGTTGAAACTTCCATGCTCAAACGCTTTCCAGGTATTATTAGAAACTTGGTGGCGGCAATTCGTGTACATCTTTCTTTGATTCCTGAGATGGTCCACGGGCTTCAGATTCTCAGATGAACCATCCGGAGCAGTGGGGAATGGATGTGGATGCAGGGAAGATATCCTATCAAGTATAATGTAACCTAGAGTATCGAGCTGTATCTGCTTCAAGCTCAGGTGCAGATATGCTTTCATAGCCTGTTGACCGCAGCCAAGAGAAGAGTAAATTCTGACCAAAATCAGTGCGAAGTCAGAGTTCGATTTAGACTTTGACCAGCCATATTCAAGGAATACTGCTGCTTGGAGAGCATACGCAATTTTCTTGCTATTGAGAGGTCCTTCGACATCGCTAGAGCCAGAGAGAGAGAGTTTCACCAGGCACATTGCCGCTAATGTGCAGAAATCATCGGCAGGGTGCCGATCTGTAGGGAGAAGGGATTTAGAGACTCGGTCATCGCTCATTGCAGAAGCGTAAACCGCAATGGAGTTTTTGGAGAGTTGTTGGAGACACACATCACAGTATACTTCGCAAGGACTGGAGCAGTACGTGCAAATAAATGACTGTTGACCAACTTTGTGGAGTGGGTTTGACCGACGTTCGTGTTCGGGGATACTACTCATTATAAGGTAATTCAATTTGTGAAGGTTAACACATCTTGTCATATCGTTTGCATTGTCGAACTATATTATAAATCAGAAAAGTGTTGGCGGATCAAGGTTTTAGGGTACACTTACTTCGTTTTTAGAAATTGACAGAGCTTTGAACTCAGGCTCCACATCATTTTTCTTCGTTTTCTTGCCGAACTGAAGTCCATTTCCGAAAATCTCGAGCAGTTTAATCCTTTCTTCGGTTTGCGACAGCTCCAAGTAAGGTCTGAGATCGCTGTAGGCTGTGGTAGCATCACCAAAGTCCTGCAAATACTTGACGATTGCAGTCACTCTAGGGTACTTTTCCAGGTCTTGTCCCGAATCATCACTAGCAAATGGGGTAGAAGAACTCTTAAAGGTAAAGTCAAGCCAGGCTAAAGATGCATTTCGTCTCCAAGTCTTGTCAATTCCAGATGTGGGATCCAGATGAGCTGCAATCTCGTTTGAAACACTGTCTAGAGCTCTGATTTTGTAAGTCTTTGTCCCATTTTTGACACCAAAGTACTTACGAGGGGTTCTGCAAAGCAAGGGCGGAGCGTAGATACGCTTGCCATACGGCCCAATCAGCCATTCTAGCCTCGATGATTTGTCCGCGTTCATCCTTCGTGCGTGCTCGTTTGAGAAGACTACCAGTTGTTTCAAAAAGTTGTTCCCAGTGCCCAGATGCTTCCATGAGCTGTAATTTATTTCTCCATAACTCCCAATCCCCTTTAGCGACTATTGACTCGGGTCCGAGAGAAGGCTCATTCAGATAATTTAACTGATCTTCTAATTGACCATGTACAGCAGTGATTCGCTGTAGAAGTAATAACTCCTGTGGTGTATGTATTGCGCGAGTCGGAAGAGACTTTGACTTCTAAAATCATAAATTTTGTCAACATCAGTAAAATTTTCGTGGCAGAAGTTTACATACATCTGCTTGTATTGTAGCGGTGGCAAGTTTACTAATCTGTCCAAAGGCCAAACGGCCCCATAGAGTTCTTTTTTCAATAGGCAGATCGGTCGACATCTGGTTACAAGTAAGCCGTCATGCTCTGGAACATGTTCCTGCCAAGTACCATTACTCACAGATCTTAAGAACAAGGATGAGATATTCCAGAAAACATATTGATGTTTACTAGGAAATGTTTTCTCAAGACTACTCGCAATCTAGCAAACATTTATTAGCATTCTCGTGGCGAAGAATGTGACCGCTTGAAATACCTGTTGAGCGTGTTCCCAATCGCGTTCCGACAAACAGGCCTTGAACGACTTCAGTGCGGAATCTTCCTGTTTGGGGTATGCTTTGACACACTGCCATCGCAACTCTCCAATAGTCCTTGCCCAAATTGATCCAGCCTCTGGAATGGCATTAACCAAAGCATCGTCATACAGATCAATGTCTTCCTGATCCGTAATAAAAACTTTCCTAGTGACTAAATCTTCGAGATGAGGGAGTACAACGTCTCTCTCCGATTGAACAGACGACCGCGACCTGATATAAATCTTGAATGCCTGGAGAGTTGCTTAGTTATATTTGTGAGGTGGAATAAGTATGGGTCACGTGAAGAGGAATGATCAAATTGTAACGACGAGGCCTTTAACCTGAAGTGATTCTCACCATTCACACGTACCTCTAAATGAGATGTCCTTTTTTTGGCCAGCCTCTTGTCAACTAATTTCAGAGCTTGCTTAAAATTGCCAGCCTCAATAGCATTCCAAATGGGGACATCTTGACGATCATTGAGTGACCTGTCAGCCATATCTCAAATGTTATAGGCCAACCAAGATATGTCAAGGGTAGTAGCTAAATAAAAATATCTTTAGAAGATGTGCAATTGATGAATTAGATATATGCAGATGCAGGTTGCAGTGGCTTGTCACGGATACAAGTTTAGAAACAAGCACAATCTTGTTACAAGTCAATCAATATGAACAAATAATTTTTTTGGTGGTTGCACCATTCGATTTCCATTAGCGAGAAAGAACAGAACAACCAAATTCCTAGCGCTTCAAACCATCTCAAAAATCACATTGGCAAACAGTAATGAAAAGTTATGATGAATAGTCTATACTATACTGCTTGTGTATTGAAAGTAGAGGATATTTTATATTGTCTCGTCTAATATCATGGCATTCTATGTTCAAAGGATGCTTATTAAATAAGCATTGATGCAGTATTATTTGAAATTTGAGAGTAGTAATATCTATTCAGATGCTTTTATAGAATAAGGTTACTTGCAATCAATAAAGAATGCATCAAACACGAGCACCCCCCTTTTTTAATCTCGAGAGCGGAGTGTCTTGGTGCTTCGAATCCTTGCCTCACACCTCCTCACACCTCCTCCTCATCCCCAATACATCCACCCCTACAGCCTTTTCAAAAACGACATATCACATATCACATACAAGACAAGCGTAATGTTTCCTTATGAAAACCACCCCGCTTTCCTCTTGGCTTCCTTTCGTTGCTCGATCTGGAAATAATATCAGTAAATGATTAGCTGACCTAAGAGAGAAAAGATTTCGATGTATACCCATTGCTTCTTGCAGTCTCGATATGCTCTTTCGAATAATCAGTACGTAATCCTTGTATGTATATAAGAAGTTTGTGAAAGCTTGTGACGACCCCAAGTTCCTTTCTCCCCAATTGTTCATTAGATATCAAGGATCCACATAAAGCTGAACTGTTACCGGTCTTCTACCTCCTTCCTCACTAAATCCTGGGGAAAGGCTTACTGGAAATAGTCCGTACACATATCTCTATCGCCTCCATTTCGAGCCAAACATTTCAAACTTCTCGAGGCAGCTTCTTGGCAAGGATCAAAGTATTCTCCGGGACGTTTGCTTGATTAGAAAATCAGTGTCTTGAATTCTTTCTTTTCCTCGCCACAGTCAGTTAACATGAATGAGATGGCCTATCAATACCTTTCAAATTTCTGACTTGTCTCTTGGTTCCATGGGTTATCTGTAGATTTATCTGATGACATAGTGTATTTTTGCTGTAGTGCAGATTGAGATGATATGGAGATGTTGGTGGTTGGAATCTTTTGTAAGTTTACCACTGGTCGCCCTTCTACGGAGTAAGTTCTCATACTCAGAAAAAGTCAAAGCTTCTTACTTCCAGAAGTCCCGACTGCCGATTCCCGATTTGCGATTTCCCCGTTGCTCAATGCCGATGCTGATACCCGATCAACCGAGACGGAGATCACATGTCAGCATCTGTGCTTTTCTTTCTTATCAATGAGCTGGGGTTTCTTATCGGCGCACATATCGGTAATTTTGGAAGCATTCCCATTGATCTCTCTATCTCTCTTAGCGACGTAACACAAAATATCATTGGCCACTTGGTGGAGCTCGTCTATCCCTAACCATTTCTTCCCTTCCGAACTGTCCGACTCTTGTTCTTACAACCTTACAACCTTCCTTCCTAAAACCTTCATTTTCGTCCCAACCTTATCAGGCCCTCGATATAACCCAGTAGTAAGATGCTTATTACACGTATGCTGCAGCAATTTCGACAGGAAGCCCAATATGCGACAAAATGAAAGAGATCTAATATCAACTCAATATCTTCCACACTCACTGAAAATGGATACATACTTGATCCGCCGTCAAGTCCCTACGCGACAGAGCTACAGTTACGTTAATTGGCTCAATTTACTAAGAACTTCAGCTCTTGGTAGAGGGCGTATGTACTTTACCAGGACTTCCTTTCAAAGGCCTTCTTTCACACAAACTATCCTCTCATTGCCAATGTTGTTATGGCGACCGTGTCAAATTCTTGTCAAGGGATGATGTTGATCACAAGACATTATCTTTTTGGAGGTTGAACGGCTCGGACCATTACCAACGGTAGATTATTGAGACGAAATTTTATACTACTTTGGTAGTAGCACAGATGCGAACTTATTCCAATTAAGAAGCTCATTATGTTCGTGTTCAGGATTGGTTACGAGGATGACTTTAAGTTTGGTACAGAGAAACAATAGAGATGTTACTCCTCCTCTTGCGACCTTATTACTGCAGCACTCCAGCGCGACGTTCACTTACGACCCCTCACTACGTCTCTTTTTTTCCCCCTTGTTAATGTTTCGGTCTTTTTGTCCTTTTGCCGGATGCTCTAAGAATGCTATATTCTTGATAGATGTCTACGTCTGCTAATGGCTCAATGCATCAAGCGAAGCATGCCAAACATAGCCGATAATGCTAATAAGCGTTTTTGTGTTCCATTTCGGGTCATCATTTCCAGTGGTCTGAGATCAACTCGTGTGATGCATTAGCCCTCCACGCCTATCGAATTCCTCCACTTTTGATTCTACGTGTCTCCACAATTGGTCGCCGCCCTTTAAACTTCGGTAATTTGTACTCCAATTATACGTCGTCAGCTGCAAAATCATATCACTGATGACGCTCGAGCATGGAACTAGTATACAATTCCCTCGTTCCTGTGGCTGATTTTAATGTTGAGTAGCTCACTGATTGGGCGTTGTGGCCAATCCAAAATTGGATCGCTACGTTATCTTGTGCCCATCTATCATTCGTGTTGTTTCCACTATCCATTTGCAGAAACACTTTCCATGCAAGTGTATCTTAGTTATGGTACCCTGCATTCATACCCCCCTTGAAGCAACGCTATGTTAAGTCGTCCTAGTAGAACATACAATTCTGCTATTCAGGCTAGACCTAGGTATGCTAATCGACCAGTCCGGACATTTGTCAACGATAAGGAGTACGCTGAAGTGACGATTGCTCCCAAGCTATCGTGAAATTATCTCCACATTCTCCGTCCAAAGCAATCTGGGAAAGGAAAACTCGCTGCCAAAAAAGGTGTGGAGGAGCAGAGCAAGGGCAGCCAGGACCGAAGCATCGAGGACGTGCAAAACTCACGGAGGATTGTTGGTAGTGTAAAGTGATGGTTGGTTGACAACCGTTGCGCCGAGAAATTACCACACAAACATGAATCGGAGTTCATTCGTGAGGCATTGAAACATTGCTCATAAATATAAAAGAACTGTCTCCCTGGAGCCGATACTCACAATAATCATCATAACATCTTTCATATATCATCTAGTTTTGTGCTATTATAACATCCATCAGCTCAGTAGCAAGTTCTTATCTATTTCCCCTCAAATATATTCAGCTAGTTAGTATATCCACATTCCTCCTTATTGTTCCAATGCGTTGTCTGCAATGCACGAATGCGTTTGCTTGCACCGACTCTTTCTTCACATCTTTCAAGATTGCTATCTAGACTTCAGACAAGCATTCACTGAATTGCGCTCAAAATCAATTGAGACTGAATCCGGAGCTTAAGACGTGGTGATCGAGCTGGCAATGCGTCAAACTCTGGTTAAATTCCTCGCTTCTCCTTATCCGTTCCGAGGGCCGCTCTCTACTTATGGGCTACATGACCCTTTAAGCCCACCAACTCTTTGTGTATTTTTATGTATTCGTCTGACAGTCAATAGTAGTAAATAACAGCCCTGGATCTCTGTACCTCCAATCTCCTTTCCAGTCTAAGAACTCTACACCACAAAACCACGCGACCTGAGTACCTCGACACAAAATCTTCAATAATCAATTCAGCCTTCCTCCGATACATCTATAAATCAACACAGCAAAAATGGCGACCATCGACGTGAGCTACCAACCAGGGACTCCTGAGCCAAACTTATTTCCCAAAATGGCCAACTATACTTCCTCTAAAACAACCCAAGACAGCCTCAAAAGATCGTTCGCCAAATACTTGGCTTCAGAGCACAGCACTCAAGCTGTTGGAAAACTATTCCACCCCGAGAGTCACATCCAATATGAAGAACCTAGCTATATCCATTCGATGGAAGAGATTGGATACTCTGCCACAAGTGGTGTATCTCCCATTGCTGTCTCCGAGCCTTTTCGTCTCTTTACCGAAGAGGCTGTCAACATTATGAGAGAAGAGATTTTCGACAAGGAAGTTCAAGAGAAATACAGCTACACTTCAGATATCGCCCCTAAACAGCTTCGTGGATACGCTCCTGAGTAAGTTTCAAATGTATTCCCTCATATTGGCATTGATCATTTGACTAACGTACCTTCTTCGACAGTCACGGAAAATTCATCTACGAGGCTTGGAAACACCCTGAGACTCTTGCAATTATCTCTAAAATCGCTGGTGTTGATCTTGTTCCGGTTATGGACTACGAGATTGGCCATATCAACTTGTCTGTTCCAGGAAAAAGAAAGGACCATGACAGCAGTGCTTTGATCAGCGAGGAAGATGAAAAGCCAATCGTTGGCTGGCACAGAGATAGTTATCCATTCGTTTGTGTTCTCATGATGAGCGACACAACAGGAATGGTAGGCGGCGAGACTGCTTTGAGAACTGGATATGGTGATATTAAGAAAGTCCGCGGTCCATCAAAGGTAAGATTTCCGTTACTCCAATTTAAGTATGTGTATTGATATTGTTCAGGGATGCGCTGTAGTATTACAAGGTCGCTATATTGATCATCAAGCTCTGCAAGCTTTTGGAGGACAAGAAAGAATCACCATGGTCACCTCATTCCGTCCACGATCCCCACGTGTCCGTGATGACACCGTCCTCACCACCGTCCGACCCATCTCCAACCTCTCCGATTTATATGGACAAACGGTCGAGTATCAATTAGAGAATGCCGAGGCCCGTATCAGAATCATGCTCAAGGAACTGCGCGATTCCATGAAAGCTGGTGCCACCAGCGCCAAAGCCATCAAAAAGTTCCTCGACTTCGAAATCGAACAACTCACCCATCTCAACGCAGAAATTGTCGATGAATCACTTGTGACGGCTGGAAAGCTGGAAGAAGTCTGCGCCGAAGCTGCGAATCCTAATAAGAAGCCCAGAGCCCAGTGAGTGGTTGGAAATAATGAAGGCTAGGCTATTAATGATCTTGATACGAATTCTCTTTGTTTATATTCCCTCTTTAGCGCCAATCATTCGGAATTGAAGAATAATCTTCTGGATTTTGGATTAAAGTCAAAAGAGCGTGCTACTTGCAGATTAAATACTTTCTCTTAATCTGTTGCCTGTTTGACAATTTTTGCCTTTGAAATTTTTTATATTTCATTCCTTCTTAGTATATAGTATTTTATGAAGTTTTACTAGCTTGCGTTTTGTTTTGATTTGATGGTGATTGATGTTTGCTTTGTGAATTTATTAGTAGGTAGGTATATAATGTTTGGTGAGATTGAAGATTAGTGGTGGGAGATTTCGTGCGGGGTGCTTATTCATTATTGGTCGGTTAGAGAGATGGGTGCCACGTATTTGCGTTCACGCGCGGAGAACCAATCTGGTGTTGATGTGAGGTTGGATTATGTATTTATACATTGGAGGAAGTGTACGGAACGGAGTAGTGTTTGGGGCCGGGGATATGGGGAGGAACAAAGAGGATGAAGTAATATGTAGATCTACTCTGTACTGTAGAGAGCTGGAGTTGGTATACGGTTGCTTGGTGATATTGTATTGTATAGTTGAATAGGTACTCGAGTACCTAGGTACTGGTACTTGGAGATTGATATCTAAACTGTTAATAGTTATTGCTCTAGATTTGGAATAGAGTATATTTTATTCCTTGTCGATTTGTGTAAAGTGTTACGAGGTTTGCCGTCTAGATCACGTGGAAGTGCTCTAGGCTCTCGAGGTGGTTTATAACTAGGCGTCAAGCAGGGACTTAAGTAATGACAATGATGCAACTCGTAACTAATAGTAGAGTATACTAAATGATTGATCTTGAGCACGAAGCTCTATACAAAGGAAATCCATCTTGATTATATAGACCTTCGTGGCATGCGTCCCAGTGCTCCCAGTTGTCCCAGTGATACTGGGACTACTGAGCCCACTGGGATCCTCATATCACATGATGTTTAGCACGTGATGTTCGTTATGTGAAGTCCGACGTAACATTTATTAACGAGAAAAGAAAAAGAGAGAGGGGGAGGGGAAAAGAGATTGAATTCCCGAAATCGGAAAGTATAAGATCGAAGAATCGTAACTTAGTCATAAAATTTCAGGCTATTCACTTTAATATTGAAGCTGTTCTATTATCTCGTTCCATAGTTTGAACAAGCCATAGTCCGAAAAATGTAAACATCACTGATCACAGAACAGTAATTTGCTGATTAAGTATCGTAGTAGGACCACTAGCCAGCATACCCCTGCTAGTACGGGTAAAGTTATGGGGCTAAATGATGCTCGCGCTAGCACACGTGATCACTATCCCCGTCTTTTCAGTACCTAGTAAGGCTAAGGTTATCTTTGCGGGATGCAATCAATTTGTGTGAACAGCATCGACTTTCATAATCCAGCATTGACTCTTCCACTACCACCTGCAGCCCAAGCTAGAAGGCACTTTGAGCGCCTTCGAAATAAGGTGCTTCTTTTCAAGAACTCAACGGATAAGCCAACCTATTTTCATTGCTGGCACATCTCCTCATCTCCCATCTCGAACGAGATTCCAAACCTGTTCCCGAACAAACCGTCCATACCGAAATTCATCATGGAACCCGCATCGTCTCCTACCACGGCCAGAGCTTGGTCAAACCATGGATCTCGCATGCGCGAGTCTACCGCTAGAAGTCTGGAGGCTACACCAGCTGCCACGAAAGTCCAAACTATCATGAACGTCGAAGATGAAGAGTCAGTTCAAAACGATACACAGGTTCGTCTGAAAGTTGTACATTCTATAGCACACGCTAATGCATTCTTTAGCTTACTCTAGGATTCAAAGATGACCTAATCTCCATGAGAAAATACCTAACGTGCTCCATCTGCGTTCAACTACTTTACGAACCATGGATCTTACAATGTGGTCATACATACTGTTATAATGTCAGTAGGCTTCAGGAACTTGAATATTTGAATAGGGCTGATGTGAAAATAGTGCTTATGCCAATGGTTCATTCCGAATAAGAGGAAGAAGACATGCCCAGAATGTCGCGCTCCGGTGAAGCAGATACCAGCTCCAGCCTTCCTTGTAAGAGAGTCTTGGGAACGTCATATCCGAAACTTATTTGTACTAATTAGCCCTAGATAAAAAATCTGGTCGAGATATTTATCAATAGAGGTCAATTAATGCCATATGACGAGACGGTAGAACAGCACAAGGTGAATAATGCCGAAGTAACTGAGATGGTAGAAAAAGATAAGAATAGCCCGGAAGGATTATTCGGAGGTTCATTTCCAAAAAGTCATGGGGAGTTATGGCGCGATGAAGCCGATGGGGTCATGCGATGTCCTTCCTGTGGGCATGAGCATGAGGGCGGTCCAACGTGCGATATCTGTGGTGCGGAGTTTGACGACATTTACGGTTTTAGTGATATGGATGATGACGGCGATCTTTCGGATATTGACGTTGGCTACGATGAAGATGTGGACCTGGAGATTGGAGCCGAATTTCAAATGGATGCCGACAATATTACCAACTTCGCCGCCATGCGCCATAATCCCCGCCACTATGCTTTTGGTGGTCCAGCTCACCAACATATTCTCAATCATTACCACGCTCATCATCTCACTATGGATGACACGGAGGACGACTCGGAAGGTATGACTAATTCCGATACCAGTGTTCAGGACAATAGTGAAGATGAAGATGCTGGGTCACTTGAAGATTTTATTGCACCAGAGGACGATGACAGCGAACCCATTCGCCACCAACGTCGGGTAAATAGAGTGGTTACTATAATATCAGATGAAGAAGGAGAAGAAGAAGATGATGAAGATGATGAATCCGAGGATGAAGGTGGTGCGATTACGAATCGTCGACGACGGCGACCTGGCTGGACCCGCTCTTCCGAAAACCCTTCTAGATCCATCTCAATTTCGGAGGATGGAAATGGTAGCAGTACAAATGGTTCGGAGTTTGGTGATGATGATGCTCATGAGACGCGCATGAGATTGAGAGCATCAGGTGGCTGGAGTCCACTGGATGAAGGAGATGATGAAGATAATAACGGTCCCCGTCATGATGATTACCGTGGTTATGCGACAGCCGAAGACGAAAGAGCTTCGGACGAGAGCGATTCGGAGACAATTGGTAACCCGAATTCCGATGCGGAAGACGATGATGATCGATCTCGGCAAGGGCTCTCGGAGACACCACGTTATGGAAACGCAGACTTTGAACAGTTCCCTGATGATTATGCTTCAAGCATTGATGGGGATGCCACACCAATCGATTACTCCAGAGACAGAGATGATGCATCAAACAATTACGGTAGCGAGAACGAGAATCGTTACGACTATGACACTGACGGGGACCATTCAACCAATATGGATCGGGATGGTGACACTGAAATGAGCGTCTCTCCTAGTGTATTATCACGTTCTAGTCGAGATGTGAGCGTGGAAAGTAACTATGGCGAAAATCTTGGTATTGCTAATGAAATGGCTGAGGTTGATGATGATTTATCAGACACCTCTAACGACTTTAGTTCACGTCGACAGCCAAGACGGAATCCCGTTGTTCAGCAATACGACCCAAGAATAAGCATGTTGTTTGCGGAACATCAAAATACTGTTAGGAACGCTCGGAACCCCGAGGATATGAGTCCTTGGGGAGATGATCTCAATAGAAATATCCGTGTGGAGCCGGCCTCTAGGAGTCGTCGCCGAGGTCAAAACCATTATCAAGCCATGTCGATAAGCAACAATGGCGCAAGAAACAGTCATCATCGCGCCATGCAACCGCATGGCTCCGACAGAGTAAGAACATCTCGAGGTTCTCCACCACGTCTCTTACCCGTCTCTAGCAGGAACAATCGCTTGCAGAGGCAGTATCCAATGTAGAAAGGTAGAACAGAATTATGTGGCGTTTTGGGACATACTTCTAGGCTTTCATCTTAGCGTGGCTGGGCTGGCTGGGTAGGAAAGGGAGTTTAGCGTTCAATACCATGACGGGAACAGCGAGAGATATGGATGGTCTGGCGTTAGTCGATGTGAAAAATAAGTCTCATGCATCTAATCTAATTGCTGACGTGAGCTGTATCTGTCTCTGTCACTACATACTGCATAGGCTACATATCAGGAAATTATACTAAAAAATTTGATGGTCAAATTCTTATGTGAGAAAAAAAAACTTTTGTCTTTGTGTGTGCGTGCGTGTGTATTTATATATGTGTATTCATCCGACCCGATTTATTCTCAAGAAGTGATTGATTGGTTGACGCGTAAATCGAAATTATAATCGAAATGATAATCAAAGTTATATTAAACTATATCAAACTACCTATAAGTTAAGTGAATGGGTGAGTGAGTAGTGAGTGAGTGGGTGGGTGAGAGAGACTTATTTTCTTTATGATATAAAGATAATTTTTATAAACAAAAGATGATGTAACGATACTGTACTGGAGGCAGCGGCTGCCTGAGGTTTCATCTGATTGGTAGTTGTAGGTTAAGGCTTTATCACTGGTATTCACTTGGAAGTGAATTCGTTACTAGATCAAGTAGAATGTAGGCAAATTAATTGATAACTAAGTTGAGCACGAAGCTCCTAAACTATGAAACTATTCTGACTATATACTCACCGTTTCCCTAAATGCTAGCAGAGCTATCACATCACGTGATATATTATTGGCCTCAGGACACTAATCCTGGGACGATTCTTATCCTGGGATAATATAGCTCCTAGGATAATTGTCCCGGGACAAATATTATCCTAGGACACTTTATCCTGGGACGCATAGCGTCCTAGGACACTAGTCCTATGCCTTCATGGTTGCCTAATCGTTTTGTCCTAGGATAGTTATTATCCTGGGACACATTTTATCCTAGGACACTTGTCCTAGGATTCCTTATCGATAAGGGAACCGCGGTAAACAACAGCCCAAACCTCCGTACTTGTTTTTATTGTATAAAATTTAATAATGTTACGTAGTAACAGTCAACCTGTCCATATGAGCTCAGACCCTGTGGAAAAGCAAACCGATTCACATACAAAATTGTATGGTAATCGGTTCGTAGATTCTCCCCACCTTCAGCAAGCACAGACATATGTTCTGATTGAAATCACGTGATGAATCTAAGGGATCTAGAGGATTTAGGGGATCTAGATAATTAAACTCTAGATCCAGTAGATCCAAGGGATCCAAAAGAATACAGTAGAACATGAAGTTCTATATAAGGGATAGGGCTTCATTTGTAGAGCTTCGTGCTCAAGAACAATCATTTAGTATACTCTACTATTAGTTACGAATAGCATATCATTATTGTCATTACTTAAGTCCCTGCTTGACGCCTAGTTATAAACCACCTCGAGAGCCTAGAGCACTTCCACGTGATCTAGACGGCTACCCTCGTAACAAATAATTATATAACATATATAAAATATATTACTTCTATATAATATTTTTATACAAGAGTTTTTTTATATATATACGAGGGAAAAGAAATAAAAGAAAAAAAAAAATTTCTTTTAATTTCTTTTCCTGGTCTCCAAACCTCATTGCCTCACCCCTCTTTCCGCATCCATACAATCCCTCCGCTTTTCCCCATCATATAATATCTCCTCCTCTCCTCTTTCCCCCCCTCATACTCATACTCATATCCTGCCCTTCCCTCCCCTCCTCTCCCCTCTCAACTATACATAAAAATTGGTATCAAAAGCTTGCTACTTGAAAAAAAAAATCGAAAAAGAATCGAACACAAATCGAAATAAAAAAAGAAGACAAAAGAAAGAAATGCGAAAGCGTGTAGAGACATTGTGAAGTAATAAACACAAGAAGTATTTAAAATAAATGAGAATAATAAAGTAAGTAAGTATGTGAGTATGTGAAGAAGAGAAGAAGAAAAAAAGTGCGGGAAAACAATTAAAACAACGCTTCTATGTAATAAATCGACCAATGCATTCCATCCGTCCGTCCATCCATCCATCCATATGCGCTATCTGTTGCTCGCCATCTATGATTTAAGATAGGCGAGGGAAATTAACTTTAAAAACAAATTGTACAAGAGAATTATGTACACTATCTGTACATGCATATCACATCGCATCAAATCACGCTCCAACCCATCCATCCCCAAAAGACAATACACCCTTAACCCCTTAACCAAAAACATTCTTGCTCCAATCTTCTTCTATACAGCTCCATTAGTAGGCGTCTTCTCTCTATCCGACTCCTCAATTGTATCATCGAGTCTTAACATATCACCCGGGGTAAAGACTATTTCTTCTGTTTCAGCCGGGCCGACTACGGGAGTAAAGACATCAACTTCTTCGATTTCCTCTTCATCTTCTTCCTGGATAATTTCACCGCTTCTTCTGCCTGCTAAACTGGCGCTTCGGCTATGCGAGCCTGTTCTTGCGTGTCCGTGGCCGTGTCCATTGCTTGATGCGATGGGTGAGCTAGTGTTAAGTGCAGGCCCTTTGAATATATTCTTTTTCCGTTTCGCGAAAACAAGGGGGGCACCGAATGCACTATTATTACCACCCCATGAAACACCTTCGTTGAAACTCGACAGCGGAGTTTGTCGAACGACGCGAATGTTGGAAGGGAATGAGCCAAGGGTTGGAGTTGCGGGGAGGACTTTGACGGAGTGGTGAGGGCTACGAGTAGGTAGCGATATCTTTGAGGCAGATCCATTAGACGAAGTCGATGAAGCCTTTGAATGTGTGTGTTGATGCATTATGCTACGTACAGACGAAACGGAAGATGATGTGGATTTCCTTCCCCGCAAACCACTACTAGGCCGACGTTGGAAAGTTGATCGAGGAGTCACGGGAGAGGGAGATAACGAATGCCGTTTGGTGCTTGGCGTCGCATGCATTCTTGCAAGAGGCGGCTGACCGCCTAGTTGTGGTAGCGGGGCACGTGTCACCGTAGGCGACTTTGAAGTGACTGGTCGCGGACTAGGGTCTTTTGGACTGGTTGAGTCGTCAGCAGCCTTCTCGCGGAGATCTGGTGTTGAGCGACTAGCTTTTGTCTTCTTTCCAGGTGACCTGGCACGCCTGGCAGAGTCCAGAAGCCAGTGCTTCCAATTTTGCAGTTGATTGATGAAAGCATGCTGGTGCTTGCGGCGTTCCTGGGGAGGTTTGGCAATGCCATTAGTACTGGGGTGCAGAAAATCATGATTAGAAGTAACCAGCTGCAATGTGCTTCCACGTGACCGGGCACTCCGCAGAGTGCCTTCTTTTGGAGGGGGAATTGGGCGCCGGTGTCGAGATGAGCTTGCAGAGCGTGTAGTGTCTTTTTCAAGTGGCGGAGGAGGCGTTTGAACATCGGGTGAGGAGAATTGAGAGTGTTCGGGTAATCCAGGTAAATCGGTCAGGATCAGATCCGGATAATGGGCACTTCGCCTTTCCTTCCTCCCTCTACTCCTAGGTGGATCGCTAATCCTTAGTGGTTGCCCTTCTTCATCGACTCCTGTTAAAATAGGCGTCATTTTTTCCAAACGGCTACTCGCAGCACTCAGTCTTCTTGACGATCGGACCTCTGCCTCTCGTTCCTTGCGTTTTCGTTCCTTCCGAATCTGCTTTCTTTCTTCCTTTTCGAGTAGAAGAGCCCACCAACCTGCTAGAGCATCGCATCTCTGAGCTAGTACATTTTCAATAACCTGGTCGATATCTACACCAGCACTTCGCATCCGTTCCAAGGTCTCTTTTTCTAATGTCGTGGTGAAAGGTGCCGCTCTCTGTAGTTTCAAAATGGCTTGCTGTTGTGGCGCATGCTCAGCGAGAAAAGGATGAGTGAGAATATCAGATAAGGCAGGTCGTATCAAAGGCCTCTTTGACAATAGAATGCCCAACAAATTTCGCGCGTCGGCTGTGAGATGATCCGGCCATTTCGGTTCTGTGGTCAAAATCCTGGTCCTTGTTACAGTATCGTCGTCGTCGTCGAATGGTAGCTCGCCGCATAGCAAAGCGTATAGAATGACGCCTAAACTCCAAACATCAACCTTTTCCCCGGCATACTTTTCTCCCTTCAACATTTCTGGAGCACTGTAACATATTGTGCCACAAAAAGTTTGCAGATAACTCGCCTTGCCCTCATATTCACGAGTGAATCCAAAATCCACAAGTTTAACATTTTCGTGTTTGTCCAGAAGGATATTCTCCAATTTTAAATCTCGGTGGACGCAGGATGAATTGTGAACGTATGCAACGGCACCGACTAATTGAGTGAAGATCTTTTGAACCTTTTCGACCGGTAGTGGCCCATTCTTCAGTAGATAATTATATAATTCGTCGCCTACACCATCATTAGCCTAACCTCCTTCTGCCTATGCATGCCACTTACCAGGACAGTACTCTAGCACAAGCCATACCAAGTTTTCGGTGACAATTACTTCGTACAAGCGAGCGATGTGAGGATGTAGGAATTGTCGGTGATGATGTATTTCTCGAGCCAGATTCGAATCATCCTTTTTGGCAGACTTGAGTACAACCTAGATCAAAGCGGCAGATTAGCTGATGTTCTGCGAATTTAAGTGCCATCTTTGGCACATACTTTAGAGCTATGTAACAGTTTGTGCGAAGCCAAATAGACCTTCCCGAATGACCCTTTCCCAATCAGCCTCCCTAAAGTGTAATTGCCTACTGAACGAAGGTCTTTCGACGAGAACTCTCTGCAAGCGCCATTGTCAGTGTTTGTTTCATCTGGTTTGCACAAGCAGGTACGTACTCCAATAACTCATGATATGAATTGGCAAGCTGTGACTCGAATGTATTAGCCCCTCACATCCATTTCCAGAAGACCATCCTTGCGCCGACCCGGCGACCCAAAAGCCCATTAATGCCTACCTTAGCTTTCCGGCCCTGCGATTCAGCCTTAAGCCTTGCCGCCTGCATACCAGTCACCTTTCACCACTCCGTCTGCTGTGTATACAAGAGGCCCTGAGTTGGGACATCCAAACTCTACAAGTCACGGCGCCGTGTCGTGTTGGCGGATGGAAGCTTATTTGTCGATAAATAAGCGTCCTTGGAGAGGGTCGAAAAGGCTTATTAGAAATCTTTAGTCATTGGCTGCTGCGTAATAAGTTGATATTGGTGCACGATAGATAAGGTATGGCAAAGAATCATGATACAGAGACAAAATAGATGACAAGGAGATGCTTCAACAGGGGCATGTTTTTTTTCTGGTCCGGGCAGCGGGCTTTTCGGAAGCGGTAGTCGTATGTTACTCTTTCAGATGGACGGACTCGAAACCTCCTTTTAAAATATATGTTTGGGAAATGCGGATGATCAATTATACTTCTTTATGCAGCACGAGACAAATAAAAGGTCGAGTTGGTTGTTGATGATGATGATGATTTACTTTTTTCCAAGGTTATTTAGCCAAATCGCCAACGAAAAGGGAGTAAGTACTACTATTAGGAACCTAGTAGGTATGAAGGTACAGCTGTACAGATACCGTTTGTTGCTTTCTTTCCTTTCTCTATTGCTTTATCTCTGGTATGATGTATCTCACCAACATCACCTCGATCCAACCACCATGGTATTTGCAATTACCAAGAATTGGTCGTCAAATGATATCAAATGATGAGTAAAATTTCCTCAAACTCCAAGATACAGGGTTCATTACACAGGTACCAAGTATTCCGTACATATCGCACAGTAGATATATACTAGGTAGGTAATAACTCATCTTACTCTGCATTACAGAAAGTATGATGTTTGACGTGATACTCAGGAATCCCTGCATGGGATCCTGCATAAATACCTAGGTCCCATTAAAACGAATGTGGTCCACAAAAACATGGCAGAGCGTGCAGATGTACCGCGAAGTCATGAAGTCTTATCTACAGAGTACGTTCTATCAACATACTCGACTGGCCGCTCCATATGGATTATGCAACGATAAGAGATAAGAGGCAGAAAATCAATTCAATCACACGATTAACTGCAAAGTTCACCGCTGCTACTTATAACTGTACCAAAGCCATCAAGATTGCCGCCAAACATGAAGACTTTCAAAGGGGATTCCTTTGAATTCCCTAATGTTTTTGAAGGCCAAAGGGTTTAGACGCCTACAGTATTTGCATTGCTATGGGATATCGGAAGGGATTCTGGTATGAATATTGCTCATCTACTTTAGAAATTACTCCAATGTCTTCAAAATACATGGAACAGTCGGACAGGAAGAAGAAATGATATACGTAGTAGTTTTTCTAACCGAATTTCAAACCCTCAGATGCTCGCCTATTTGGGGTTATACACATGTATTTCCCATGGACAAAATGTTCCAATTAAGCTCTGATATTTCGTGAATACTAAAGAATCGCCCTCGATTCACATGATCTCAAATGATAACATATGATGCATTCATTGATGCCAAAACGATGCTTTTCCCTGTATATCCCCCCCCCCCCCGCGAACACCACCACAACGCCCAGCAAATGCATTCCCATGTCGTAAGCCTAGATCTTGCAGTCCAGCTTTAAAATCTCTCCTTCATTCTACTCGCCACGGTTCTCAAGTTACCATAAACCTTTCCAGGTGGACTTCCCAAAATCAGACTGACAATTGCCTCTCTGGCAATATGAATATTCTTGAAGCCTCCCAAAATATGGATTTTGCTATCTGCAAGTACCACTCGTGTCCGACTCGCGTTCTCGATAGCAAATTTGGTTTTTCCGTCCTTGCCTGCGATACGGCCAATGGCTCTTCCCAAGTGCTCGCCCTGTAAAGTCTTTACATCCTTGATCTCAAAGGTCTGGATGTAAAGGTCGTCAAGTCGCAATAATGCAATAGCATCATCGACGTCGAAACCTAGCGAGAACGCCTTTACGAAATCTTCACCCTTCTGCAAGGACCCGGTATCGGTAGTGTGTTTAGAGGTACGGAGTTCGACAGCTTTGTTTTTGATGTTCATGCGGACTTGAAGTTTAAGATGTTCGACAAGAGGAGGGTAGATCTTGGACCAGGAGGCTTTGAGGGGGGTCATACGGTGTGGAGGAATTGGAACTTTGCGGGTTTCTACTCGAGTTGCTGGGTCCTATTTTTCTTATTAGAATCATCACACGCGCATCTTCTGGGGATTATAGATTCTGAGTCGTACGATATTCTTAGCTGGTGCAAATCGAGGTCGTCCTTCTTCATCAATGTGCATCTCGTTGTCATCGGCGGCTGGAGGCAAGATGGTATCCAATTCCGCCGAGGTGACTTCTGGTGCATCTAATAGAAACTCATCGTCTTGGTCTGAACTGATATTAGCTACTATCCCGATGATTGCAGTGACAAGGTCATGAATTGAATTACTTTGATTTGGCAATGGTACACTAGTAGCTTCAGCGAGCTCCTCTGGTTTCCTCAACAAAGCTGTTGGTGCAGGCATTTTCTATTGTCAAAGTGTATACTAGGTATGTAGAACTCAATAATAATCTCGGGAAAATATTTGTTGCACAGTTGAAAATTTGAGGGTCTGGTTTTTTGAGGTTTGATTTTAATGTTCGCAGTCGGCCGATCAAATTGGAAAAAAATATTTGGTGGGGAAACGGATGCGATAGAATTTACTGATAAGATCACTAGCGTCTTCATTAGCGCCAAAAATTCCAAAAATGCGCATTCGGAAAAAGCCCATCATCATCTAATTCTCTCGCGTGCCTTCATTTTCATTTTCACTCCAAAGATATTAAAGAAGAACAACGACTTCAACAGTCTTGCAATCTTTCAGGATGAACTGGAGGTTATGTCGATGAACATAAAACCTAGGTTATGGTCCCAATTTTGGGATCATGCAATTTCATTCGCTGCAACAAAGACGTGCAAAGAACCTATACGACCTTTCATATCTAACTCGGTTTTTTCAAGTACTACTCATCGTGCTTTTTCGCAGTCCAAAATCAGAACGTTGTATGATCCACCTCTAAAGTCTCAAGTTCGAAAGAATTTTGCTTATGGCGGGGTCTTCTTCCTTGATTTGAGCTCAGGTACATCTGCAGCACCCCCGATAGCATCATGTACGAGTACAGTGGAGAAGACCTTATACTCAGCATCATCATTACCACGACGAGCACCCTTGACATCGTCTTTCCAATACACATGGCGACGTGAGATCCATTCGAGTACTCGGCGAAGGGAGAGAGGTTATGCGAGAAGAAATAAAAGTTCTGCATCAAATCTATCAAATGGTCGGGGGACGCCTCAAGAGACCCACAAACCCTCACAAACTGCCCCGCCATCGAAGGAGACGATCACGGATGCCAATGCTGCACACTCTGCCTCTAGCAAGTACAATCTTCCTCACATGCCAAAGATGCCGCATCGGCCGACGAGAGAAGAACTACTCGCTGCAGCAACGGGATTTTGGTCTCGGCTGAAGGTTCGATTCAAGTGGTTTACAATTAGAGGTGGACGACCCTGGAATGTAGATGATTGGAGTGCTTTTGTTTCATGGTTTGTCTTGGGGAATATTGCCTGGATTTTCATCGGGACTACAACTTTCTTCTCTCTCATTATCCTATCTATAAATACTGTTGTCGCTCAAGGTAAGAACTATAGAGCACATGAGAGTCGCCACGATAACTAACATATATTAGAAACATTGGCAAGGTGGGTTGGTGATTATCTCACTCATTCGGCAGGTATTAAGGTCGTTTTCGAATCTGCTATCGTCCCCCGATGGAAAGATGGAGTGATTACATTCCGGAATGTGTTTGTCTCAAGGAGACCGGGACAAGGGAAAACCAAATTTAGCAAAGGTTCATCTTTGAATGCAGCAGCAGCAGCGGCCTCTCAACGGCAGGTCGAAGTAGAGAGCAAGAAAGAGGAAGAGGAGGATACAAACTACACCCAATTTGACGTCACTCTTGACACAGTCAATGTCACTTTATCATTTGTCAAATGGTGGAACGGTAAGGGTCTTCTCAGGGATGTAGAGATCAAGGGGGTTCGAGGTGTAATTGACAGAACTTCGGTACACTGGGGCGACGAATACGTTGATCCAAAATCATTTCGACATGAGCATAACCCTGGTGATTTCGAGATCGACTCTTTCAAGTTGGAGGATCTCTTGGTTACCATACATCAGCCAAACGGCTTCCGACCCTTCTCTGTGAGCATTTTCTCATGCGACCTTCCTCAGCTGCGGAAACAATGGTTATTTTATGATTTTCTATCAGCAAGCAATGTGTCTGGAGCTTTTGATGGGTCTCTTTTCACAATTCACCCTCGACAAATCCACGGATTTGCTGGCTCGCACGTTCTCGAATCTTCCGGAAATGGCGCGTCGAACCCTTGGAAAAAGCAAAGCCGTCTCCGCATAGACGGCCTCAAAATTGACCATTTAAATCGAGGTGTGGAAGGGCCATTTGGTTGGATTCACGAAGGAAATGTTGACATTGTTGCCGACGTCATGCTTCCAGCTGAAGCTGATGAGAGCATCGCCAAGGTGATGTCCGATTTTTACGATCGCATGGAAGAAGCTGTAACTTCCAATCGATATTTTCATATCCTCGAGAATAACACAAGGACCGAGGAAGCAGGAACACCCGATGAGCTCGACGCTTTGGCGGAGAAATCCTCTCACGACGATGACAAACGCTACATTGTCATGGATCTCCGCATCCATCTCAATGACGTGAAGGCAGCCGTGCCCTTGTTTACTCGTGACCTCTCCTACGTTAATCAAGCCCTTATTCGTCCCATCGTCGCCTATATTAACGCGAAGAAGACCTTCATTCCCATAAATTGTCGAATTGTGAAACGTGCTAGTGATTTCGATGGTAGCTGGACCATCTTCGATAGCGGACTAATGGATGATATGTCCGCAGAGACATATGAAGCATTTGCGAAAGATGTGGTAGATAGTCAGGCACGTATGCGCCGATTAAAAAAGGTGGGGTTCTGGTCGATCTCTATGGCAATTCAAGCAATATTCATGGGCATGGCGGGAAATGTTGCTTAAATCCATGGGTAGAAGGGCTCATGACTGGTTTGAACTCACAAGTTCATTGCAAGGACATAACGAATCTCCTATTACCAGGTGGCATAATGACCTTTATATAAAATCGGGTGGGAATGTGAACTACATGGCTTGGCTTTTTGGGTTTGGTACAGGTGGAACGGCGTTTAGATATCCCCAAAAATGGATTAGCAGGCAGGAGAACAGGAGTTTAGGATTTGAGACGTGCTCGCATATGCGAATCACTATAGATCAACGAGTTACAATCGGAAATAGATACATCTTGCCTTGGAAGTCAATCATCGCTTCCATCTTGATTCAATTGAGAAACTATTTAGATTCTGCCATCAAAGACTTTGGCTCATTGACATCGTTCTTCACGTGCCTGTGACTACTATAATGCCTAGACTTTTAACTACCTTGCAGTTCTGGAAAATATGAAGCCTAGAACTAGACAATAATAGATTCCAAACTCGCGAACCCCTGTACGTAAGCGAAAACTGGGGATTAGATAGCGAAATAAATAATTGTGTCTACCAGTCGTCTTGAAGATATGTATTCCATGATATTGATGTGAATAATGCGGGACAGCTGGTAGCTCAATGACTAGTTTCTGGATAGTTGTTGGTTGGAGCATATTCAACCACCGGCAATAGGCTTCTCAAATGTGTACAGATATGAGGGAGTTTTTCGTTTCGTTTGGATATGGTTCTATGCTTTTACTGGATGATCTTTTTTTAGAATGATAAGGATTTTGAAGCAATTGCGGATTTAGAAGAATTTCAAATCAAGCCAATATACAGACAGATTCATGATCTACCGAGCGGAGAGAGAACAGCACCAAGAAGATGCTAATGCAAAGTTGTACTTGGACCAATCATCGCTCTGCTTTGCCTCAAAGCTCCATATTTCCATATCTATTTGACAAGTCAAAGTGTGATGGTCCTCGACATCTTAATGCAAAGCATCCAATCAAATTGTTCCTGAGTATCACGCAATTTAAACCTGCCATCACAGAATAGAACCTGCAGCAATATGTTACAGAGCCGATCTAAAATTATCACTAATACTCCCCCGCATTCTTATCTGGAAACCCACTCTTTGGATGATGTTATTTAACAATTCAGGTTCACTACAATCCAAGTAATGGGGTAGCCCGCAAGGGCAAATTACAATGTACTCCCAATTATAGCCTCAGATCAGATTATTGACATACGACTGCTATATCCCGTCATGTATCACCTTTATTTCGCCATATATGCCGTCCTTGCCGGTAGTAGAGAAATAGAAATATTGCAACATATCAGTCAAAATTGATAGTGACCCCGCAGATCTAAAAGTCGACTACATAGACTGAACGAACCCCTCTGTAAAAGTATCATGATCTCTAGTTCGCTGTGCTTAAGGACCTCGACTTTAATACTGCATAATCCTCATCAAGAACCAAAAAACGATACAAAGTCTACAAGCAATAAATCATGGCTCCTTCCGCTACAGAAGCCCAATCAGCAACAGTCCCCATCCTTACCAAAGGCGACGACAACGTCAAGGCAAACCTTGCTCCTCAAGAAAAGTGGCTGAAAAGCACCGGCGCCCTAGATCAGTTTGAGTCTTTTGATGTCACTCCTGTTATTGGCCGCGAGTATCCAAATGTCAATTTGGTAGAATGGTTACAAGCTCCCAATGCGGATGAGCTCCTGCGTGAGCTTGCTCTAACCAGTGAGTTCTCCAAAAAAAAAAAAGAAATCTAACTGTGTAGCGAGTGAGCGAATACTGACAACAGCTTAGTATCTCAGCGTGGTGTGGTATTTTTCCGCGCACAAGACAATCTTACTCCAGATTTACAAAAAGAACTCGTCCAGCGCATCGGTCTTCTTTCAGGAAAACCATCCACATCAGGTCTTCACATTCATCCTTTGCTCAACCCTGAAAGAGAGGGATATCGTGTGACAGACCCAGAAATTAGTACCATCGACTCTGTTCTCAACAAAAAACTCTACAGCAACACGAAATTTGACCGAGCCAATGGCCTTTCAAATTCGTCCAAATGGCACGCAGACATATCTTTTGAACCAAAGCCAGCGGATTATTCCAGTTTAAAGCTAGAGGTACTCCCAAAAACAGGAGGCGACACATTGTGGGCAAGTGGGTATGAGATTTATGACCGTATCTCAGAACCTTATCAGAAATTCCTCGAAACTCTGACAGTGACATTCCAACAACCTGGGTTCATTGAAGCTGCAGCAAATGGTGGATTTGAGTTGTACGACAAGCCAAGAGGAGCTCCAGAAAATATAGGAAAGGAGTTGAAAGCCGTACATCCAGTAGTGAGAACTAACCCAGTGACTGGATGGAAATCGGTTTTCCCAGTTGGAGGTCATGTTAGCCACATCAACGACGTTACTCGATGGGAGAGTCAAGCATTATTGGAATGGTTTAAGCGATTGTTGGTGGACAACCATGATTTGCAGGTACGGTTCAAGTGGAAGAACCAGAATGATCTTGGTAAGTTTTGCTGCAATTACTGGGTTATCTGAACTAACACTGATAAAAATAGCTATCTGGGATAATCGTTCAACTTTCCACACAGCTACGGATGATCTTGAAGGACAGGGTGAGAGATATGGTGTCAGAGCTGTTAGCGTTGGGGAAAAACCTTTCTTTGACCCTGAAAGCAAGTCCAGAAGAGATGCCTTGGGCATTTAATGTAAATAGTTGCAGAATACCACATTGAGAATTGAAATGAAATGATTGATACAACTTAACATAACTTGCATTTTGACGGATCCGAAATGCATGTTGCCCGTTTGTGATTTCGTCTTGGTGTGCATAAATATCGGTGAATGAGTCATTTGCCGTCTAATCGCCCATATCCGTAAAAGCATACAAGATCGAGCTCATAGCTCGAGACGAATGCCATAATTGGGATATCACAACAACAAGCAACGAAATTGATTAGACTGGTATCAAAAGGAGAAAGAGATCATGGCGGGAATATTGACCAAAGCGTTTGCATTCACGTGATTTGAGGTAAGATGTTTCCCCACCACATCCACGCTTCAAGACTTCATCACAATCAAAATTGGAACACTCACAGAAGAGTCAAACCCGATTGAAATTGCTGTTCACTGTTCAATATTGGCAGAAGGCAGCGAAAGCCAAGCACTGGTAGCACCTTAGTTCACGTCACGGCAGAACTTTCATGCATTCACCACTACTATTTTTTCCTTGGATTTTTCCTGAAGTTGAAATCGATCGCTAAATGATTACGAAAGCCAGGGGATAGATGACAACATATGTACATATGTTTCTACAGGCATTTGCGTGCCATACGCACACCCAACCATTGTTTGTTATATTGAATCTCCAACTTTGCAGCTTTTGGTGCAGTCGGACTATCACCTATGGACCTTAAGAAGGTACTGATAAGAGTTTCGTGCTTGTAGCCAATGCCGGAACCTTGAACTACTTCAATCGATAAACGGGTAAAATATGGGGTAATTGTTGATGGCGACAAGTGCGCTAGAGATTCTGTCATTGATTTAGTGATTATGAATTCATTTTCCCGGGGCTCTATGACTACTATGGAGCACATTCCCGCATCTGGCCTCTCGTGGCGGTGGATAATTATTCAACGTCTAGGCGACATGCCTTTACAGTGAAAAATAAATGCTTTGAGCTTGATTTATGCGCCGTCTGAAAGCACGCCATGGGCTTATCTGGTGCCAAAGATGCGGAACCTTGTGGGTTTATCTCTTTTCTCTTGAGGAAATATTCCAGCGGCCTGGAAGGTAGGTCTCAACCCAAGACTATGGATAATAGTGTTATGTCGTTTTCGCCACGAGGATTTAGCTGCGATTTCACCCCGGGATATCTATATTGTGTGATTTCCTGTGGATCTCTCCCAATAAGTGTCTACTCTGGGCAGTCCCGCACACTGCATTATCCTATTCCCTCAGTCTCTCGTGCCAATCATAATGCAGATGATATCGCAGATGAGCTATGCCCAGGTCACCACATTATTTAAATATCCAGCTTTCTACTTCTCGATACAAATCACACGAGAAAGCAAGCTCGAAATCACTTGCGATCCAAGATGTCCAAGGTTGTCCCAGACAGGTCAGAACCTAGGAGCAATCCCTCCCAAAAACCAGATGAAACGCTTCAGTATGAAGAAGTAACGACTTTTGGGGACTCACTTCCAACAAAAAATGCAACATTCGTTTCTGCTACCTCTGACTCGGATGAAGATGGATCAGCTTTTGCCAAAAATCCTTTCCTAGACCCGGATGTGGCAGACCACTGGACTAGAATCTACGAAAAATCACAGTACGAATGCCGACATGTTTTTGATCCTAACTTCTCTTGGACCGAGGAGGAAGAGCGGCGATTAGTTCGAAGGCTGGACTGGCGAGTTTGTCTCTGGGCTGTAGGTTTGAGTTTCTGAAAACTGTGGGACCATTGTTGACATCATTCCAGTGCGTCATGTTTTTCGGTTTACAAGTCGACCGTGGAAACTTAGTACAGGCTGTTGCGGATAATTTGTTGAATGACTTAAATTTGACTACAGATGGTACGTTGACAAAAATGCTCCTCTCAATGAGGAAGTGCCCAGACTAATATTTGTTAGAGTACAATTTGGGTAATAACATCTTTCTCTTCTCGTTCTTATTGGCCGAGCTGCCTTCGCAATTGGTTTCAAAGAAGATTGGGCCTGATAGATGGATTCCGATGCAAATATCTCTCTGGTCGATAGTTGCGATGTCTCAATGTGCGATACAGGGCAAGTCTGGATTCTATGCTACACGTAGTATGCTGGGTCTTCTTGAGGTAGGTTCAATCGCCTCACTTTTGAGCCTGGTACATCAGTACTCATCAATTATCAGGGCGGGTTCATCCCAGATATCGTATTGTGGTTATCATACTTCTATACATCCAAGGAGCTTCCTGTTCGACTCAGCTTCTTCTGGACTACACTTTCCGGGACCACTATCATTACATCGATTCTTGCCTATGCTTTACTACACATGAGAGGTGTATCGGGGTGGGCAGGGTGGCGTTGGCTTTTCCTGATTGAGGGGTTGATTACTTTGCTAGTTGGCCTTTCTTCATTCTTCATGATGCCGGCATCAGCAGTGCAAACGAAAACATGGTTCCGACCAAAAGGCTGGTTTAATGATCGTGAAATCTCAATCGTCGTCAACCGAGTCCTCCGAGATGACCCCTCAAAAGGCGATATGCACAACCGACAAGCTATTACACCAAAGAGACTTTGGAACGCAGCGAAGGACTACGATCTTTGGCCGTTGTACGCTATTGGAGTAATCGCATATATTCCTCAGCAGCCACCTTCGTCATACATTTCCCTCACCTTGAGGAATCTGGGATTTAGCACGTTTAATACTAGCTTATTGACAATTCCTTATTCAGTCTTTCATATCATTACCTTACTTCTCCTCACCCAGCTATCCGAACGCACCAACGAAAGAACTCTAGTCTCCATGATACAGCCACTCTGGACCCTCCCTTGCATTATCGCACTTCGCTTCTGGCCTGGTTCAGGAGTACAAGCTTGGAATACCTATGCACTAGTCACCGTGCTCCTCTCCTATCCCTACTGCCACGCCATTCTCGTAGCATGGACATCCAAAAACTCTAACAACGTCGGCACTCGTTCCGTCTCCTCTGCTCTCTACAACATGGCAGTACAACTTGGAAATATTTGTGGAAACTTCATCTATAGAACAGATGATAAACCGCTATACCATCGTGGAAACACACAATTGATTATTATTAATATTGTAGCTATTGTCGTGTTTCTACTCACAAAAGTGTATTATGTGATGAGGAATAAGCAGAGAGATAGGGTCTGGAATGCTATGACGGCTGAGGAACAGCAGGATTATAAGAGGAATGCGATGGTGACAGGGAGTAGGAGGCTGGACTTTAGATTTGCACATTAAACGGAGACTGTATCTAAGGTTACAGACAATTAATTGCGTCCTTTCGATATTGGATATTTATACTAAAGCTTAATTCGCGAAACATTTTAACTTCCCTCGACACTTTGATACATACACAGCATCACTTTGAACTTATCTCGTGTTGCTTTCGACTTTGTATACTGCAATGGGACTCGTCTCTGCACTCAATTGTTCTATTCTTGTCCTGCCTTGTAAGTACCACTCTTGGGTACCTTCCAGGTCATATTTATGGAAGAGTACAGGAACAAGAAAACTTTAAACTTCCATCAAGCGCTTACAGCATGTGAATGAATCGATGCTAATTCTGCGCTTCTAAAAAGCAACAGACTTTGGGAAAACGCATCCGCATGAGATTATGAACAAGGCAAAAAATATACATAAGCCTAAAACATTATTTCCTAGTACCCTATTGAAATTCAACAAAAAGGAAGAATCATGCAAGAATGGTATATACGCAGAAAAAATTCCACACCCACAACCATAGACTCAGATGCGCGAACAAACAGAAAAGCAGCGCTCCATACACACAAGTCGAAAGGAAGGAGGGCTTTGTACAAAGCAAACGCTCGCTAACTCAAATCATACATAAATCATAACTCGTCAATCATAGCTCAGCAACACTCATTAAATCTTCCACTCCATCGTAAGGATCATCATCTGTATCCCCCACAACACGCTTCACTATATCCCCCGCGTTTCGCTTGTCTTCTTCATTTGTGTTGTCGTATCCTCCCGCAACACTGACAGCATACTGCACCTCTTCAAAGCCCATCGGAATCCCTTTCCACAGGGCTAATTGTCTAGCTGTTCTGACTGCATGTCCGATTTCATGTCCATTAAGCTTGTATTTAGCAAGCATTGATAGATTTGCTCGAAGCTCGGATATATTTATCGTAGAGGGGTTGAATAGGGATTCTAGTGACTCGAGCTGCTTGATATGAGACTCCCATATTTTAGCTCGTTGGGCAAAAGTTAGCGGAGTATAGCGGAGGAAAAGTTGAATGCGAGATTTGAAAGCCTCGTCCATGGTGGTGATGGGCGAGCTCGTTAAGATGATGATTCCGTTGTAAGACTCGAGTATCCGTAAAAATACAGAAATTAATGCGTTGCGTTGAAGATCTCCCAAAGTCCTTTTCTCGAGAAACATTTCAGCGTCTTCAAGGAGTATGACGCATTTCCAAACTCTTCCTAGAAAGAAGATTCGTTCGAGGGATTTTTCTAGGGCTTCTGGTGTGGTTCCTATCTCGCTACACGAAGTTACGTAGAGTGGTTTCTCAACTACTTCTGACACACTTTCTGCTGTCAGGGTTTTACCGGTCCCAGAAGAGCTATAAGTTAATTGTTAGTCTTTTTTCCTCAACAGAAAAGTCCGAGTTCGTGAATCATTTACCCGTGTAATAGTATGATTGAACCATTTCCTTTCCTGCCGATAAGGCCTGGGCTCTGCTCGTCTTTGATTTGGTTCGCGACTAAAGATGTGATGAGGATTTTCGTATCGTTATCTCTAGCCAATGTCTCAAACGGATCTTTGTTCCATTTAACCGCGTACATGCGACCAACTTCGAGATCGACTAACGCAACAAATTAGCAAAGAAACAGTGATAATTGCGTATATTTTAACAAACCCCATTTCTTTTCTTGCATGTTGAATCCAATAATCGTACTAGGCAGAAGAAGTGTGAAAACGCCTTCTGGTGGTATATCAGATGCCATCACCAAAGGACCCAAATCATCCCGATTGGGTGGTTTGGCCCCTGCAGACTTGGGGTGTAATTTCTTGTATGTTTCGATATCAATCATATACCTAGATTGCCCCTGTGAAAAAAAGATGATATTAGCCAGCTGAAAAATGTAAAGTTGATCATCGGGCCTGCCTACAATGTTCTCTTCCGATTCATCTTCATCACTATAGTATATGTAGCAGGCCTTGCGGAATTTCCAGAACATTTCTCCCTGTTTCCTAAGTGATGTCCCAATCGTGGGGTCGGCGTAGCGCATCGGATAAGTGCTCAGAGCGGTGATTTTGACCACTTCTTCTGACGTTTTGAAATCATCAATTGTAATTAATTCAACGTTCTCTTGAAAGAAGCCATCAAATGTCCAGGAAGATACGAGCAAGGAGGTTGTCAACGTAGCTGACTCTCCAGTTCCTTTAGGACTCCCTCCTACCGGTAAATGAAGCCATGATTTAGTTAAATACGCCTTCTTCTTTTCTTCATCATCTTTGTCGGCGCGCAATATGACGGTGTCAGGGCTCTGTTTTCATGCTGTCAGTTAAATTTCAAATCTCAACATAGCCACGGGACTCAGAAATCCCTTACATAAAGATAGCACAAGTATCTGCGCGAGATTTTCCCCTGGCTTAGGAGTGAATCAACTATAGCATATTCGGGCCCGAAGCTTTCATTGACGTATTCGACAAAAGAATTTACACGAGTCAAAAGCTCAGGTTTAAGCTGGCGTCTGCGCTCTTCCAAAGGAGCTCTCTGGTGGTAAAACCATGGATATGGTGCCTTGAACTCGGTGCCAACGTTAAATGAAGGGTAGTATGAATTTTCCTGGATATTCTGCCTAGTAAGTCTTTTGAGACCAGCGGATAGCTCGCTGCCGATCAAGCACACAGACTCGCCTACGAGAAATTCCGCAAGTTCATTCTCGCCGTTTGAACTAGGTTGTTCCGAGCATGCAGACTTCGGTTTCGTCGGATTCGATGTGTTTATTTTATCGAGCTTAGGTCTGCAACAGGCATAGTCTTTGTATACAATAAACGACAGGTTCGTATATTCTCGGGTATGCAGAGCAATGTTTCTTACAATTATACTACCATGAATATGTTCACCTGTTGGACTGTCTTTGACAAGCCAAGGAGTATCCAAAAACATGTAGCTTTGCTCTTTTTGATGACATCTGACTCGATAGATCGTATGATAAGGCAATGCCAGTTTTTCTTGATTGGCATCACGGCTATCTGACAGAAGTTTGCTCCTAGTCATTTCTAGCATTTTGAACAGATCTTCGTCATGACTATCATGTGGTGCATTGAACAGCTGGCAAAGCTGCGATTTCCAGTCGACAAAATTACTTTGGCGATGAAGAGTTGTCGATGATATGGATCCGTGTATTTCTGATGATTTGCTTAGTAAGTAAAGTTAAATATGACTAGTAGATTACTCACGAGGTCTACGACCGTCCATAGATTGTTCGAACTGATGCTCAGAGCTGTATCCACCTGCATGGCCACGCGTAGAATTTCCATGAGATTCTGGAGTGAAGTTCGATTGGTTAGGAATTGTGGTTGCTAAAAGAAATAAGTATCAATTTTATAATCGGAGTGCCAAACGGGAGAGGTCAAGGACATACGAGGACTAAATTCCCCTTGAGAACTTTGATCATAACCGTAGTTGGAGGGGGTCATATCATGCTCGTGGTGTGGACCATAAGTTTCGTGCCCATGGTTTCCGTGATGGCCCTGTGGAAGAGGTGTAAGTTGCCCGGCTGGCGCATGACCGAAAGCTTTAGGACTATTGCGGGCATTATTTTGTTGCGCATAAGACATTTGACGCCGGCTATTGCCTGATACACTATCAGGAGTCGGGTAGTTCTTTTGCGGAAGCCTATTATTATGGCTCCAGAGCTCGGGGCCGCTCGGGTGTGAAGATTCATGCCCATGCTCTACATTTTGTTGACTAGCTTCTTGCCGCGACTGTGGAGGATAAGATACAGGATGAAGCCGTGACGGTTGCGATCCAGACTCCGCCAATTGTAGAGCCTGTGAGTCTTGTAGGTTCTGTACAATATTGGCGTTGTTTCGAGCAGGTTTAGGTGCCGCCCATTGAGTAGGTGGTGCCGCCTGGGGTGACTGAGATTTTTGATGGGGGGAAGAAGAAATCTGGTTATGTCTGTATCTATCTGAGAGCTGACCTGTGGATGTGTGAGCTATCTGCAAATTCGTATCTTGGGTATTGAAATGTCTGTACTCACTGTTTACGGATGGTTGAGTGTCGGAATTGGCCGTATTATTTTCAAACCCTGATCGTTCAGATGTTTGTTTCTTGCCCGGTGTCCGATTCCTCTCTGCATATTGCCTGAGATTTGTTGCGTAGGCAGGTGCTCGCGGGTTATTTGCTTGATAAGGCATATGTGAAGTAGAAAATATAGGCCCGGGACGAAAATCGGAGATTGGGGCTGTCGGAATAGGTGGCGGCGGAGAAGGGGTTATTTGCGTATTGTCAAGGTGACGTATCGATGGAGAGGGGGTTCGAGGGGGATCTTCGGCCTGTGGAGAACCGGAACGATTTCTAGGGCGAGAGTGGTGCCAGGAGTCATGCCCATCCGTTATTTGACGTGTTTGTGGCAAAGATGGTGCGTTACGATGCAGTAGAGCAGCGTAATTAGTATGCTCGATTATGGGACTTCCAGAGTTCCCCGGGGGCTTTAAAATCATCATTAGTCTATGCACCACATAAGCTACAAAAGTAGGGACCAAGGAAGCTTCCATTCAGTTAGACTCACTAAGTATAAATTGTAGTTGTACTTTTCTGCTAATGTGATAAGTAGCTTTTGTTCATCATCTTCACTTTCTGTACTTATATTTTGTGGCCCGAACTGTGAAACGTTATTGACCATGACATTCTCATCTGCCTCGTCTGCGACAGTCGCTTGTGCTCGACGATTGCGAATATATTCTTGAGCCTCGCGCTGTCTATCCATGGCTTTTCCCGATGGACTCGAACCTCGTTGGGAAATATCGTTCTGTGTTGCAGATTCTCGATCCATTTCTGAGTAATGCTCTGAACTTCTCGCCTTATCAGAGACAGCCACATCTGCGTTCTCCATGTATGGATAATCAATCCCACAGCCTTGTTTCTTAGTAGCAAAACAAGTATCCACATGAGAGGGTTCAATCTTTTGTATAACTGTTCTGCAGAAGTTTACTGTGGACTGAAGGAACGGCACGAATTAGATTGATTGCTCGAGGATCACCTGCAGGTTAATGGTGTCACTTTTAGAATGCGACTGGCAATACAAATAAAAGGCACTCCCTTTCACAATTGAAGAAGGAAACTTCAGAACGAAAAGAAGAGAGGAAAAATGACGAGGCTGTCAAATCGAATCTGACGCATCTTCAAACCCATGCGTGCAGATTGCTGCCCTATGCATTGACTTGGTCGGGTCGGGCCCCACACATTACCCAATAAGGTCGATGCCAACGCACTGAACAGAGAGAATGCCATCGGATATTTATACAGGCTATTTGAGAGAGCACATCACTGCCAGGTTTAGATGAAGTATGTACTGTGAAGCATGCTTAAAAAGCGGTCAAAAGGCATCGGAGTTGGTGGTAGCAGAAATTCTAAGACCCAGCGAGGTCTAAAAGGTGGGTACTGCAATTTTCAACAACTGGTGTCAAAACCATCTCGTCGTAAACAACTTCACCTAAAATATAAATAGCATTGAAAATGGACGATGGCTTGACTTTTTTATTCACGGATAAAAGTGTATTTGACATCTCTTGAGTCTTAGGATCGGTTGTGATGGGCTTCAACAGCCATATGCAAACAACCACTGATATCGTAAAGCGTGAGATGACAACAAACGCAATGCGACATTCTTTCAAGCCAATATCTTGGGCCACTTGGCGTTGAAGAAATCTGAAGAGAAGGTTTTCATCTACCTGTATTGGTAGATATATTGTAGAGCTTTTCAGATGGATATACTACAGTATAAGTGAACAATATTGCAAGAGATCTGATGACTCGGAATGGTTCATCAGAATCATGATTGACCTCAAAGCCGTTTGTGGTGGGGTTAATGCGGCTAGTGACAATAACTAGTTGTGGCTGTGATTCTGAATGGGTTCAATCATTTGATATTGGACTTGCTTGAAACATAAGTTCTATGTTTCCCTACCCTGCTTTGTGATAGCTGAAAATGGCAAGTTATCTCCAATTCATTGGTGACTGCCGTATAATCTGTGTAGAAGATCAATGTCGCAATCACGTGACAAGATATCACCGGATGAAATGTCACGTGGATTATTCCAAAGCGGACTACCAGTCCAGTTTTTCGAAGGGCAGTGTTTCGTGGATTAGATATAATAAGGTTTATTAGATACAGGTATTATCATAGGCTATCTGTTATCACATATAAAAATTGAAGCCAGGAAAGAAATTTGAGCAAGAGCTATTATTGTATGTATGTAGACTTGATAGACGTCTAGAACGAACAAAATTACAAAATTGATATCAAAATGATCAGAAAGACCAAGAGAATTCAAGAACGTAAAATATATTCCGGTACGGGGAATTGAACCCCGGTCTCCCGCGACTTGATTAAAGCTATAAGGCTTCGAATGAGAGGCGGAAATGCTAGCCACTACACCATGCCGGATATCTGACTGTTTTTCGATGGAGAAATGGAGATTTTTTAACATTATAAAGGACTTAAAAATTTTAAGCAAACTTTTGAGCCAATCATTCATACACCGACCAATGCGGAGCAAGTTCTTGGAAGAATCTATATTTAGTCTTTGTGTAGCGAGGACAAGCTGCATCTTGGCCGAAAGGTCACGTGTACATGGTGGGGTGTTGCAATGGCTAAAAGGTGATAGATGCCAACGACATATGTGCCTCATTGTTGCAAATTAAATCGAGTTCAGCATCGAATCTATATTCGAGTTATCTAAAGCTCAGCAAGAGATAATCACTTTACTTTTCACTTTCAATAAAGGTTTAAGATAATTCATAGTCTTAATTAACGAAGTACAGACATCGCATAACGATTTTTGGTTCTTTTCTATCCAATAGCGAGAAGATGTAATGTGAAAAAAGATTAGGACGCCATGATTCAAAGGGTCGTACAAGTGCTCAACTCAGTACCTAGCGTTTTAGTGCGCTTGACTCATAGGATCATCTGTTTTAGAGTGCCTTCATGCTATTCTCAAATTGCTACAGCCTCATCTCCATGCTCAGCTTACACAGGGGTTATCGAAAAAGGGCGCAACCATTGATCACATACTGAGCAACATATAACCTCTCTCCCTTTCCGTGTACTTTTTCTCTCACTTTCTAGCAGTTCCCACTGCAGCTTTACAATATACGGTTCTCGTTGGTCGGCCTTTTCTCACGCACCTACAAGCATCCGTTCGCCTATTGGCTACATCCACAAACGCCACAGATATGCAGTGCTCATAGGACCTGCGCACCTCCGACGAAGCCCCATGTAGTGAAGCACCCTATTTTGGTAACATTGGTATTGCCCAGTTTCCAATCGAATTCCATGCATGGGCCATGGCAAACCAGTGGTCGGCACCAACGTTTGACCAACCTCCGCAGCTCCCTATGTGTGAGGGTTTACTCGATGGCACCGACTTAATGTCTGCTGCCTTCCAATCTTGGCAGCGCCCTTTCAGCGCAATGAGCGCAGGTGTTCCAGCCAACCAAGTAAGTCAATTATCCAGATCTCAGCCAGTCTATGTACCCTGAAATGTTGCATGGAGAAGGCGGGGAACTTGGGTGAGTTTTTTTTCTCTCTCGCTGATGGTTTGGTTAAGTTTAGCGAACCTCGTTTTCGCCTGCAATCATGACATTATTGTGGATCAATCGACTACAGCTGCAGGCCCATCGCTTTCGAGCCATACAAACATAACCGCCATTCCAAACAATCAGCCTCCTCCCCTTTCATCCGCTCATCCAATCACTAGCCGCTATCACTGCTCCTATCCTACCTGCACCAAGGACTTCAAGCGCCCAGGAGATCGCCTTAGACACATCTCATCAGTCCATCAACGCGGTCAGGCAAGTCAGGGAAGAATCTCTGTCCTATTGTTGGATGTCGTCGAAGCTATGGGAAAGGCCTTTATCGCCCTGGCAAAGTCAATGATCATTTAAAAAAGATTCATGGTCTTGTTAGAGTTGCTCCAACTGGTTGGCTCTGTTGCTAGTGATTCTTCTTCCGACGGTGCTGCACGTGCATCAGCCGCCGCGAGTGGGACTGTTGCTTTGACTAGAAATGGGAATTGAGGAGGGTTTTATTTTGACACAGATAAACGCAATGTTGCCATTTCATAGGATTTGGATAGTTTGATAAAACTCTGATGGTTTCTTTTGTTGGCGATGCTTTATGTTGGATTAGAGGTTTCAACCTCAGAGATATTTAGTAGTGAGAAATGATATAGGATCGAACTTGGGGTTTCTTTTGTTCGCACTTTCTTTAAACCTGGATTAATGGCGTCTAGCAACGGTAGATATTTTCTTATTCTAAATTTAAATCATTGCGCTTTACAACCCATTTCAATAATAGTATTCTTGTTCTCAGTTCAACTCTTTTCTTCAGACTCTTCACGACTTTGCAGTCCCAGCTGCTTTATCACAATCCCAAGATGTGTACTCGTGATGAAAATGACAAACTTGTCGATGGCAACGACAAGGGTGACGCAATAGCTCAGGAAGTAACAACACTGAGGAGGAAGATGAAGATCTAAATCCTGGAGATGGAGTAATGTGGTTTGGAATATGATAATGAATGAAATATGCTGGCTTGTTTACTTTTCGTGTAAAATGGATCATGGACAAGTATCTAGAGAACCCCGATTGTGCTTCGAAAAATGCGTGTGTCCAATCTATATACTATATAAACCAAGACTAATGATATTCCATTAAATCAAAGGCTTCAAAGCACTAGCTTTACACGATCGAAAGCAAATTTGGACCCAAAGTAATGAGTTGAAAACCCCTCCCGGCAACACTATTGTGTGGTACGGCACGCATAAAGGCATTGCTTTCGACAAATTGCTATGTGATGCTTTCTATCATGATTTTTATCATGGATTTCAAGTAGACATGGATTCTGCGAGGGAGCGGTGACATTCACTCAGACTTTTTATGTTGCACGTCTGAAATCTGTCCAAGAGAAAAAGTGATCATCAATCCCCAAAATTGGAAAACTGAAACCGGAAATAAGACTTACATCAACTAGGAATAATAAGACCCACACCACTTCTCGGCTCTTATTTCCGCCTAATCGATATGCTCCGTAATTATTTCTGCCACTAAAGCGGTGAAATGTTTTGTGTTACAATTCCTAACCCCTCCAAGTACACAACCAAGTACCTAGGTAACGAACAGATGCAGTGATCAATTGAGAACAGATACGGACAGGCAAAATATTATAATATGTCTCCGGAATATTTCACCACACAAATGCTCAAATGTCAATGTCGCTCATGTTTCCTCGTTTGCCCCGAAACGTAGCAGCTGGACCTTTCCTGCATGCTCGCAGTTTCCAACATCACATCCGGTTCTCAAGCAGAATGGCCTCCAAAGGGCGTAGCTATGACGATGCGATAGCACTGTTGGATACTTTGCAGTCCAATCGAACAATTGTTTCCTCCATTTCGAAGACCTCGGAAGATATGAACATGTATGCTATACCAGAAATGCTAGAATGGACCCGCAAGGCGGGGTACGAGACTGGAGATTTCTCAAAGCGCGGATTAAAATGTATACACGTAGCTGGAACAAAAGGGAAAGGTAGTGTGTGTGCTATGATAGGTAACATTCTGCGACAGTATCGGCGCAAAGAAAATGACGTTGGAGTTGTACCAGGGGACGCGAAAAGGAAGGGTCTAGGGAAGATTGGGCTTTATACCTCACCACATCTAATGACAGTGCGTGAACGAATAAGGATAGATGGTTCACCAATATCAGAACGTCTATTTGCTCGCTATTTCTTTGAGCTCTGGGATCGATTCTCCGATGCTTCTGCCGCATCTACTGCCCCGCATTCGAATCCTACGTCCTCGGAGACCAAGCCAGGATATTTTCGATATCTCACTATTATGGCACTTCATACATTTATGGAGGAAGGTGTGGAAACCGCCATCATAGAATGTGGTATTGGAGGAGAATATGATAGCACGAATATACTGCCTGCTGAAGCAGTTACTACCACCGCGATCACGAAACTCGGTATCGACCATGTTGGAGTGCTGGGAGACACAATTGATAAGATAGCTTGGCACAAGGCTGGAATTATGAAGAAGAACATTTCGTGTTTCACCTCCCCACAACTCCAAACAGCACAGTCTGTTCTAGAAAACCGCGCCAAGGAAATTGGTGTCAAATTGGAGGTCGTGAATAGACATTCCGGCTTTGACAATGGAAGCATTGAATTAGGCACAGAGGGGAATTTCCAGAAGGATAACGCCAGTCTGGCAATGGCTGTTGCAGCTTCACATTTACAAGATCTATGTATTAAAGATGTGCCTACCCCTTCTGAATTATTCACTCCTGAACAACCCATCCCAGGTCAAATTTTGGAAGGGCTAAAGACAGTCAGATGGGCTGGTAGATGTGAAGTTGTGGTCACTGGTAATATTAAATGGTTCATCGATGGTGCGCACACAGTGGACAGTATCAAGGAGACTGGCCGTTGGTACGCTTCGAAACTCAATCAAGCCGCCGCGCAAGGGGTTTCCCCCACGAAAAGCATACTAATTTTCAATCAACAAGACCGTGATCCTGAAATGCTTATTCGGACATTACTGGAAAACATTCACATTTCTTTCAGAGCTTTTGACTTCGCTGCGTTTTGCACCAATATACCTTTCAAGAGCGAAGGAGAGGATAGTGGCATCATTGATCTTAGCCAACAGAAGTCGGCGTCTAAATTTTACTCAGGCCTGGATCGTAGTCCAATGTGTATGGAGTATGCGAGTATCCAAGAAGCGGTAGAGCTTGTGCATATGGTATCCGAAGATGAGGAACGTCTCTTCGTTCTGGTAACTGGAAGTCTGCATCTCGTCGGTGGTCTCATGAAAGTTCTTGAATATCAAGGTAAGAAAGAGGGAGAAGTGCAGAAGCTCCCTCAATAGTGGAACAGTGCTGGAGTTTGTTCGATACCCGTTAGTGATATAGAAAATACAGGAACTGCGCTTATGGTGGGATTGTGTGGTTCTTACATGTTTCAATTTAAAGAGATGTCGTTGATATATTCATCGAAGTACCTGGTATAGTGTTCGATGTGGATTTGAATACTGGAACGTATCGTATGGTCAGGAGGGAAAAGAGAACTATTTGCAGTTTTGAAGAGCGTATACCCGAAAAATAAGAATATTTTTAATTATTATATTGGTTGAACAATAATATCATACACATACAATCGTGAACCTCAGAATATTTCGTGACCCATACCTTGCATGTTGAGATACATGCGCGTCTCTTGCCACCACCCTTCTTCATGTTACTGCCTTTAATCCTCTACAGTGCATCCCTCTTTTCCAAATTACCCAATGCTCTGCCAACCAAATGCAAACTTCCAGTAATTAAAGCCTGAGGATGCGCATCATCTGTGGACAAACTCCGCACATATTCAAGCGCATCGTCTACACTTGGAAGAACCTGAACATCGGTATCAGGGTTTGAATCTAACGAGCGCCATTTTTCGGCAAAGGCTTTCTGCATCGTAAGCTCAGATATCGATTTGGGATCGTAGGAAAGATTGACGAAATCTGGTGGAATCAGTAGATGTTCGGTTGGTGTTGGTGATGCGCTATTACCTGTTTTGGATGCATTTTCTTTCTGAATTGAGGTTGTGCAAAATATGACGTGGTCGAATTTAATGGATTCTTTAGTTGCGCTATGGAGACCCTCGAGTAACCCTATAGCTTCACGATGGCCTTGTTGGTTGAAAATCAAAACTCGAGGGCCATTTCTAGAGCTGATTAGAAACGTGGGCTTAAGGTGGGTCAAAACTTACTTTTCAGCTACCTTATCACTAAACCATTTTGCTGCGACCACAATACTATCAGCGGTATGTGCGCCGTCTAAGTACCAGGTGATGTTTCCATCGACCTTTGTTTCGCATCTTCCTCGCCAGACAACTCGCTCTAAAGCTTCTACGACACTTATTGGTAGGAAATGCTCCCATGTGTCGAGCTCGGGATTCAATTTCTTCAGAACTGTTTCGGCTAAACATATGGCAAGACTTGCGTTTCCTCTCTGAAAATCTGCTTCAGGTGTTATTTTCACTTGTATTAGTCTTGGGTCTAAATCGACTATCTTGAAAGACTCTACTCGTTTCTCTCGAGCCCTATTTTCTAATACTTTCATTGCTTCTGGCTTTTGTTGCACTGTAAATGATGGGACTCCCGCCTTCTGAATTCCAGCTTTGTGCCATGCAATTTTGTCAAGCGTTTCTCCTAGTGTAAACACATGGTCAATTCCTAGCGACGTGATACCCGTCACCGCCGGTTGATCCACGATATTCGTTGAATCATACTCGCCACCAACTCCAACCTCATAAATTGCAGCATCAACGCCCTCTTGGAGGAAAACGTGATAAGACATCAAAGTTAGATACCTAAAATAAACAGGCTTCTCGAACGGTTCGCTCGAAGAAGCTGCTGCTGCTTCCAGACGATCCCAAACCTCAAAGAAGTATTTTGCAAATAGAGGAGCGGATACGGGTGCTGAATTGATCCGGATTCTTTCGCGGACAGCGATAAGATGGGGTGATGTGAAAAGTCCAACCTTTTTCGGGAAACCATGTGACGTTCTATAACTATTCAATGCCGAGTCTACGTAAGCGCACGTAGACCCTTTCCCTTTGGTGCCAGCAACGTGAACGACATTCAAGCGCCTGAGATCATCTTGCTGGACGTGAGTCAGCGACGAAAAGGCAAGGAGAGAGATTAAAAAATACGGTGTATCCAATCCGAGTCAGATGCTGTCTCATTTCCTGATTTACTCCTTCATCGAGTTTGATTCCAGCCTCCCATCTCTTCTTGAGGACTTCGTATGGTGTTTGAAGTGTATTCAAGGCATTGATTGCATCCTAAATGATGGTGAGAAGAATTCATGATCAGGTGTATAGCAATGTTTGACAAAACGAACATCGTAGGTCCTTTCTGCCATTGTGGCAATAAACTTTCGTGAATCAGGAACGCTTTTATTGAAACGGCAATTGATAGAGATACTTTTTAGAGGTCGCAAAGACGATCTATGAAATGAAGACCACATTACCTGTCATATAAAAGTTCATGTCTGCAGTTTGAAGACAAAGATTCTTCGAATGGAAACATGTATCTTGCTTTGTCATCCACCGATAACCTTAATCGGTAAGATACTAAAGCGGCGCATAGTCTTCAACAAAACTTTGACATTCTCCCATCCCATCCCATTATCATGTCTGATCGTCGCATTTAAGACAAACGTATTGCTTTATCAGAGATCTTCTGTAACAAGCAAAAGATTGACAATCTTGCATAAGGAAGCATGGCTATCAACGCGTATCCTGTTCCTCTGCTCCTTGCATTGCAATTCCCATGATGGGAAAAGCTCTCTGCAGGAGCAATTTTTAGCCTAGATTAAGTGCAGCGCAAAAGTGGGGTTGGGATGGTGATTGGGGTGGTGGTGTGCTTGCAAGGGCAAAGTAGATGTGCATATACAATGCAACTTATCGTCGCAACTACTTTGCAGGATATCTGCTCATTGTATATGAAATATGGCGCGAAGTATATCACAGAAGAATGACGATGAGCTACAGAGGATCTCCATCGAAAATGTTGTGCTTGAAAAGGGTATACTGGAGGAGACGGTAATTGAACCAGCAGTTGTGAAGGTCGAGACGCGATTTTCGGAAAAGGAGGTGACAATACGACAAGTAGCCCCTATGGTTATCGTTTTAACTGGTGCGACATTTCTTGTTGTAAGTGCCAACACCATGAATCTTGGGTAGATGTCTGATATATCCTCCTCAGACAATCGCTGCCCAGGCAGTCATCATCATCTTACCTGAAATCTCTCGGGATCTTGACATTCCTCAAGATCGGCAGCAATGGGTGCTATCTTCTTATGCATTGACGTCTGGCTCATTCCTACTTCTTTGGGGAAAACTGGGAGATGTTTATGGGAGGAAGTTATTGTTTATTCTGGGTGCAGCTTTTACAGCCGCTACTTGTATTGCGACGGCTTTTTCTCCTGTTGAGGTTTGTTTATACATAATGCGGGCTTTGCACGGACTCGCCTCTGCTGTCACTATCCCTACAGCTATTGGTATAATAGGACATACCATTCCACCTGGACGAGTGAAAAACTACAGCTTCGCATTCTACTCTGGAGGCGCCCCGATGGGTCAAGTTCTTGGAAATCTCATGGTATGTATCCCTTTCTTTTCCAATATTCACTTGTGATTCTGATTCTTTATCCAGGGCGGAATCATCTCTCAATGGGCGAGTTGGAAAGTCGTATTCTTCGTGATAGCTGGTGCTTCTATTACTATTGCCGTAAGCGCGATATTTGTGGTCCCAAAGGAAGCAGCTAGAGGCAACGAGGAAGATACAGTGCGTGCCTCAGGTGTCGATTGGATTGGTGCTTTTCTATTTACTGCGGGTCTACTTTTATTACTCGTAGGCTTGTCAGAAGGAGGGTCGTCTGGGTGGCAGGCGGCCTCGGTCATTGCCATCATAGTTATATCTGGGTGTTTACTGATAGGATTTGTTCTGTGGGAACACTATCGCGAGACAAAGACAGCTAAAGAACCATTGATGAGAGTGTCGACGTTTCACCATAAGCAGTTCTCCATTGCCATGGTCATTATAACTTTATTCTCGGCTGGCTTTACCAATTTCTGCCTCTATACTACTTACTAGTATGTCTTCATCTGACTCCCCAATATCGTGGGCTAATTTGTATATAGCTACCAAGATTTTCGACTTCTCGATCCCTTACAGACCGCTCTTCGGTATATTCCATTAGGTGTGGTTGGTAGTATGTTAACCGGACCTTACTTCGAGAAATATTTCTGACAGTTCTGTAGTTCTTACAACTTTTGGATCTGGGTACTTACTCGCTCGAATCAATGGTAATTACATTCTCAGTTTTGGGCTCGGCTCAGCGATGATTGCAAATCTTCTGTTTGCCGTTCCAATACCTCCTAGTACATCATACTTCGCTTTTGGTTTACCAGCAATGGCACTTGCGGCATTCGGTGCTGATACAGTCTACCCATGTCTCGGTCTCTTTACAACTCAGTCACTTCCTCGAAAGGATCAATCGGTAGCAGGAGCCATGTTTCAAACTATGGCGGCCATCGGACGAGCCATGCCCCTGCCTATCACGTCGGCAATCCAGGAGTCTGTTCAATCAAAAGAGTTAAAGGAAGGAAAGGTTCAGATGCAAGCATTTTTGGCAGGACTAAGGTCTGTGGAATGGTTCTGCGTGGGCTGTACGGCAGCATCTTTAGCTATGACTGTCATTGGACTCAGAAATATCGGAAAGATTGGAATGTTAAAGAAGCTAGGTGTTGCCAAGGAGACGAAGGAAGAAGTTTAGTAGAATTTGCAAAATAACGGTCTAATGCCATTATTTATTCGTTAGGTAATGGTCACTAAATACTCAACTCTAGACGCTGATCGTCATAGTATCCGTGAAAGGTATGATTCGAAATTCTCATCATAAATTTTGAAACATTAAAACAATATATAAATCCGTAACGAGAAATGATTATCATACTGCTAGAATCTAGTAACAGTTCTAGAAGAAACTTAAAAATGGCGGAGAGCCCCGGTACTAAGACTTCTATTTGGCTGCTTTGTCACCTTCAAGTTTCTGAAAGAAAGCTTGCCCAGAGTATAAGACTAAGCCTGAGATCTTAATTAGTATTGTACCAGAGATACTTCTCCTTAAAGTTTAGCTCTGAAGCAGATAGTAAAAGATTTTAACCTCTGTACTCCTTTGATTGTAAGAATAAAGAATACTAAATTATTTAAAGTAAATTCGATTACTTAGTCTTCATTATGTTACGAGGTTTGCCGTCTAGATCACGTGGAAGCGCTCTAGGCTCTCGAAGTGGCTTATAACTAGGCGTCAAGCAGGGACTTAAGTAATGACAATAATGATATGCAATTCGTAACTAATAGTAGAGTATACTAAATGATTGATCTTGAGCACGAAGCTCTATACAAAGGAAATCCATCTTGATTATATAGACCTTCTTGTTCTGGCTCTAGAGGCTCTAACTAGATCTTTTAGAGCCGGTCACATGATGGATCTGATCCCGTGATTAGTCATGTGATGCGGAAATATGTTACCCGTCGTAACACATTATAATAATTTTATTATATATTCTTTAATTATAATTATATAAAATATACAATATAAAAGAATTATAATTTAGTAAATATAATATAATATAAACTATTATAATAGATAAGATCTGATTATAAATATATATTATACAAAAAAAACTGTAATAATAATATATGAATAAGCTTTTGTTGGATGATTTGACTTTAGTATTTTGCCGAAGATAGAATCGGATCCGAAGTCTTACCGATACAGTTCTCTAATCGATTTTATAGAAATCAAAACATTGTATAATACTTATTAAACTTAATAAAAGCTTTAGAATATATTTGAAGCTATTTGCATTCCTAAATTCTTTGTTATAGCGACCTTTGTTCTTTCTTGAGGTGTATAAAGTGGTTGTCTCAGATCTCAAAAAGCTACCTTCCCCATAAAGAATGACAAACAAGGCCTTGTGCGACAAATTACCTCGTTCGGTGGCACCACCTCCTGGATCCGACCTCGAGGATCCCTCCAGGGAGAAGACTGCGGTTCCTACTACCTTATCGGTTCCTTGTGCTTGAATGCCATATTCACCACGAAAAACCGACGAGCGAAGCTTCATTGCCCCCTAGCACGCCTCACCGTCCGCCGAGATTATAAGAAAGGGGTTCACAAAAACCAGCGACAATTAAACTTGGAAGCAGAACATGAAAAAACACTACAGAGAGGAGAACACATAGAGAAGCTATGAGATACATTAGGAAATAAGGGCAGGATCTATGACAGCGCCCATGACAGATCTGTCGGGGCCGGCAAAAAGTGAAGGCACTGGAAATATGAAACGTCTTTGCAACCGCGCAAGGAATGTCGAAAGAATCTCTGCGATGGTTTCTGGATTTTGACTCTCGCCTCCTTGAGCGCGTAACTCACTGCAACTCCGGGGTCGATTTGTTCTCAATCGCAAAGCATGGTGCGACCATGGGATGGAATCTCGAGACCATCTCTAACTCCATCAGATCTTCCTGCGCTATCAGAGCCATTGCTATGTGCCCAGGCTAGACATTAGAATAGCACGGATATCGGTTTTGAGTGGAGAAAAGATTGACCGAACAGACCGCTGTAACAGCAAAATTAGAATTTGTCAAATGGTGTTGACTCTGGATTGTATCTGATGTTGAGTATGAAATCTGTGATTAAGCTCGCAAGATAGATTTTGTACTTTTCATAGAGACTTGGTGGTTAAGAAAGCCAGGTCAAGGTTGAGGGTTCCACTGGCTGTGATGAAGAGGGGCGGAGTACTTGGTACAATGGCTTTAATTCCTGTTGGGCATGCCAATGCAATTGCATCCATCAGTGAACAAATGGATGATTATGATCGCTGTGTATGCACCGAAGTCAAAGAATTTCTCCGGGTTGGCACCATTTCTTGGAAACAGAGAACCCAGGCTTTTGTGAGGCCGCTAGTCGGGTATGGTGGGCAAATTCTCGTTAAAAGGGTGGCCAGATTGCCAGGGGCTTTTAGCTTCTGGTTCTGATTTGCGAGCTATTCCTTGGCGATACCAGGCATTGGTATATCCCTTAAGGCTCGATGTTTTGTGGAGATATCCAGGCACATCTGCCTTGCTAGTAGCTTGTTCCCCGACGATGCTAGCTCGATTACCCATGATTTGGGCTACCCTAGCAGCTTCGTCTTCCTCATCATCTTCTGGGATGACAATAACATCCTCATGCTTGTCATCAGGCAAAAGATTTATGTTTGGTAGTGTCAGATTCTCTGTGCTGGTGACGGATCTAGCTTCTACCCTGCCTTCGGGATTAGCGTTGTCATTCGAGATGCTGGCTTCTTTTCCTTGATCAGGGGTACCGGGGTTGTGGTGTTCTGTATCGAGTGTAGTGGTTTTATGCGCGTCGCCTTCGTGCCAATCATATTTGTGCCATGCATCTTCTTCAATGGCGACAACGCTGGGGTCAAACCCAACTTCCAGTTCGAGTTCGAGTTCCTCATCGAAACAACCTTCTCCGTCGAGCCCATTGTATTGGCTTTGAGGCTGGAATCGTTGTTCGGACAAAAATTGTTGTCCTGACTCGAGTCGCGGCTCAAGCTGGCGTTGTCTCTTAAATGATCCGACGTGTACCGTTTCTTCTTCAAGAAGCTCTTCTTTCCTCTTCGATGGTGCAGTGGACGTCGTTTGGCTCAAGTCTCGATATTCGTGCCTGTCTTTCTGAATTGGAGGGCATACATGATTTGCTCTCTTGTCTTGTTCCTCGAAGACGGCAGCGGCAGATCTCTCTTCCTGTCTGTATTGCCATCCTCCTTGTCTTAAAAGTTTGCCATTCATGTTGCTAGATTGACCTAGAGGACTCGGTTGAAAGCCCGTGTGCATGGTGCTTGTGCAAATCTCATGGCTGGATGGTCGCATGGATGCCGACATAGGTCTACCATGCTGTGGCATGGTTTGTAAATCGAAGCTCTCATACTCCGAAAGAGCTGGTCTTGGCTTTGATCCACCAAATCTGTCATCAATGAGGGCTGGGTATTTGATGAAGTTGTAGGCCATCTGCGAGTCGAAACTTTTAAGACTGCCATTTGTACGGCTCAATCTCTGCTTCGCATCATGCTCAACCTCGTCCTCGGATCGAAGAAGCTCCCGCCTGTGGATGAGATACTCAGATGAACCAGCCATGGAGTCATATATTCTGCGATAATAAGCCTCGTTTCCCATGGCATGTCCCATCGTATAAGCATTACTGGCAGCACCTCCTCTGGTACCTTCGCCACCAGCTTCACCGACAGCTTCACCGATAACTTGAGGGACATGGACAAACTTAGGCATGCTTTGAATGTACCCATTAGCCGGGTTCAACGCTGAACCTCGGTGCTGGCTTGAGTCTCCATTGATAGTTTTGCTTGTCTCGAGGCTGATCAGGCCGTTTTCCAACTTGCGCAAATACTCATCCTTATTTCCCGGCCTTTTGTACTCGGCCCACATCTTGCCGGCATATTTGTGGGTGCTTTTCCATGTTTTTTTCGTTGCTTCACTCGCGTGCTTGGCTTCTAGACTGTTTTTTTCTTCACTAATTTTTTACGTTTTTTGGAGTCGAGTTATTCAACTTAGCCAGAAGCATTCTGTCACCTGGCCATATCGGGTTTCTCTTCGCACGCACTGCTTCTATCCGACCTATGGCGTCCTTGCTGCGACGTATGGCTCGTGGCTGCCCAAGTGCTTTCTGTTTGAGTTCCTTCACGTGGCTGAATTTGCTATTAGCTATCGCTCTTAATTAAAAAGACTGTAAGAAGTGAGGCAAATCTCACCGGCCTACTGTTTGCGCGTCAACGCCATCGATCATTAACAGCCTATTTTTAGGCGATGGTCCTCTCATTGACTCCGTCGTACCAAGTTCTTCGTTGCATTTATGTGCAATTTGTTTGCTCGTTTCCCGGATATCTCCTTGGACGTTATAACTTTCAAAGTATTTGTTGGGCCACTCCACGTGTTTCTCGGTTTTTGGCATTTTGACTGTATAGCTGATTTCTTAGCAGTTGTTCAAAAAGGTGATTTGATTCGCAGGTAATAGGCATTCTGCATACAGATTTGATTGTTCAGCGAAGCCCAGTTCGTTGCTATCGACTGTCTGTGCTGAGATGTCTTTCCTGAGTTTCGTTTTGCTATCGATATAGCTTAGCACTTCTTTCAAAATCAGATCCAATTATACTTCGCGCGGTTACTGGTGGTACAGTTACTAACCTTGTTATATGTTTGTTTAATTTTGAAGTATGCTTGTTTGCGTTGAGAGAAGTGTCTGCGATGTCGATGTAGATAATTTCGTGTAGCGTTTTCACGGTCTGGTTGTGTACAACGTCAAACGCTACCCTGGTGATTTTTTTTCGATCAACTTCGGTACGGATTTGCTTCTACCTCTGACTGATGCGGAAAAGCTTTTGTGGCAATTCTGGTTCAGAGTTAATCTAAAAGTGGTATCAATATGGCATGTCTGTAGATTTATTCACAAGAGTTTGTGTGAGTAGATACGTACTGAAGAGGCTCTTGGAGGATAGACAGCAATTAGAATGATATAACCATGGATGGCCGTCGCTTACCGAATATCTAACGCCTCTGCTTTGTTGAGAGAACAAAGCGTTGGCATGACGAACTATGTTGTTACGCTGCTCTGGTCTTCGCGGATTGGCTGCAATAAACCTCGTTTTGAAATAGGAATAAGGTTGGGACAAGGCTATTCCTCATTGTAGCCCCGAGTTTGTGCCTGCTCAGATAGGGCCGTATAGAGCGGTCAGGTAGAGATTCAAAGGATCTCTTCTTTCGTATTGGCCTGGTCTGCGTTTTATGCCTAAAAGAAGGACTTACTGGTGTCCCAACATCCATAAATTTTCCTTCACAGTTAATATTGCAGCCATGAGAACCGGCTGCTAGCTGATTACTCAATGGTATTACCTCCATTTCTACCATTCTCGTTGACAGCACATAATCATGAGGCTAGCCCTCCAAAGAAGTGCTCTGCCACCACAATTCGGAGATGTTCCCTTCGGGTTCAAGGCTCATGCATTGCAGATATATAAATGTACAGTTGGAAGTCAATAATGAATTGCGGAGGTTAGATTTATTAGTTTGTTATGTTTCTTAACAAAACCTTGAAATTTTTTGTGAATTATGTGAAATTTGCAGATTAGATACAGCAAAGGGATCATGGTAGTTTCTACAAGATCCGCAATGTCCTTGTTGTTGCACAAGAATTTGAACTTGAGATAATGTGCGCCGAGTCTCTTCGAATCTAGCACAATCCTCAAGACAGAGAAATCCTTTCCTATTCCACCTACCCTCCCCTTTACATGCTACATAAGGAATTCCATACAGCTATATCATTCCATCCATGCCAACTGTACTTTTCCAGTTTCAAATTTGTAGTCATTGCCGGCCCAGTTCCGTGTGTTACTAAGGGTACCCCCCAAGCACCTCTAAGTACGCAGGAAAGACTTGAAGTCGAAGCCCCCAGCCATAGGAATGGAGCCACGAAACGCACTCTCTTCCATTGAGAGGAGTAAGTTGTCGGAGTTGTCGACGTCCTGTGCGTTCACAGAATACTCCAGTGTTGAAGGTACCTGATCCTGCAACTCCAACTCCTGGACCCCGTTCTGTTCGTAGGGAGAATCTTTTGGTGCTGGGAGGTATTGAGCTGGTAGTTCAGCCTCCCAGATTCCGTCTTGGCTACTGGCGTTGTGTGCTGTAGGACTTTGAACTTTTCCTTCCACAGCCGAGTTGTCTTCCTTCTGTGCATCTTGTGTAAACTGCTGTTGTGGAACGTAAGTGTGGGGATCTTGATTTGCAGCTGCATGTGCCTCCCCAGATTTTCTCTCGTTATCACTAAAAAGAAGAGGGTCAAGAAGACTAGGATCGATGTCCGGGGTTGAAATAGTAGCGGGTGAGATAGCGGGAGTCTGCAGCATCGGAAAGTCAGTAATTGTCCCTCAAAAGAAGTTCTCAGAGAAAGAGTGAGAAATTCAGGGGATACATCAAGAATTGGGTGGTGCAGAGGATAGAAGATTTATTTAGCGTTAAATGCTGAAGGAAGGGCACAAAATGAAAGAAATGATTCAACTTACCGTCTCTCTTGCTCCATTTGTCTTTCCATCATAATTTTTGCCATAGCCATTATGTCTGGTGGGAGATTGATTGGGTGACCATCTGTTCATGTCACCATTGTTGAAGGACATTCCTGTATTGGATGCCGCCATGAATGTATGTTCTTGGTAAACACCTTCAGCTATGTTTGTCAATTGAGCCAGAAACTCTGGAGATGGTTTAGGCTTCATTCGTCCCTTGGTCCTGGACACCTGTCTCATGCTTTTATGTTGCTTCTTCGGACGTTCAATCTTTTCCACTTCGCCCTTAGCTGGTGTGAACTTTCTCTTGCCAGCTGAAGCAATAGCTTGAGACATTAAGACATGACAAGGTCGCTTCATAGAATGTTTATCACTGTCCGTTTCGTTTTCGACAGGAGCTGGCTTTCTCTTTCTAGATGGAGTGGCAGTTTGGCTCAAGCTCTTATTGGGCAGTTGCTCTGCCTGACTTGCTAGAACCTGGGAACAGGGAGGCGCATACTGCTCCTGCCCTTGACCTTGAGGTCCTCGAGAAGTCTGATAGTTTTGGGGCGCTGGTTGGCCAGTTGGAATGCTGGACCATCCAGACATGCCACCAATATGATGGTATGATGCAGGCTTGTTTATTCCATTGAGTAATCCAGGTTGTGGGTGTCTCAAAATAGGATTCAGGATATTAGCTCCTGGCTGAGCGATTTGTTGGTCGGCTTGTTGGTTTCCATTAGCAGGATAGCTCTGTCCTGCTGTCAAGCCATTGTTTCCCAGGTTCATAAACTGAGCCAGTGGCATGGAATACATCTGGCTTTGTGCCTGAGTATACATAGGCATCTTCTGGGATCCGTGTTGTGCTTGCTGATTCACCTGGTTGGGCTGAGGTACCTGCATTCTCTGGAAGCCATTCTGCCCGTGAGAATTCATCTGATAGTGCTGTGGCGCCGGTGCATTCTGGAATTCAGTTTGTCCATGCCGGTTCATGAGGTTATGTGGTAGTGCCTCCATGGCCTGAAAGCTACCTTGACCATTTTCATAGTTAAACCGAAATCCAATATTTGATCCAGATGCCATGAGGCCGAGGCCTAGCTGGCTGTTCACATTGTTCATAGCGCCATTTACGGGTGCATTATTTCCCATTTGTCGAGTAAGATCTGCGCCGGTCACGGGGCATATCGAACCGTTTAACAGTTTTTGGACGTATCCTTCGCGATCCTCATCATATGCTTTCCACATCCGGATCGCATGTCTGCTATTCTTCGACTTTGGATGTGTGCGTCCTCTGCCGGTCATCTTCAGCACCTTAGCTTTATGTTCGAACCAATTCTTGACCTTCCTGTAGCTCAAACCCGTCTTCCACATTAATATCATCTTTATTCCTGGAGGTGGATAATGATCAAGTGCATACGCGGCTTCCAGGATCTGCGTCTGTTCCGGAGTATTTCGTTTTGCGCGAGCTTGGTTTGCGGCGCGCTTTCGACATTCGCTCATGTGTCTGTGTGCATGTTAGCTTAGTAGCTGATGCTAGCAGCGTCAAAAGGATTAAATCATACCTTCCCACTATTTGGGAGTCAACACCATCAATGCCTTGAGTCGTGGGAGGTAAATGTGCCTTATTGCAGTCGTCTGAAATCTCTTGAGTGGTCTTCATCAAGTCATTAGGGTCGACGAGCCTGTTGTAGTAGTCGTTGAGAAATTGAACATGCTGTGTGTCTTTAGGCATTTTGCCTCAACTTCTGTGAATGGTCAGCTAGGATTCGAGGACTAATTGTTCTAATTCTGAGTACAGGGAGGGTCTCCATGGCCATCCTTCTAATTCGTGAAAATCTTGAAAAGCAGGTGAGATATAAATTGAAACTTGTTATGAGAGGAGGGCAGGAAAATCGCCAGAAATTGAGTAGAATTGGTGGAAGTATTTAGGACATTAGAGGAGCAACAGTATTCAAGGGACAGGAGTAAGATGTATTGCACGGCAGAATGGCGAGAAATTCAGGAGCGGGGTATATCTTACCGAATGTATGTACAAAATGAGTTGGTTTGTTTCGTAAATTGATTGGGAATTACTGCCCGGTATTTCGCTGCATCAAAATGTTAGCTCTTCATTCATTGAGCGGACTTGATGATCTCAAAAGAGGATATGGGTAGAGTACGAGAATATTATTAACCTTTGGTATCTTGCTGACGATTTTTTTGATTTGTTTTCTCACAGAAGAGCGTCGGTATTCTCGTCGCTTGAACAGTGATTGGTATTCACCGAAATTTGTTCTCGATACTGGAGGAAGAATACACAATTTATTGTGAATCTATCGCCTATGCTTCTGAAAAGTAGACGAGTGGGACGTAAAGATATTCGTATGGGAATTAGTTGTGCAAGGTAGTCAGTTGTCTGGAAAGTTAATTGACAAGAATACTAGCCAAGCAAAAAGGTTGCTACTTGAGAAATATTGTTTTATAAGGTTCCCAAATATCCAAACAGTATTGTGTGATAATGTTTTGTTCCAGAGAGCGCGCATTCAGGAGCATTTATGTTACGAGATCTCGAGGTCAATATCACTAGCGTCATTTATTACTGCTAGTGCGACCGTTGGAACATTGAGATGAAGAAAAAGAAGGAAAAAGTTGTTCAATACGGCAATTTTGGCCGTACTTTCCCAAGGTCAAGAAAGTCAGTGACATGATACGTTTACTTACATATGGTACATGACTTTCAACAACATGGACCTTGGCAAATCCTCGACGAGCAGTTGGAGGTACCGCTCTCTTTAGCTATTAGTGATGTTGTTGATACTCAACTTCAGTATGATTCCAGACAGTGCTTCTATTTATTCTCTAGTGAACGCGGCGTGCCTTGTCTTTTTGAGCATAGGTATTCCTCTAGTTATATGCTTGATCTCCTTTCATGTTTGCTATTATTCTCGCCAGCTTATGCGAAACACGAATACGTAGATACATCCATCTCTTATCGACTAGGGAATATATTTACCCCTTCATAAAAAAGGCGAAAGCTCGATGCGGATTGATGTTTTATTGATAGGAGCACACTCCGCACACTCCGCACACTCTACTTCAATCGAGGGAATAATACGAGCATACACTTGCACCCTGTAATTCGATTATCCGGAATATATACAAGTCAGGGAATTTGAAATGGACGAAAGACAATGTAGGAATCGAGATTGTATGCCATAAATATAGATTAGATTGCGAAAGTAGAAGAATAGTCCAGCTCGAATGTGACAAAGGAGGGGACAGCTTGAATTCAAATTGGACAGCTTGAATTCAAATTGGACAGCTTGAATTCAAATTGGACAGCTTGAATTCAAATTGGACAGCTTGAATTCAAATTGGACAGCTTGAATTCAAATTGGACAGCTTGAATTCAAATTGGACAGCTTGAATTCAAATTGGACAGCTTGAATTCAAATTGGACAGCTTGAATTCAAATTGGACAGCTTGAATTCAAATTGGACAGCTTGAATTCAAATTGGACAGCTTGAATTCAAATTGGACAGCTTGAATTCAAATTGGACAGCGAGCAGTAAAGAAATTTTGTGGAAATAAAAGCCATGGTTCTCATGGATAGGTATTCGGTTGTATACATTTACTCTATTCACAGCTTATTCTAATTTGGCAGGTTCTCATTATCGTTCGCATTGTCCCTCTACTGTATTGTCAAAACGCTTGAGATGTGCGGGTAGTCAAAGCAATACAAAGAGAGTTATGGCAGACACAGAAAGAGTTAGAAAGGGAAGGTGGAACTACAGAGAAGGACAAAAAGAAACAGAAAAATATTCGCACGCGTGCAGTGAGCAGAAGAAACAACTTATAGATGGCGTAATCACAATGATTGACAACCTCATTTTCTGGTACTCTATGAGTGCTTAAGTCACTCTATCTGACGTTGTTCGCATTATAAGGGTATCTCACTCAACAGCCCACCGCGATGATAACACACAGTTGCTGTTCATCTCAGGCTTAGGCGCCTGCGTTGATGGTCCTGCGTGATAATCGAAATGGTCAGAAAATCATCTTTTTCCCATCCAATCCTTCATTGAACGATACTCCTATCTAACGGGCGCTTAGGTTCAAGATAGCATTTTGGCAGTGTTCATCTATGGAGAAATTCTTGGCATATTTTCTGGCTACAGCCGGATGGGAAGTTAGCTGAACGATGCAAGTATGGATCTCAAAGCAACAATACGACTGTCTCGCTAAGTCATAGCCGCGGGTCTCGTAATGTGAGAATAGGAAAGCAGTATGCCAAATGAAGATTTGCGACATAGCATACGAGGGTGGGAGATGAGAAACGCAGAATCTGAAAGCAAAAAGCTAGGATCTGGTATGCGCAGCGTGATAAAAATGGACGCAGACAGGACTGATGGGATAGTGATGTCTAGGTATAAGCAAAAGAACGAAGCCACCCGGTTTTGTCGCATGTAAGGTATTCAGGACGTCTGATTGCCAATGTGTACAAATTCAACAGGCGAAACAGCAATATCATGAAAGAATATATCACAATCTGTAACTACCGAACAATTATAGACGCAGGATGCAAGCGTGGGTGTGGATAGGAAGATCCATACTGAAGTGGCAATCACCAACACAACGTCTATTTGATACCGCTTACGAGGATAAAGAGATTAGGTTCGCAAAGAAGTGGTGGAAACAATTTGATAAGTTAGAGATGTGCAATTTGAAGAAAGATGAAGGCATGTAGGAGAGTTGGGTGAGTATATGGACAGATGACTATCGTCTATTTTGTTCCAAACCCGAAACAATCTCCAACTCTTGTTGTAATGTATGAATGTATGCCAATAGTCTGTTTTTTTTTGGTATATGCATATAGTTCTATCCTCCATTATCTTTAAGGTTATATTGAATATCTAATCCTGTTGACGTTCAAGTATTATCCTCACATCTCTTGATGATTGAATGATTTTCCTGTCACTAGAAGTAATGCTGTATGATGGGAGGTTTCATCATCATATTGTTCTGGAAAATTTGATCAAGTGGACCAATATCTCCGGACTAAGATTCGAGCGAGAAAATGTCGATGGCGCCACGAGAGCACTACCGGCGTATTGAAGAGTATTTGAACAGGAAGGTTGCAACGCCACAGAAAATACCAAGGGATGACGAATACCTGACTTTGGTGTCTCTTGTTATCTTTCATGCTTTCCCTTATATAAGATCGACTTATTATCATATCATATCGTCACGATAAAGTGTCCTCCAAGCACCTATAAACTTACCTTTCCAGATGCTTTCGGGTCTAGCCTCAGAGCTTCAACCAAAACACGTGGATCCGATCGATGTTTTGCTCGTAGCGATCACTGCGGATAAAACCACAACCGCATGCCCCGATCAGATTCTATAATCGATGACCATTAATTAATTCCGTTTCCCTGCACGAGGACCATGGCGAATACATCACAGATTTACCTAAGCTTTGGTATTCGAGTGTCGAATATGGAAAGAAAAATCCAGAATATATTTGAAAGAGGAAAATTGGGAGATAAATAATCGATCCTGAGGTTTTTTTGGGAGCGGGGTTGGAGGGGGGTGTTTTCCCCTCACGGGCTCCTCATTGGCCATAAATTCTCCGTTAGAATACTTAGCGAAGTAAAAGGGGTATATGATGTTCGATCTAATACAAATCGTTCGTAGTATCTTCAACAACTCCACGGCCTCTACCTGATACCCTCAAGCCTAAATATGGAATCTTATGCCATCATCGCAGACGTAATAACAATAGCTGATCTAAGGCTTCGAAGAAAATGCGACATTTTAATAAAGCATTGAAGGTGTTAGCCGTCAGTAAAACTCTGTGGTGTCAACCGTTGCGAGCTCACCATGTGAGGCATTGTCACAGTTTCAGGGCTTTGTTTGTAATTAATATCGTGTAATCATGTCTATACTTATATATCTTTGGCAGTCTGTAGCAACACAATTCCGCGGATTTGTAGAGTTCGAAGCTGGATAATGGGGGTGGAGACGGATGCATGTTTGATATTGAAGATTTATCATCTCCCGATAAAAACACAAATCGTAGATGCAATGCCGTTCAAGGATTGAATACACTTTATGAATTATTGAAATTTTATAGAAAGATCTTAATACTGAATATAAAATTATTGTGTGTAATTACCTATGCGCCACAGGAGCACACCATTCCCAACCCGTGCCTGTGGGATTATTTGCGACTACTTACCCGATTAATTGAGAGATCAGAATACAACGCGGGAGTAATATGCATCCGAGCTGACAATTTTTGTAAGATATGTTGAACTAATTTACTTGAATATGTTCATATCGTAAGGTTAAATGTGTCACAAAACTCTTTGGTGTTCTACCTGCTGCCATTGATCAATTTGATTTGATTTAGTTTTATAATCCTTCTAGGCTGCTAAGGCTCTTGGCCCATACGACTTACTTCCAGCTAGCCCTTTCCCTACAAGAACAAGCCTCCTCGCCTTTGATTCTCAATCCCACGCAAACCAGCCAAAAACAATTGCAAATTATGGAATAGGGGGATCCAAAGCTATACCCATTGTCTAACGAAACGAATGAAGCCCATTTGGCGAACTCATTGTAAGAAGAGACCCTCCGACACAGGAGCCGACTTCATCTGGTCTACTTGGATTTCTTGAATGAGTTCATTCCCAGGGTAATCGTCAATATCCAAGTCGAGAAATCCTGCAGATGCCCATTTCCTAGCCGAGAGGAAAAATGATTTACCATTTATCTTTTGATCGGATAGGATACGCAGCAGGCACTTTCCTGCGTCCTCTGGTTCGGCGAATTGCACTCCAGACTTGGCTACGTGCGCGAAAGCATCTTCTGATAATATCTTGGTTTTGACATACCTAACTTAATTAGTAAAGAAGAGAAACCATAATTGCCAAGGAGTGTTGGTACCAGGGAGAGATCACATTAACCCTGCTACCGTAGTAAAAGGCTGTTCTCCTCAAAGAATGCATGATACCTCGCATAGCCCATTTAGTACTGGGATACACAGGGCCTCTGGGACAGTCCAGGAACGCTGCTCCGGAACCTATCAATACGAGGCATGTATCCTCTTGTTGCGGTGATGGAGTCTCTCCATTTTGTTTAATGAAGTAATGAAGCGCCAGTTTGGTAGTGTATAATGCCCCCTTCAAGTTAACATCAACAGTAGTCAAATCTGGCTTCGTGGGCTCCTGATCTTTACCTGTTCAAATATCATTAGTCTAGAGACTATGGAACATCACAATAACCTACCAGCAAAGGTGAAAATTTCGTCATTAAGACAAATCCCTGCATTGGCGACAACATAGTCCACTTTTCCGGTAAACGACGCCGCTTCAGTAAACAATTTAAGCTGATCCTCCCATTTCGTAACGTCGCATTTCACAAATTTTGCACTTCAAAAGTGTGAGAATCGTCGCCAAATGACAGATGATTAGAGAATCTTACTGTCCGAGTTCTAATGCCAACTTGGAGCCTGTTTCAGTATCCATGTCTCCAATGCATACGTTGACTCTTTTTGATAGTGTTAATACTGGATCTACTATTAGATTTTAGATTACATACCCAGCTGTAGCGAGTGCCCTAACATAAGCCTGACCTATTCCATTTGCACCTATTTGCTTGTTAGAATAATAACCAGTTTGAGCGCATGTCACTTACCACCAGTCACAATTGCTGTCCTTCCCTTTAGGTTGTCTAAATTAATTTTCTTCTCACAGTCAACTGGGGCAGAGCATGTATATTCTCCCATTTTTGATATAGTAGGGGAAATCCTGATTTTGTTTATATTGATATTTCGTGAAGTATTCAAAGACAGAAAAAAAGAGAATAACTGGACAAGAAACTTCGACAGGAACTATAGGGGTCAGTGTAAAATTATATACTCTTCGCTACTGCTTTTCGCGATGACGTCCACAACCACTTGACAACCTTGTAAATGAAAAGAACCTGTAGCTTGCTTATGCACTAGTTTAAACTTACATTAGCGAGGAAATTAGGCTCGGCCGAAACTTGGGAGAGTTGCTTGCCATCCCCGCTCATTCCTTCCCTACAATTTGGTGATTTCCTAAAGAGACTTAGCACCAGCTAGTAGCTTTTTAGTGCCCCTTAGCTTACGGAGGACAGCCGTGGCATTATAGATTATACCAACATATAACGTTCTCTATTATCTATTATGGAGTACGATACTTTTTCCATTTCGTTTTCTAGGGCCATGTAGGAATAAGCAGGGTGGTTCACGGCTGATTAGACTTCAAGCAGGGGTTTGATCAATGATCGCAACGTCGCAATTCCCGTAACTATCTAACTAAGTACAATGATTTTCTTGAGCACAAAGCTCTACGCATAAAGAAGATCCCATTCCTGTACATAAACCTTCATATTAATAAATACAGAACAATCTTAGACTAAATCAATTTTATAAAAGAAATTAGCCCCACAATAGATCTACAACTGATTCCCAAGCCCCTCATTTCCTCATAGAAAACATATGGGAACAACGATTGGGGATTCTTCGGGTGATTTGTATCAAGCTTCAGGAAAGCGAATCATGACCTTGGTCTCCAAATGCTCGTCGAAGCGACGGAAGTATTCTGGAGCCTGTTCAATGTTGATTTCTGAGCTAACAATGAAGCTTGGTCGCGCGCGACCACTCGAAATTAGCTCAATGAGATTAGGAGCAACCGCTTCAATATCAACAGGTCCACTTCGCATACTCAATCCCTTGCTGAAGAAGTCGGACATAGGAAAGTCGATGGTGTGTGACAAAGTGTCCGCGAGAGGGGTTCCAGTTGAAGTGTTCGACGCGCCGAATATGCCAATCTGCCCAATGCCTCCCTGTTGGCCGGTTACAGCGATCATATTCATGATGACTTCGTTTTCGCGTGGATTGCCTTGTTGGTCGACTGCCTCAAATCCGATACAGTCAAGACTTCTTCTTACGCCCTGCGGCTCGTAACGGAGAATTTGTTCCACGGGGTCGGAGTTGTTGAAATTGATAGGAATCGCCCCGATGGATTCAGCAATCTTAAGTCGCTCAGGTACATGATCCACAGAGTATACTCGCGATGCACCGCGGAGAATGGCTGTGTAAGCAGCAAGAAGTCCAACAGGCCCGGCGCCGAAGACTGCCACAGTGTCTCCCGGTTGAAACCCAGAATAGTCGATAGCTCCCCAAGCGGTTCCCCAGATATCTCCTACGAGGAGATAATCGTTGTCTAGATTCGTACCATTACTTGGTGGAATTGCCATAAGGTTACCGTCTGCCCAAGGAACTCGAGCGTACTCAGCTGTGATTTTACATCAGTAAACCAGGAAAATCTTACAAACTGGAGATGATTGCATGCTTACCTTGAAGACCGTCTGACATGCCATAATCCGAACCTAGGCCATATGCTAGATGGGATTGACCACCAATGTGACCATCTTGAACACCATCTGGTATGATTACTCTGTCACCGACTGAAAAACCCGTCACCGCACTGCCTATTTCAGAAATCACTCCAATAGCTTCGTGGCCGATTGTATAAGGAACATTGCTGCTGCCGTACACTCCATGGTACACGTGAAGGTCAGTACCGCAGATCGCTGCGGTAGTGATTCGGACGAGTGCATCAGTTGGGCTTTGAACAGTTGGCATAGGTAAGTTCGTAACATTCATCTGGAAAGGCACACCTGCCCAGATGACAGCACGCATTGTGGCATTGATAGACATGGTGGAAGGGTAATGGTTGTGATAGAGAAGAGTGAATGAGTGATGATGAAATGAGAGTGCCAGATCACCCAATCTCTTTATACTCGCGAGAAGACATGTTTGTATAGACACAGGTCTATTATTCTCGAGTGTGATATCCTCATTGACAGAGCCTCATTGTCGGCCTAACCCGGCGATATCAAAAGCGAAAGGTAGTGACATATCAAGACGCCCTGTGTGACCCAAGTTAATTCCCCTAGTTCGAAGAAGGCCAAACAGATGTGAATTCTCCACCTTAACTTTACAAATTAGTTATTAATCTTTCTAGTCCAGAACACCAATCGGCCGAATTATCACTGTTAGCGTCAGGTATTCTGGAAGCCAAATTTCAACTGACCTACCGAGGACAAATGCCGATGCATTGTAGGCCATAGCGGTCTGTAATTGTGAATCTGGTAGCGATGCTCGTTGCGTTGCTTCATAGGGAGAGGGGAAGCTTCGTTTCCTAGCCCCCTGCGGGATAAGCAAGCTGCATATCGCTTAACCTTAAATAGTTCAAGGTTTCTATTGGAAGGATGTGCTCAGCCTTGGCAACGGGTTGGCACAATGCATGTTCCCTGGCATTGCAGGATAAGCAAGCTGCATATCGCTTAAGTAGCGTTGAAGAATGATTGGTACGTACCATGTAGCACATCCGCAATATCAGAACAATTATAGGAATAAGGCTGGTAACTAAACCAAAGTCCAAAAAGTGTTTTGCATTTTCCGTTTGAACTGCCGAAGACGAAGGCTACCTAGAGCCTTCGAACGCCATCTATATCATCGTCGATTTCACCCCTGCTTCAGCCTCGAACAACTATCCTGCGGTAAACTATCCCTGAATCAAACATGATATCGAAATTATTCTGATGCGCTATTTGACTGAATGTTAGATTGTCCACGCCTCTAATTTGTCGGTTATCTAAAAACTAATTCCCCAAGGATAGACCGTGATAGTGCCATTGACCGTCAATTGATAGCAAAGATGATTTGGTGGGGTGGCAATATTATAATTCGCGTCTTCCCTCGACGGCGAACATAACCTCTTTGTGGCAACTTATGATACTTTGCCGATGAGGAAAATGTCAAGAGATACGAAATGCACCAGAACGGCCCGCAGATAAGACGACTGTGGCGCTTGTTCGAATGCCGAGAAGCTAGATACTTGCGTCTTTTATTCGGGAATACCTTTGCCAGGTTTATATTTGCTTGATTGGACTACGATGCGATATCACTCTTCAATCAGAGGGATCCCAACTATTATGATGGCCAATCTTTAAAGAAACTTCGATTCACTGCGCTCCAAAAAACGGTTGTGCATCATCCGTGGATAGGCGTCGCCTCGTTCCGATTCCAACACTGCGAGATATCTCCTAGGCAGAAACGAGTCGTTCGATGACGAAACTCTTTGTTATGACTTCGTAGAGATCTGTTATGCTTCAAGTGAGAAGAGTAGTCTGATAATTTGGGACGATCCATGAAACTCGAAGAGTTGGGAGCTCACTGAATACTTTGCGAGGCAATGTATATGAATATTGAGGAGAATGCTGAGAATTCAGACAGTCGAAAATTACTTGGGACAGGAACGTGAGAGTAGAAACTGTTCTTTGGTACCTCGTTCGCGGAGTTAGAGCCAATCCCCTACACCCCACGTCCCCCGATTTTTATGCTAGATCATCTTACAGTTTTAATGCGTTGGATCAAATGAATTAGTGGATCTTTGTCTACAATTTTAGAGTAGCAACCGTTGATTTTGTCTACAGTTATGGATATGGTTTATACTCCTGCAGTGGCTTTAACGCTTTTCGGACTCCCTTTCTAGGTAAAGTCTTGAATTCCCTGCATTTGTCTTTCCAATGCAATATATAGGTCCAATCGATTATCCTGACATATAGCTAGTGTCATCTGAAGTGTTTTCTACATATCTGTTCAGCTCCCTATTATCTCGTGGAGTTCATGGGTGTTAAATGTTAATGTGTTCTCGGTATGCGCATGATTGGCTTAGCGTTTGCAACTAGAAATTATATGTTTTGAAACCAACACGTTATCAGACTTTTTCGCCATTCATATTTTAATCATTTGAGAGGTTATGCCAGAAAGAAAAAGCCAAAGTAATATGGACTTTCTGAAGCTCGTAGGGTTGCATGGCTGCATTTGTATCCATGACGAGGACAGGAAATGAACGTTTATGACCTAGTGGTTGTTTGTAGCGATGAAAGAATTCGGATCTACCGTTCATTAAGATTGAACCATCTTACTTGAAGGCCGAATAGAGCCATTGGGGGCATAGGGAAAACTCAATAGGACAATCACCACATGTCGCCTCGTAAACTATTCAGGTGGATCGATGTCCTTAGACAAATAGAGTTTATTAACCCCCAGCGGCGGCCACGCAAGCTTGTCTTAAGTACGAAGCCTGGACTTTAAAGGCTTTAGTTCTATCTTCCTGACACTAGTTCAGTTTTTGCGAATGTTTTTATCTTGTGTTGATCCTTCCACTCGGGACTTATTCTAGGTAATTCATAATTGGACAGGGCTGGGCATTTGTACACTACCTAGGATATTTAATCTCTACAGGGTATTTATTTTGTCTGATAAAATATAGTAGAGTGATTATCCTGTAAACCCCAAGGGTACAGTTTTATCCCTGTGTATGTATCATATAATCGTTTTATATAATCATCGCAAGTCTAATTATTCCAAATCATAATAGGAAATCAGAATAATTAGGTGTATATTTCGGATCCACTGATTCCATATTATCTGATTTTAAAATATTTAAATTGATATTCTGAAATGATTATATACCTTTATACAAAATCTAAATCTTATATGGATTTCATGCAACATTCAACAGGGATGTTTGTATCTTCCGAGACTTTGTAGGCTATTTACCCTACCCTGTAGGGGTATAGCGAGATGGACATCCAGTGGATCCCATTCGGGGTATACCTTACCCTTTTTCCAACGCTGGAATTGGAAGAGGCTGGTTTGTCAGTAAATCCTCAAAGCAGGAGAGGTGGAATACGCAGCGTTGGACTACAAGGCTATGCGTTGCTACTGGCAGGAGTAAGGTATTACCACAACCGGAATATCACCGACGGAGTGTATGTCAGCATATCATCATGTCTAATACGGCTTGATTTTGACACTTATCACTGAGATTATGGTAGCCAATGTGATACGAAAGTTCATCGAAATATATCTTTCTTTTGGAAAATGTAATTTAGTTCAATTATGTTCTCTATAGTTCAATGTCAATGGATCACAAAGTCAGATAAGCAAGTTTTGTTCTCGAATAGATGCTAAGCACGACGTTGACAGATTTTGCGAGAAACATCACCACCAAACCTCTTAGTGTGCACTCTGCTAGCAGTGTACATGGCCAGGTAATATAGTGCTGTAGCAAATAGGGGCTTATTGCATGGGCCTTCCATGCACCTTGCAAGATTACAGATATGGCAAAATAGACCACACCTTTGTCCGGACCCTATGTAAGTGCCGAACTGCCAAGTCATCGTTGAAGGGTTGCAATAAGGGCCGGCTGATTAGCTAAAAGCATAATCCGAATGGAGCCGCCGCATATGGACAACAGATTAGAATTCTCCAGATATGCGAGTGCGTCAATAAACTCTCGTTTTACAGTACTAGACCACATCTATTTGCTGGGTGGGTGTAACGATACTATACTGGAGGCAGCGGCTGCCTAAGGTTCGTCGGTTGGTAGTTATGGGTTAAGGCTTTATCACTGGTATTCACTTGAAAGTGAATTCGTTACTAGATCAAGTAGAATGTAGGTAAACTATTTGATAACTAAGTTGAGCACGAAGCTCCTAGGGCTCCTTATCACGTGATTTCTGATGGTGCGTGCGCATACGATCTTCAGGTGACCAAGATCACATACTAATTCGATGAAATCTGATCGTGTTTGCACAAGGCCTAAGCTCTCCTAATTAATCAGTTTGCTACCATCGTAACACCATCAAACCTAATGGTGAATCGTGACAGTGGGGTTGTTACACCAAAAGTCAATTACTTCAGTGAATTATTAAAATTTTATTTAATAATAAAATATTGTTCAAAATTAATGAATTAAATATTTTGATTTAAATTAATAATTAAAATTTTGAAATTTATTTTATTTATTTTATTTTATTATATAATCAGAATAGAAAGCTGAAAAAATAAATTTCGTTTGATTTTTGCGGAGAAAATCAAGAAAAATGTGACCAAAAGGGTGTTTATAGACCAGCAATTGTATTTAACTTAGAATCTACAGGTGAAGAGCACCTGTAGATGGGGATAGCTACTCTATACACACACAAATGAATGGCCTAGCTGCAATGGCTAGGCAAAAAGAAGTCATATTTATCCCTCCAATGATCTTACTTTACCGATAACCATTGATACATAGTATTTGTCCGAATCTGATCCTCAGACCACCTAAATCGTATACTAATCCCGAGTAATCGTATCATGTGTGGACATGGTTAATGTACCTGAGGTTTCTTATATAATAAGGGTGGGAGGAAAGCAGGGGTTTCCGTCACACTAATATAAGTGGAGGGGTACTGTAACTCGAGAATGGCATGCCTTTATTGCTAACTAATCTATCATCGTCTTGTAAGATTCCTTAAATTCCCAGGACTTCAACCCATAAAAGAATGACAAAAAATTTCATAACGCACTAGCGAAATTATGATTCCAGCAATATAATACCGGTATCGACCACTAGTCTCCCTAGAGTCCCGGCGGATCAAGTCACCGAGTTTTGAACTTTCAAATATTAGTGAGTAAGAGAGATGGTGCATTAAGCCCTGCCATTAGAGGTATTTAGCTTGTCAAGAAACTAATTATCGCTCGATAATCTTTCCTAATATGATTTTAGTGTAGTTTTTGAATGGTCAGAATAGCTTTGTTTGAACCTAGTGGAGATTTTTGATTCTATTCACACTTATGCTAAAAAACTTTTAGAAGCGGATGTAAGAAATGGAATTTTTTAGTTAACTAGTGTATTTTTATGAAAAGGAAGTTAGCTATTTTCAAAAAAGAGAAAGTGTATGATTATCCTAGTTATTTCTATAAAGACAAACCCTTTTTCCCATATTAAAAATAACTAGCCCAACTGACAAGCTGAATGCCTCTATTTTGATAGCCATTGTTTTCATGAGATTGTCTTGTCAGCTGCTGTGGCTTTAGTCAGCACCGATGAATGAGAATCCACGTTTCTCGCTTTCGAGTTCTCCTCTTCTTGTTTCCACTTGGAAGGTTTTATAGATATAAGGCTTTTGTCAAGTATCATTGTTGATATTCTCAGGAGAAAAGAAATTGACATTGAACAGATGACATTTCTATTAATAGCAAACATTCATTATCTTTTCTTGCTCCATAATAGTGTGCTGACTTTGGCAGATGAGATTAATAACAATCTTCTTCCTGCAATCCCTACCCATAGGTCACCATGACTCCAGAAGTTCTGCCATCCGCCTGCCCTGGAGTTCTGGCCACCAGTTTTTTCTTCCAAATAATACGTAAACGCGCCGTGATAAAAGAATGTTAAGATCTCACTTTACCTGGTGCACCATCGTTGATATCCATCCAGTTCTTCTATCTGTGGTCCAAATTGGTGTGGGCATCTTAAGGTAAGTATACTTCGGCTAGTGATAGCTGTATCTAATCCATTTGAGTCGTGCTCGCTCAACCTGATACCAAGCATGTTATATATTTCAACCCAGACAGTACCGCGCTCCAACACAAACTCCCAATAAGTGCAAAGAGCTCGAACTACGATCCCAATAGCAGAAGAGTCCAAACATTCATGTACCATCAACTTCAATCTACAATTTCTGGCATCGTTACTCGCAAGAAAGCACTTTTTTCATTGAAATTTCCCATTATAGGTGAGGAATTTATATGCCCCTTCATATCGCACTCGCTACTTTCACATATCTCTTCAAAAGCCCTAGATACTTTCAAACTTCCTGAAGATTTATGATGAAGCACGACATACTTGAATGGAATCTCACTCACTCAATGGTTTATTTCCTTGGCAACAATTGCTTCTTCTCTTTTCTCGCTACATGCTGGGTAGCAACAAATTCCTCATATCTCGGTGTGGAAGGTTCTTCACTCTCGCTTTCTATGCTTTTCCATCTGTATATATTGAGACTCATAAATAATGACATTGAACGAGTGAGTATCTTCAAACGTAACTCCATCCATATCATTTTCGCATCCCACAGATATCTTATATTACGCGGCAAGCGTAACAACAGCAGCAGAACCATATCAATAAGAGTATAACAGGAATATTAACCATCCCAGCACCGCACCTAGCGTCGAAGTAGTCTTATTACCAGAATTGACTAAAAGCTAGAACGGATATGAATTTGGTTGTTGTCAAAAGATCTCACTATGGGTTGAATATACTAATGTATAGTGTAATTTGGTTGTATACATCATGCTAGTCGTGAAAGTGGAAGTAGCATAGCTCAAATAGCTCAAGTGCAAGTATCTGATATGACTAATTGATTGAGAATATAATCATCATGGACTTTGCATCATGAGATCGCTGTGAACTTTACATAGGGCTGGCTGGCTGGCGATTATAGCTCCGGGTGTTGTGATATTAGGATTGATTAGTCTGTGAAGGTTATGAGTGCGTTGTAGCGAACCGAACTTAAGAGAGAGTAAGCCGTTGATACTTAGTATTAACATTATGGGTTACTTCAGGGACCAAACACAACGATCAAACGCTAGTGGTAAGATGACGGGTTTCTAGCGACGGAAACTAAGCTTAGGTTTTCATCATTGGTTTTCGGGTTGAAGAAGAGGCGGGTGTGTTTGAGAGAATGTACTTTGTTTGGTAAAGTGCATCATTTTGCTAATGAGATGTTCATCTACAGAGTATTGTTGACTCTGTAGGACGATATCTCAAGGCCAACAAGTTGGGTGCAGCGATTTAGCTTTAAGCGGAGGGTTGATTATTGAAAGTATATGATGTCGTCAACACCAACAACCGAGTGATATTTTTGAAGATATTGATATTCTCAGCATTCTCATGATTACTTAATCCATTCTTATTCCATACATAACAAGCACTTGATTCCGAGCAGTAGATATAACAAGTCATGGACTTATGTTGACCTACATTCGATACCTAGGTACTTCTTGCTTACCATCCTCTGTTCTCTCCTGGCAAAAGAATCATCCACTAGAAAAAGACTTTGAGGGACCGTACATCGGACCCGGATATCGCAAATATCCCGCACCCCATCCAAACGCATCAACGGCGCAATGATAGACCTACTAAAGTAGACCCGGGAAATCAGCACCAAGCTCCGAAACAAGATAAGACTTCAAAAGTATCTGAGAGTTCAAGACCACCAATCAAAGTTATTAATCTAACGCCCTGCGAGACCTCCCTTTTGTAACATGCATCAAAGAACCAAAACTCCCGCAAAAGATTGATTGTTTGTAAGCAATGAAGTTGTCATATCACGTGAAATGTCGTGCTTTTTGTTAACGATGACACAAGTGAAATAATGGGCAGGGGTTAACGAAGCTAGCCCGATTACCGAGCCGATGATTTGAGGATCGAGTTGTTGATATCGAGAGAATTGATCTCAGACAAATTTAGGATCGAAGGCTTGGATTAAGTAAGGAACTATGAGATGGAATTTGGAAACAAGTTATACTAAAAACCTAAAATCATTTCGATATTAAAATGGGAAAATAATCGTAAAAATTTGCCACCTTAAAATCACAATCCGCCAAAAACTTTAAAATCAACATATCTAGAAATAAACACACCAAAAAAGGACCCAAGATTCAGGAACCCAAGAGAAACAAAAGAGCATTCTCTTGCATTGTAAAGTGGCTCAGCGCTCAGTAAAACAGAACAAGCAAAAAAAAAAAAAAACCGATTAGAATCGAATCCTTACTAGCGTCTATCACGCCATATCAAATTCTCAATACAAGGCAAATAAGGCAAACACTTCCCTCCCAAATTCTCCATGACAGCACTCACTTCTGCACCTACTTTTGCCCACGGAGTTATGGCACGGTAATGCGATGATGAAGGAGTCCGTCTTTGTAATAATGAATGTCGTGCTTTTGTCTGATGGTCCACTTTTCTGTTGTAATTGCTGAGGAAAGAGATATACCAGTAGAGTATATACTAGGTACTCAAACCTCTCTTCACTTCCACTTCCACTTCAACTTCTTATTGCATTGTGTGATCCAAAGTCTCTTCTTTATAATATACGCAACCTATTATCATCCCAAATCACATCTCTTTATCATATTTTCTTGCAGCTTGTGAAATTCAATACGATCACATCATTCAGGAGAGAATTGTGCCATTTCTTATTGCCTTTTTGACACCACCTTCCTCTTTGAATCTTCATCTTCGTCAATTTTATACTTCAACCCTCGTCTTCCGAAGTAAGACATAAAAGTTTTAAGAGTTTGTTTACTTGCTTCCGACTTGTTTTCAACAAATAAAAAGATTTTTTTCTCGTTCAATCAAAAAAAACACAACCAAAATGGGAGTTCACCGCGAATCATCTGCCTCGAATCTCGAGTCTGGATATGCTTCTGGAGCATCATCTCAAAGCTCCCTTCCTCAGATCCTCCTCACAAAGCCTCACCTCAAGTTCATCAATTCAACACTAAACAATCTTCAACCTTTGGAAATTCTCCGATGGGCTAAAATGACCTTCCCAAACCTCTATCAAACTACTGCTTTTGGAGTAACAGGTCTTGTTACCCTTGATATGTTGAGCAAGATACAAAAGGAGACACCCGAACTACCGAGCATCGACGCTATCTTCCTTGATACCTTGTATCACTTCAACGAAACACTCGAACTGGTTGAGAAGACCAAAAAGAGATATCCAAATGTCAACTTGCATGTCTATAAGCCAGAAGGATGCCAAACCGTTGAAGAATTTGAGGGAAAGCATGGAAAGGAATTATGGAAGACCAATGCTGATCTGTACGATTGGGTGGCCAAAGTTGAACCCGCCCAACGGGCGTACAATGAGTTGGATGTTGCTGCAGTATTGACTGGCAGAAGGAGAAGTCAAGGTGCTAAGAGGGAGAGCTTGGACATCGTCGAAGTGGATGAGGCTGGTTTAATTAAGATCAACCCCTTGGCAGGATGGAGTTTCAAGGAGGTGCAAAATTATATCAAGGAGAACAACGTTCCATACAACGACTTGTTGGATCGCGGATACAAGAGTGTTGGAGATTGGCATTCAACCGAGCCAGTAAAGGAGGGCGAGGATGAACGTGCTGGAAGATGGAAGGGCACTGAAAAGACCGAATGCGGGATTCACAACAAACGATCAAAGTATGCGCAGTACCTGTACGAAATGGAACAAAAGAAACAACAAGAGGAATTGGCCGCAGCACTAGAGAAGGTTCAGGTTGGCGAAGAGAGGATTGAGGATATTGTCGTCGGAGCTTAAAATCAACAGCACTTGCTGTTTTGCTTGACACATTTCTTTTTGATGACCTTCTCAGTTCCAGCACAATGTGCCTTTCATGATTGGAGTTCTGGGGTATAATAGTGGGGTAAACACATGGGTTACGAGCATTGGAGTTGCGGGCGTTGCAATAAAGGGAAACAGATGATACCTTAGCATGGTTCCTAGATTGTTTAGATGCCTTTTGGAGGCTCCATCTCTTGATGCTCATCATTAGAGGTTCCAGTCTCGCTATTGTTTATAGCAAAAATGATTTAATGAAAGTTACATTAATGCAATTTGGAGTCTTTGATATCGCGTCGATGTGTCTTGAAGTGAGAGATTGAAGTTGCCGATGACATATCGCCAGCCATATCTAATATTAGTGTGGCACAAAGACCCTGAGTATTGTAACTGTCATCCCGGTCGAATGACACTAGGTAATCATTATCGGATCAGACTAAATTCAAGGTTATCGTGTTGTATTCCGACTAGATTTAGACATCAGCCCGAGATGTATTTGTAGACAACTTCCCGAGAGGTCGTATATAACAGCTGACAAGACTTTTGGCCACAGAGTGGGACGAACCTATGTCTCTATACCCTCCAAATCATATATCTCACATATTGCACACATGTAGAGGTTTATGAAGCGACATCACTCTCTGTGCCGTGAGCAAGCGGTGAAGGGAATATGTGGAGGGGCTGAATGAATATCAACCCCTATAGAACGAAAACGGAGCTGGATGATATCGAGATTGTCTGGTAGCGTAGGTGACTTTAGGCCTCCGAATGGAAAAATAATGAAGCTTGTCATAGGCTGAAGTACTCGGTAGAAGCTTGGGGTCAGTGTTGGGCATTCTCGAAACATTATGGAACTTTGAAAATTTACTTTGCCGAATTAGGTTTGGGCGACCGCGGGGAATGTTCTGGCCGCTTAAGTGGGGTCTTTAATGCCAAGGCTCAAATGACGACACCCTTCTCTCAAACTCAGAAAGGCACCTAGGTAGACTACTGGAATTCCAGAAAACATGGAAAAGAAAACATGGCATTTGATCTAATTAGTACCTACGTAGGTACCTGACTGATCTTCATTGTCAACAATGCTGTCATCCTTTTTACAACCTCACCTCTCACCTCATGTACAATCATAATCTTACTACAACTTAACAATCCTGTGTTAATTACATCAAAATCACCATCACTACGCCTTCAAACCTGAGAATACCGCCAAAATGTCAAGCTCAATGGAGAAAGCAAGCGTCAAAGCCAAAGAGGTTGCGTAGGTTTATTTCAAAGCATCTTCTCCTTTTTGCATAACACTAATAGGTGTCAAACGATAGAAAGGAAGATTTCGATAAAGCAAGGGAGTTGGCACGCTCAGCAGCAGTTAGTGGAGCTTACCTCTACCCCATTAAGGTATGTTAGAGTTCCAAACAGGCCCTTCATTCTTCTATCGCATTTGAAGCTGACGGAGCACTCAAACAGGGAATCTTCTACTTCATCTCGCATCGCACATTATGGAAACCGCTCTTGTCAAAACTCGTACCAACGCTTTCCCTATCCGTCGTCGTCGTGGTTTTGATGTTTATGTTTACCTACCTACCACAACTTGCCATTCTAATCTTTACCGATGGACCGCTCGCCGCCGTCTCCGCCGTCCTGCTGACTCTTTCTGAGTCCAACACAATTGTCACCATGCTCTCCAAGAATTTCATCATTGCTGATGCTCTCGTTGATACATTTGACGGGGTGATGGTGGCGAAAGGTCAAACACAAGTTGTGCAAGGTGGACGAGAGATCAAATCCGGGAAATTTGGTGATCCAATGAGAAAGTTGGGCAAAATTGTGAAAGGATATGGTCAAAAGTATAGTTTTGAGGGCCTGGTAAGATATCTGATGTATCTGCCATTGAATCTTATTCCGGTTGTTGGTACGGCAGTTTTTATAGGTCTGCAAGGACGACAGAAGGGTGAAGGGGTTCATTCAAGAGTATGTTTTGATGTCTGTTCAAGCGAGGAATTACAGGCTGACGAAATACTCAGTATTTTCAATTAAAGGGGTGGTCTAGTGCCCAAAAAGAAGCATGGTTAAAGGAACATACTGCGGCATATACATCGTGAGTTTGCCTTGCCACTTCATCTCTCTTCCTATTCTTCCTATTCTTTCAAAGTACCCCTCATATCTCCCTGGAGATCAAACGCACAGCTTTTGGATCTGCAATGCATTTGTTTGTATCCCGGCAAGTGCAGTGCTCCTATCATTTTTTTACCCTACTTCATGCACGCATCTTCTGTAAATGCGCCTTTGACAGGTATCACAAATAAGAAGATCATCGATTTTCTTCTATAATCGGTCAAAACAGAATCAGCTTTGCTAACTTTGAAGTAGATTCGGAACTGTCGCAACTATTCTTGAACTTGTACCTATTGCATCTATTCTATTCTCATTCACAAACACAGGTCATTGCCCTTGCTCTCAGCTCTAATATCAAACTATACTAACTATCTCTCAGTTGGTGCAGCGCTGTGGGCTGCCGATATCGAAGGTAATGATACGAATATGACTCAGATCTCTTCGCCCCGGGCTCCAAAGGAAACTCAGAAAGCCGAGTAAAGCCTTTTCTGCAGCCTCCCGAAATTGGCTATAACAGTGCAACTTTGAGCCGATCTTAATGTTACTTTGTGACTTCGCTTGGAAGATCCCCTGTAGCACAACAGTTAATCTGTGCATCGACCCTTGCAGTTTCCGGTTGTCGGTAACCATTTTTTTTTGTTTTTCTGTCGATCTTTGACGGTGAATATGGCGTTGGTAACCTTGGTATATCGGTAGCGATGTGAAAATACATGGAAATAAGGGGCCTGGCTTGGCAAAAAAACAAATGGCATTAATGACTTGCGTTGTTCGTTTCAAGAATCCAAATAAAACGGGTGATTCCATTGCATTATCTGCTGCAACTAGTGCCACATGAAGCCATATGAATACATTAAAGCTATCTACATCTAGAAGCATTTGTGAGTTCATTATTCCGTTAGGCCATCCTCTAGATTAAAGTGAAAATTAGATATAGTATAGCATTTCGGGAATTTCAAGATTCTCGTCTATTGTGTCGACATCACGGGACCTTTTCACCAAATCCGAGTCACGACTATGGGGTTTCTGGTAAATTGCATTGCATCCGCGGTCAACTGTACATTTTTTTTATGGCGGAGCTTTTGATGCCAGAGATACATATGCAACAAGCCTGGCTGTAAGTAATACGAGTTTTCTTTTGGAATCGGGTCCCAGAATTTATGTCAAGTCGACTTCTTTGAGTATACACAGCTGGGAGTTCACATTGATGATATGGAATTGGAGCGAGAGGCATATTCTCATATGCAGGAACGAGCACCAAGTCACGGATAGGTGCATCCTCGCTCGTTGCGTTGTCCAACGTAATGGACGGGAATGCAGGCAGCCAACCGTTGTGTAACTACAAATCAAAGGGCATGTCACTAGTCGTTTGAATTTGAGAGACAATTTTATATTGCAATCTATGAGAGTTGAAAGAGTCTCCATTCAGAGTATTTGCTTACTTCGGAGTTGCCATATGGTATGGTCACAACATTGATGAAACATAAGGGAGGGGGTGGTAGATGGATAAGGAGTCGGGGTTTAAAAATTGCAATGGTCAAGCTGAGATTTTACTGGTGTTTTCCATGATGATCATGATGATGGAATAATACATGGCAATCAAATGATGAGCGTCCATGCAGACTTCCTCTTTCGTGGAATCAATCGTTGGTAACCAGTGGGAAAATTAATGTGAAATAGCTCAAGTGGTATAGAAATATGGATGTCACCTTTAGAAGGCCTTTAAAAAGGAAAGATATGACGTCTTCATTGGAGAAGATTATCAAAAATGATGGATGCTTGCTGCCTTTTCTCGCTTTCCTGCCTACCTCCTCCCCGACTTAATTGCCCTCGTACCTTGACTCCTTCTTTTCCGAGAGACGGGAAGTGGATCGAGTCGAATCGGAATCAAAGGGTGGCCGAAGATAGCTACTGGCTAGGTAGGTATCTATTGGGTACGTACTAGGGACTCACTAGGTTTTTTAATCATTGTATTGTATTGTACTGCATTCAAATTCAAATTTGATACTTCTCTACTGGGTAAGATCATAATGGGTTAGGTACCTTGATCGATAAGGTATTTTCATCTTTCACCTTTGCCCTAGCGCGCTTTTCCTCTTTTGTTTCCTTTTCCCCTTCTCCTCAATCTTCTCATATATTTCAATCTTTCACTTCCCATGCCACAATTTATTTTTGTCTCATCTCACCACATCTTCTCCCCTCTCATCTCTTTTCTTTCCATCTCATCTTCCTCCAGATTCAGCTGTTTCGAATTGATCTTCCCGTCTTCTGGACTTCGAATCTTCTGAGAGAGAGACATCCTATAATAAGGTTCAATCTGTCCTCCGAATCAATAATCTCCGTTGGTTATCCGCTTTTGCGAAATCACACTCGTTTGTCCTCGTCATCAAAAGTCAAGTGATAGATTTATCTCAGGTATGCATTATATTTTGAACCTTCTTTCTACGTATAGAAGGCTTCCTATTCCCGTAGAATCAATTGATTCTTCTTAGATAGTCACTGACAAAACCACTTCATTTAGATCAAGATGAAATTCAATACTACCGCTAGATTTGCGTCCAGCGTGTTCCTTCTCGCGTTGGTTCCTGCAGCTCGAGCTTTGCCACAATGGCTTCAACCACAACTTCGTAATGCCAATGCAGATGCATTTGCTCCTCGAGATTATACAATCTATGAGAGAGCGGACGGTATTCAAGATCGCTATACACCATATGGATATGGACCTCAGCCTACCTACACAACAAAACCTGTCACAAGCGCTGACCCTGAAGAGAGTTCATCGTCAAGTACTCAAATTGGTCAGCATTTAATCTTCTTACCTCGATCTTAAGTTCACCTACTAATTGAATTAGGGTCTGCTTCTGCCTCTGCCTCTGGCTCTTCTGTCAGTGGTGTCAGTGGTGTCAGTGGTGTCAGTGGTGTCAGTGGTGTCAGTGGTATACTTTACACCGGCACTTTTCCCGTTAGTTTCTCCACTGGTCCAGCATCTGTTGAACCTTCGACTGTTACTTCTTCCACTGCTGCATACTCTACAATCACGGTTTCGGTTTCTGCTACAGAAGCTTCTCCTTCCGCTTCTCCTTCGGCTTCTTCCTCGGCTTCTGCCTCGAGCTATGATCCAGGAACTTCTGCAGGAGCAGAGACTACATCTTCGGAATCGGATGGTATTTCAGCAACAACACCAGGAGCAACAGACGCAACTTCCTCGGAGTATAATGGCAGTTCACCAACAACACCTGCAAGCACATATGACCCATCTGTTACCACTTCACCGGAATACTCTTCTTCAAGCCCGAGTACCACCACTTCCGCTCACTGCAATCACAACAATTGCCTTCGGGAATTCATTCGATCTTCTTCCATTGTTGGTCCATTTTGTGCTACATATACTTTGACTGAGAATACTGCCACGACAGATCTCCCTACATATGTTTCACAATGTCATGATTCGCCTTCGAGGATCTCATCTGCATGTTCTTGTTTAAACACTGGTGCCACCACTACTCCAGGAAATGTTGGTAGTAGCACGCCTTCAGCACCAAGTGGAACAGAAAGCACCTCTCCAGCAGGTGGAGCGCCAACTTCTTCAGTGGTTCCCAGTTCTTCATATTCGTCACCTACCGGCTCCGAATCTTCTGCTAGCCAAAGCTCCTCTGTTACTAGTTCTCAAAGTTTGGGCTCTACTGTAACAGATACTCAGACCTACACGATCACTCCTACCATCACAGTACCATCTGTAAGCCAGACTACAACACCGTCAGGAGAAGAAACAACAACTCCACAAGGGGGCGAGACGACAGCTCCTTCCTCTGGGGGCGAGACAACGACAACTCCGCAAGGAAGTGATACGACAACAACTTCGCAAAGAGGTGAGACCACAACCACTCCAGCAGTTAGTGAGTCAACAGCTACTCCAACAGGGGGAGAAACGATAACAACTCCGCAAGGAGGTGAGACGACCCCTTACCAATCAGGGAGTGAGACCACAACCGCACCTTATAGCGGTACCACCATCACAAGTGGAGAAATTACCTCAAGTGAAAGCTCAAGCAATCCTAGCTATTCTTCAGGAGCATCAAGTACTGCGTCTCTCAGTCCTACCGTTCCACCTTTTACACTTGGAAATTCATCCATCCCTGTTGGCCCAACTGGTACATCTCCTTCATCTTATATTTCTGCTAGTTCATCATCTGCAGGTCAATACACAAATACTTCGGCCTCGGCAACCGGTCCTGTCACTTCTGGATTCTCGTCTACTATATCTGGTGGCATCTCATTATCGACACCAGGAAGCTCGAGTGGTGGTAGTGCACCCTATACAATTTCGACATCGGGAGCGGCTCCGACAACTTCGGTCTCTCCTTTAGGGACTGCACCACTAACTTATCCATATCAAACAGGCACAGGAATTTCACCAAGTGGGAGTAGCTCGGGCGGCGTTTCCAGTTCTACTTCTGCACCTTTATACACAAATTCGACCACTTTAGCTAGTTCAACCTACCTTGGTACTGCACCTTTGTCTTCCGGCTCATCGGGAAGTAGTATTTTGTCGACAGGAACTCCATCATATACTTCCATATACCCGCTGAACTCGACAACCGTTTCAAGTGGTGTAATCGGCTCCACAGGGTCAAGTGTACCTGGTGGCATTAGTTCTAGCTCATCTGCCAGCGCCCCTTATCCAACAGGTAATAATGCTTCAACGACTACTGGTCCAACTGGCACAGGTTCCACACCAACATCCTCCTTCCTAGGAACTGGTACATCGGGATCTTCTGTCTCGGGTATTATAAGCTCTTCTCCAGGATCCATCCCATACTATCCTTATGGGAATAGTACTCCATGTACAAATGGTCCAACAGCTTCAGGAACAGGAAGCCAAAGTTCAGTGTCGGGTGGGCTTCAATCAAGTTCCGCTCTTCCAAGCTCCGGTAGCCCTCAATCTTCTAGTGTATCGGGCGGAATTAATTCATCTGTTGGTTCTTCTGCACCCTATCCAATTTATAATGCTACTGCAACAGCAGGCCCTACAGACCCTGGCACATCGATATCTGAAGGTCTTACTTCTGTGACTTCTGCACCACTTAACACTGGCAGCTCATCATCATCGAGTGTCTCAGGTGGCATTAGTTCTTCGCCAGCATCTTCGCAACCTTATCCCTACGGAAATTATACTCTCCCATCGCTTGGAACAGGTACAGGAGGTGCAGCTACATCAACAACTTTCAACTCCGGAAGTTTTCCATCAAGCACTGGAACAGTGCCTTTAGGAACAGGAAGCTCGAACACTGATTCCGGCTCATCAACATCAGTTCCATACCCCACTCCTTCAAATGGAACTTCAACTGCTGGGCCAACTGGGACTTCACCAATTTCAAGCAGTGTTTCCGGCCCATCTTCGTCAGCTCCATACCCAACTTCTGGAAATAGCACTTTGACTAGTGGATCAACCGGACCAACAGGGACCTCACCACTCTCGAGCACTGGCACATTGCCTTTAGGAACAGGAAGTTCAAGTACTGATTCTGGTTCGCCATCATCAATTCCATATCCAACTGCTTCAAATGGAACCTTAAGCAGTGGACCAACTGGACCATCAGGAACTTCACCAATCTCAAGTTCAAATCCATCGTCGGTTGCGGTTAATCCAACAACTATTGGTAACAGTACTTCAGTGACTCCAACCTCATCTGCTAGCACTTATGACCCTAATGGATCTACTTCCAGCCAAATCACTGGAGTAACCTCTTTGTCATCATATTCAGCAACTGGTTCGTTCAACACAAGCAGTGGAGTTTCACCAACTTCATCTTCGCCCTCAGGTAAGTTACAATCCAAAATTAGGATCATTGAAAACTTCGCTAATTTTATTTTGAAGGTGGCTTTGGTACATCGATCACATCAGGAACACCAACTCCATCCACGTTTGTAACATCAGTATCAACTGGAACATATGCTGGCACAAATTCTACCATCCTCTCAACCGCATCAACTTCTGACTCTGGTTCTCCAACGAGTTCATCAGACTCGTCAAGTGCTGCGCCTTCTACAAGTACTTCTACACCAACCTATTCTCCACCGCCAACTTATGCTCCACCACCACCACCATACTATGCACCTCCTCCACCAAATTACTATGGTTGGGGAACATGGGGCAGAAAGCATCAAAACAGAGATGCTGAAAATGTTCATCGTTGATTCTGGTGAGAATCGAGTAAAGCACATCGAGTGTTAAGCTCAAACACAAATTTTCGCTTCTAGACTTGCTTTCTTTTTGACATTTTGATTGTATTCAATGGAAAACCAATGTTTTCTTTTACTATCTTATTTTTCTTTTCTTTCTCACGAACTTTTTCTTTATGTATGGATGGAAGGAATGGAGGAAAGTTTAAAATGACTATCATGTCAATTAATGCATATGAGCTTCATTTACAAACATGGTGCTTTTATGACCTAGCAAAATCAAGCTATGAAAGAAGTCAGTTATTTGAAAAGGTTGTAGGAAATAGTCAAAAATTAAGAAATGCAAATCAAATCAAAAGTTCTTAAGTTTTATGTTTGAGATATGAAATATAGATTATAATGAAGTGAATTGATATCTCATTAGATCTACTCGAGTATTATAGAATCTATTATAGAATCCAAGAGGTGTAAAAGTAAAATAGATTTAATTCAAATGGTGAAAAGTAATAAAATTCACTTAGAGGGATATGAGAGTAATTTGCCAATCTATATAGGTATAATTATACAGAAAAACAAACGGGATTATAGAACCAGAAGTAATATATCTATAATATCTGAATAATAATACACTTGCCTCTGTTGCGCCATTATGCATTATCCTACCTAGTTGTAAGAAATATAATACAATCACCGGCCGTAACGTAACGTAACCCAAACATATCCATAATACACGTAAACGCAATCATCATTATTTCAGGATGTTGATGTCTCTTCTTTCATCTCCTCATCCTTTTCCTTCTCTTCTGTAATTAAATCGGCGCCCGCCTCCTTTGGAAATGCCTGACCTTCTTCTATAGGCTCTGACGGGACCAAGTCTTCTGGTGCTATTGATTCTGGAAGGGCGGCAAAAGACCGTAAGTCACCGTAGAGATTCCTCTCTAGACCGCCTAGTAAATCAGGGAAGTCATCATCATCATCATTCTCGGTTGCGGATTTGATTGGCTCTGAGAGTATGTTCAACTCATTTACCACCTCCGTCCCATTTGATTCATTTACCATTTCCAGTTCCATCGACTCATTTGCCACGCCTGCCTGATCTGACTCGATGAAGTTGGTTGGTGGAGTTTGCTTGGCTGCTTCAGTATGCTCAGTAGGTGATGCAGCGGCTTCGTCGGGTTCAGTGGGTTCAGTAGCTTCAGTTGGTTGAGGTGGTTCAGTAGGCTTAGTAGGTTCGGTAGGTTCGCCAGACTCAGTAGGCTCAGTAGGCGCAGTAGGCTCAGTGGGCGCAGTGAGCTCAGTGGGCGCAGTAGGCTCAGTGGGTTCAAAAACCTCCGATATTGGAGCAAATGGTGAATTCGACGCAATTGGCGGCTCCTCCACCTCGACTGGAGAAGTGGAAGATGTGGAAGCTAATGGCTGCCCTTCTCTGATTGAAGAATCAGTAAAAGCCGTGGCTAAGGTAGGAACGGTAGGTGGTTCTTCGACGGCAGGTATTGAGGAAGGTACTGCAACGTTTTGAGGACTTTTCACTTCAGCTGGCGGTGTATTTGAAGCTTTGGCGGGAACTTGGATTGGATCCGGAACAACAGGAGTTTGACTCTCCGTTTTTATCGGCATTGCTGCACCATTCTGGGCATTTTCTGCACGATCAAGAATGTCAAGAAGCATTTCTTCCTCCTCCTCTTCTTCAGCACGGAGTTCTATGAATGCTTCCTCATGCTCTTTAGTGGGATGTGGTGGAATTTGGGGTAGCTCGATTGGGGCCGTTACTTCTGCTACAGAACGCATTTCTTGATTTATCTTTTCAATAGGAGCTGATGGAATATCAGTGTTCCCTGCGGCAAAGAAATTGGGCTCCTTTACGGTTGTCTCAGTTGGTGATACCATAGGAGTATTGACAGTGGATGTAGTTAAAGCTATTTGCTTCAATGGACTACCGAATTTTCCTTCGTCCTTTACTCTTTCTAGATCTGATTTTGTGGGTCCCTCATTGTCAGTGCCGCCCATCGTGATATCGGTGCCGCTCAATTTTGGAATGTCTTGCATAATCGGCATGTTACGATCTTGAGATGAGTCCCTATGCGGCCTTGATGGCGAATTAAGAACATCAACTGAATCATCATCTTCATCCCCTTGATCGCCGTCATCGCCGTCATCATCATCAGAAGCTGGGTTTGAGTCATCTATCATCTCAGTATCGAGGTTCTTCGCCGGTGTTGTATTTCCTTCACCATCGATTTTTATTCCCTGTGATATTGTCAACGAAACCCCCAAAGACTTTCCAAGAACTAGTCGGTAACTTACATCAGCCCCTAGATTAGAGGTGCTTGCATCACCATTTTGAGCTGATGGTTCGCTTGTTACATTAGGTGTAGAAGTAGGAACTATCTTCTTTCGTCCCCTTCCGGGACCTCGTTTCCCTTTCTTCCCTACTGGACCCTTGCGTCGGAATGGTGTACCCTCTACTACATTTGGATCTGGAATGGTTGTTTGAGAGACAACATCGCCTACGACAGTTTGACCATGAGGTACAATAACCTTCTCCAGATACTCATTGCCTGCAGCATCCGTCCTACGGACTGTAGTTTGTATAACTGTTGGAACTGGAGCTGGCTGAGGTACTGCAGATCCTAATCCCTTCCTTCTTTTGGCCAAAAAGTCCATATCCGACGCCGTCTGATGACCAGGAATCTGCTTCCAGGCACGAGCCGTAAAACCGCTGTCCTTTGTTTCATCCTCTTTTTTGTCTGGCTTGTCTCCTAGAGTGGGCTCGAGATCTTGTTCTTCTTCGTCCATAGGAGTAGGTCGTTTATATATCCTTCCAGATCGAGCGGCGCGTAGCAAATCTTGGCTATGTTGTGGCAGTAGGTGAGAGTCCTTTGGCATTCCCCATGGAAGCTCTGATGCCCAAATATCATTTTGAGTAGCATTGCTCTCCTGCGGGGGTGGAGGTGCTACTGTGACGTATTCGCGACGCCATTGTCTTACTGGAATACCCTCGAGTATATCATGGTCGACATAACCCGTGCGATTCTGCCGCCTTCCACCTGTTCGGTACTGTAGATAAAACATCAGCCTCTAAACAAACCCGTGAAAGTGACACATAATAGCTTCACAGATGAGACGAAAGTATAATGATAAGCCAATAACGCACGAGAATGCAATTCGTAATAACTTACAGCGGGCATATCAACGCCTCGTGAAGGTCTATTGAAATTACCTGAGGAAGAGTCAAGCTTGAATGTTACTATTTTTGACTTGCGAACCGGAGTGTCTATCGTAAGTGAAGATGCTTCAAACGCGGCAGGGCTTGAGCTTAATAGGATACGCTGATTTTTAGGCCTTGAATCTGTTGCACTATCATCCGGTATAATTTTGTGAGACTTTGTATCGTCGTGGCCCTGTTCAGAGTCGTCGTCGGAATGGATGATGCGACGCCAGGCTGTGCGATGCGGAGCTGTGAAAGCCATATTAGCACAAAATTGTGATTGTAATTGAGTGAAAATCGAGTCGCTTCACTGGAATCTACATACCTGCTTGCTACTGCTATCCAATTTTACAAGATAATTAGAAAGTGCGAAAGAAATGAGAAATGTGGGAAGTAACATTCAAAGCACATCGAACAATTGGTGTCTTGATCACGTGATATGAAGCTACAGCTAGAGGCCGGGACGGGGGTTAAATTAAAGACCTAGCAGGTAAGAATTCTTGAATACACACACGAGTTCAATTTATCTATAATTGATGACATATTTGATGATTTTATCTGAACCCAGAGTATGATTTGGCGCAATGAAAGTCTTGCCACTCATTTAGTGAGCCAAAGTTCATAGAGTTGAATAGATACCATATCTGCTTCAAACTCTCCCCCATGATCCTAAAACAAGAACCTTGGTGTGCATTTATGGAACGATTGAGAGCTATGTACCAGCTCAAGCATTGTCTAAGCAGGGTGGTTGGCGGAGAGGTGATATTTCCTGAATTACTTGGTATAAGAATGTCTCGCCGGACAGACACCAAAGTGCAATTGAACTCCGTCTGTAGTGATACATCTGCCCCCAAACGTCTTTAATGCATAACACTTCCTCATGTTCACAATCCACAATCATCCGAGCTACATCAGTCCCATCTATGTAATGTGAGCCACAAATTAGACGCCTACAAGAGGAGAGGCCCTTACCCTGTGTCCTTTTGTCGTACTATGTCATTTTTATTCCCAGATTGCTTTCCCTATGGCGAAAATCAACATCACTTCTCCTCTCACAAAAGCTCCTTGAACACATACCGACTTTCCACCCTCAACCACTAATCGATCGATTTGGAAGAACTGGCTGACAACAGTTTGCCTCTGTTGCGTAGTATGTCAGCAATTGTACCTTCAATTGATGTTCACTTCATCTATCCGCATGCCTCCTGCAAACAGCACCACAATTTCCAGACTCTCAATACCGACACAGGTCTGCCAACCGGGTATCGGCTTCCTTGCCAATATACAACTTAGCGTACCTTCAAGGTTTGTAATTCCTTCAGTCCTTTCTGCATCAATTCCTGGACTTTCCTCTCATCTTGAACATCCTTGTGTTCTCTGAACGAGTCCCTCGTCCTGCGTTTTGCATATTCTCGGAAGTTGTATGCCGCGAATTGGCTGCCTTGTCTCAATAATTGTCGATACTACGGGTCAGAAGTAAGTAATCGTTCTCATGACTTGGCATCGACGGCTTTGTGATAGTTTGAGTGGCGACCATTTGCGTAGCACCATTTGTGATTACTTACCAGCGAACGAGCTTGTTGCGAAGCTTCGCCTTTTAAACCTGATACTACTGACATCTTTGTTGTAGTATATCGTTTGGGAGAAAAGAGAATGAGATTTCAAATCCAAAAGTTTTGTCACTTCAAACTTCCACAAGCATCGAAATAAAGGACGGTAAATACCGAACCCGATTGTCCGTGAACATACGGAGATAACGATAAGATGATAACGATAGATGAGGGGACTATATCGTCATCCACGTGACATTGATCAATCATTCACATCTCTTTCATTCTTTCTTCTTGAATCATACTGCTGCACTTCTCCTGAAGCTGAAGCGAGAGTACCCCAGACCGTATAAATCCGCAAACTTTTTCAGAATCTGCTTGAAATCCCGGTCGAAGTGGCATATGCATATCTAATTTTGTTACATATATAAAGGTCCCAGAAGATCTTTATGAAAAAGCGAGACAACCTTGATGACTTCATACCGGATAACTGGAGAAACGATGCACGTTGAAACATATTTTTATAACAGAATTGACAGGCATGTACCACCTAGTCTAGCCATCCATGGTTGAAGAGCCGCGCGGAAAGAGAAAAATATTTCTTTCTTTTAACCAAGATAGAAAAATCAAAGGTTCCAACAAGCATTAGGTGGTTAACCGGTACCGTGAAACAGCTCTGAAAAGACCTTGGCAATGAGAGGCAATGTCAACCATGATCTGAACGTTACCTACCGTACCCTAGATGTCAGGCAGCAGAATGCTCAAAGATTCAGGATTTTGAGACATGCCCTCCCTTCTAATTGGTAAATAGATATATCTCAATACTTCCTAGGTATCTATTATAATTATAATTAGTATTACGATTCACTATCTCCTTGGAGTTCCTGATCATTCTGACAAATGATTTTCCCTCGTTCGTTGCTCTACCTAAATATATGAGGATAGGTAAGCTATTTTTATATTTTCACCCCCTTATCCTCTCTTTCTCACTTTATTCATGGTTATCAAACACTTTCCCCATATAAACGTCTAAACTAGATTGATAGTTTGATAGCCTTACGTGTCGCTATCATTAACATACGCGTCTTTGTAATGAAGAACTACCGAGCACGTCATTTTCCCTAGGTCACTTTTGTCCCGAATAGGGTTCCATACAAGGCGATATGAGAGGACAGTGAAAGCTTTAGTAAAGAAAAAAAATTATTTAATTCTCTTGGTAGGCACATTATTTTAATAAGAAGATCAGAATTATATCGTCCTTGTTTGTTCTATATCTCTTATTTATACCCACTCTTCTCTAACCTACTTGCTCTCTCGCTTTCTCTCCCGTTTCACTTCTCTCTATACAATATTACAACCGCAGAGGACTTTCTAATATCCTCAATTCTTCCCTCAAATTCCTAGAACAACTTATACTTTGCTTTTTTAAATCGCAGATATGGCAAATTCTCCTCATGGTGGTGTCCTCAAGTAAGAATGCGATTTGACAAAACGAATGACTTTGTTCATTGAGTAGAATGCGAATAAACTAACAATCTCAACAGAGATCTTCTTGCAAGAGATTTACCAAGACACAATGAACTTTCAGCAGAAGCCGAGACTCTTCCCGCTATCGTTCTCACAGAAAGACAGCTATGCGATCTGGAATTGATATTGAGCGGTGGTTTCTCTCCCCTTGAAGGTATGTCGCTTCCGCTTATTTCTTGCTTGCATGGAGGGGCATAAGGACCCCGCGATTTCTGATCACTTTCCAAAACATGGACGCCAACTCTTATAAATTGGCATCAATTGCTAACCTTTAATCTGCTAGGTTTCATGAACGAGAAGGATTACAATGGGTACGAAATTGCGCTTCCGAATATACTATTTCTTGTCTAACGTTTGACAGCGTCGTTGAAAACAACCGATTGGCAGATGGCAACGTCTTCAGTATGCCAATTACTCTTGATGTATCGAAAGAACAAATTGAGCAGTTGGGTATCAAGGAAGGCGTAAGAATTACTATTCGCGATTTCCGTGATGATCGAAACCTTGCTATTATCAACGTCGAGGATGTTTACAAGCCCAACAAGTGTGTTATCCCGGCCTGATTTAGCAAGAAAGATCTAATTATTTACAGGGAGAAGGAAGCCAAGGAGGTTTTCGGTGGTGATGTCGATCACCCAGCAGTCAAATATTTATACAACACTGCAGCTGAATTTTACGTCGGAGGAAAGATTGATGCCATCAATCGTCTAGAACATTACGATTATGTCGCTTTAAGATGTGAGTGACTCAATTCCTCGCAATTTTAGGAAACAACTAATACCATGAAAGATACCCCCGCAGAAATGAGACTTCACTTCGACAAGCTCGGCTGGTCCAAGGTTGTCGCATTCCAAACTAGAAACCCCATGCACAGAGCCCACAGAGAGTTGACTGTCCGTGCTGCGAGAGCCCGTCAGGCCAACGTTCTTATCCATCCAGTTGTCGGCCTTACCAAGCCAGGTGACATTGACCATTTCACACGTGTCCGTGTCTACCAGGCACTTCTTCCTAGATACCCCAATGGAATGGCCGTTCTTGGTCTTCTACCTCTCGCTATGCGTATGGGTGGACCTCGTGAGGCTGTCTGGCACGCTATTATCAGAAAGAACTATGGTGCCACTCACTTCATTGTTGGACGTGATCACGCCGGTCCAGGAAAGAACAGCAAGGGAGAGGAATTCTACGGCCCATACGATGCTCAGTATGCCGTTGAGAAATTCAAGGATGAGCTCGGAATTGAGGTTGTTCCTTTCCAAATGATGACCTACCTCCCAGATAGCGACGAATATAGACCAAAGGACGAGGTCCCACAAGGCACCCGCACTCTCGATATCTCTGGAACCGAACTCCGCTCAAGACTTCGTTCTGGCCGCGAGATCCCGGAATGGTTCTCCTACCCAGAAGTTGTCCGTGTTCTTAGAGAATCTCACCCACCTCGTTCTGCTCAAGGTTTCACTGTATTCCTTACCGGTTACCACAGTTCTGGAAAAGACGCAATCGCACGTGCTTTGCAAACCACCCTCAACCAACAAGGTGGACGTTCTGTCTCACTCCTATTAGGTGAGACTGTTCGCGCCGAGCTTTCTTCCGAACTTGGTTTCAGCCGTGCCGACCGAACCCGCAACATCGGTCGAATTGCATTTGTTGCTTCTGAATTGACCCGCTCTGGTGCCGCCGTTATCGCTGCACCAATCGCACCATACGAAGATGCTCGTAAGCACGCTCGTGAAATGGTTGAGAAGTATGGTGATTTCTACCTCGTTCACGTTGCTACCAGTCTTGAGCACTCTGAGAAGATCGATAAGAAGGGTGTCTACGCCAAGGCTCGCAACGGTGAAATCAAGGGTTTCACTGGTGTTGATGATCCTTATGAGGTTCCTGCTAAGGCTGACTTCACCGTTGATATTGAGAAGACCAGTGTCAGAAACGCTGTTCACTCAATCATCCTGATGTTGGAGAGCGCCGGTTTGTTGGATCGTCTATAGATTGCTTATTCGTACATTGGATTTAACGGCGTGATTGGATCATGCCTTTTGGAATCAACAAAAATTTGAAATGGATAACTTTCGGGGCGTTTTTCACAGGCTTTAGATAGACAGTAAAATATTTAGAGTCGCATGTACATAAATCATATAGCTAGAGGATGGATATGATGAGATCAGTAGAATCTATCTTCGTTGATCATTATTCATTATTGAGATTAAATAGTCTGATTCGCTTCATCTTACAAATTTCAATCTCATATCTCCACACGAAATGATGCCTGATTCCATCTTCTTCTTGTAGATAAATCTCTCATCCAAGCATACCGGGTGCACGATTGATCGAACATGGATCAAATTCCTTAAGCGGTTCTTGTTCGAGCCTTCCAGACGTTCCATGCCAAAATTATGCATTTATTCATCACAAGCTCAGAGATATGAATCCCATCTTTCATGTCACTACAGGCCAACACAAATACAAAGAGAAAAATGAAGTTAATCCCAAAGCTTCATGAGGGGAGAACCAATGCATGCGTGTGATTGTGATTTCACATTTGGGGAAGCAGGAATTAGTATGGCGCAAGGCGCGGACATTTTCGATCGAAACGGTTCTTCCATTTAATATTATAATTGCAATTTCTATCAAGGCAATTTCAATAGACTCTCAGATGTGATTGTGTACACGGAAAACTTACAATAGTGAAGAAAATGTTGAAGGGGGAAATAGTAGGGTATTCAAGGAAACATCAATTTCGATATACAAGACAGGTGATGAAAATAGATGGAAAGCTACAGAAGAATTGCTGGCTCGTATTCCACTCGTGATGAGTCTTCTTCTGTAGTTGGCCGGAAAACTTCTCCATGATTCCCAGTGACTTTCTATGCTACTGTTCCGTTGATATTATGGATGGACGCGTACATAAATGTAAGATGGATGACTGTGGTCCATCTCACAATTCTACTATGTACCGATTTTGACCGGTCAAAGGACGCCCGATTGTAAGCTTACCTGGGTATTTTTAGCCCCTTGCTGCCCTGCCCTTTCCGAAGGATGGAATGAGGGAAAATCCTTTTCAGTTCGTATCTGCAGTCGTCTATTTGCGCGAGAGTTCATTTGCTTCAGATATCTCTTCGCCGACTGTCCTTGTTTAGCATCCTGTCCCTTCGTCTCTCATACTGTTTGTAATCTCTTCTCATCGTTAATTTGATAGAGGTACCGGTACGTACGGATCGTATAGTGAATAAAGGCAGTTTCTGTTCGCTCATCACATCAGCTTGGACTCAATCAATACAAATAATAGAGAAACGTACCTAGTATCATCTCCGCACCGACCGCCACTTGTCAAAAGTATATACTGTGTGGATGCTCCCCAGATTTGATCGTTCGTTGATGCGTCCAAACTCTAGTCAGCACGAAGATGGCACACTTCGCATCAAACCGCCTAACGGAAATCTTGAAATAGCACTTGTAATCGCCGACCTACTCTAAGTAATAAAGAAATCTTCGAGATAGATATCGTGGTCTGAGTAAGAAACTCTCGAGCCGATTGCATTTTACGCCACAAGCGCGGGATACAGAGTTGCAACTTTGATGTTTCGTATCAAATAGACTGAAGACTTCTTAGTAGAGCCAATTGGATATCAACCACCCACGAATTGAACATTCAGCAAGCTATATTTGTGTACTCGAGTACTCAAATACATTTAAAGTGAGATGATATTCATTATCAGATTAATGGATGCGTCGGAAGATTGCCACCTTGGCAGGGGCTGCTTGATAGATAATATATATACTGTGGGTGTAAATATATTGCGGTACGTAATAATGTTTTTAGAAGGCTGATTGATGTAAACAACATCACCGAAGATTCCTTATTTACTTTAAACATTAGTTGCTATGATTAAGGATTGGCGTAAGTCCGTAACTCCGTAAAAGCAAAGTAATAAGTCCTGTTCTGTTGAGTTGTAGATAATAAGCAAATATAAAATATAAAAATTCGTGAAACCCAAGCCAGTAGTGGAGCGTTTGTATGGATTCCCTAGATAAAAGCTAGGTTTGGCATGATGATTAGCGAATTACCTCGGTTACTAACTCGCCTACCGCAATGTACAATAACAGTTACTGTCAGGTGTCAACTTATAGAGTAGAATGTAAGATTACCATACAATCAATTGCAAGCCTTCATCAATTTCGAATGGTTCAACAAGTTCTAGAACTTATTAAGAATCCCAAATAGCTGAAACCTGCACGTCTAGGTAAACTTGTATAGAGAGGGTCTTTTCCCGCGCCCCACGCACTCACTCCACCAAACAAGGTTCTCCTGAATTTTGATTTCCTATCATCGAATCACTCTGAGCAGATCAAATCTCGATTCATGCATGGATGGCCACAGTGTGGTCTATTGGTGGAGATATCCCAGCGTATCTAAACTCTTTTTACTCTAATTCGTCATTGTTCCTGGGGTCATCACTATTATTGAACGCACTGCTTACAATACGCCGCAATTAACATAATAGGGGAATCTAGAAGTTTTAAGATTGAATCTCAAGCAGAAGCTGTAACACTGCTTCTGCAGATTTGTATGAGATGAAGAATGCAAAATCATGGATTCAATCGATCAAGCATTTACTCATGGATATTTCCTGGTAAACAAAAGTACAAACAAATTGCCCGTTTCATCGACAAAGCGAAGAAGCGTGACCTGATTAACGTGCCACTGTGGTCCGTAGGGAGATTTTAAAGTATTTCAAACACGGTGCTAGATTGTGGAGAGAGGCTGGCAGCGAGTAGGAAAGGATGAACTACGGGACCAAATCTAAAAGGGTAAATTTGGCGCTTGATTCCAAGACTAATTGCAAATATATAACTTTAAATTCACCCGGGGGCGCGCCCCTGCAAAAGTAGTCGATCACGTCCTAAAGAAGCTTTACATGGACCTAACAACTTGAGGGCTGCATGGTTTGAGAAAAGAGGTTGTGCATGCTCTCCCCAAGTGAAGATTTTCCTTCTTGTCTTTCTCATACTATACATCTCTTATTTCAATTTCCTATTGTTTCGTTTTGTTTTGATATTTTAGCCCATACTGTTTCCCTTAAGATATATTTATATGTCATTGCAGAGATAGAAAGACCGCACATAGAAGTCTTGGAGCTTTGTGAGAGTCAATCTTTCTCTGTTCATAAACCATCACAATTGTTAGCTCTACGGCACAATCAGGTATTGTCACTACAGCTTTTTTTTATTATGATGGTAGCCAAAGGATATAGACCCCAAATGGTCTGGGCAATGATGGAAACAGATTCGCAGAACTCCGATTACGCGGTCCTCTTGAGTTCAGGAAAACGTCTACTTCAAAAGATCGCATATGGATGTATACCAAGTTTTTTACAACGAAGAACGATACGACCCGGTTCGCCAAAGATGCAAAAGTTACACCATACTTCATATCTCGATGGTCTGCGAGGAGTGGCTTCGTTCATCGTCTTTATGGGACATTATACTGAGGAGAATATTGGATGGTGGACTGAGCCATATGGACTTTATGAAGATGGGGCGCCGTCATCACCTATACAACTTCCGTTCATTCGAGTATTATATTCTGCCAGGCCAATGGTACATATATTCTTCATTATTTCTGGATTCGTCTTGGCCTACAAACCTTTGAAACAAATACATTCTGAACAATATTCGGCACTCGCATCTACGCTATCTTCATCCGTTTTCCGCCGCGCAGTTCGTCTTTTCCTACCTTCCATTATAACACTCTTCATCATGTCTGTAGCCGTCTATTACCGACTCTCCGAAGCTCGATATGGCTCTCCCTTATCATCACTTACGGCTCAAATTGGAAGTTGGTATGAAACTTGCTGGCAACTTTTACAAGCATCGTGGAGATGGGACGACCCTTCTTGGCCCATGCCACGCTACAATCCAGCCCTATGGACCATTCCTGTGGAATTCGCACAATCAATGCTTCTGTTCATTGTTATACTTGGACTTTCTCATGCTCGCATAAATATGCGACTCCTGATTCTCGCGTGTATTATGTCGTTCTGTTTCTGGAGCGCACAATTACACACGGTTGAATTTTTAGGCGGGATGTTCATTGCCGAAGTTACACTCCTTCAATCATACAATTCAACACCATCCAACTCTCCCGAATCATCTCCCATTCTTCCTACCACGGAATTCGACGACAAAAAGGCAGAATCTCCTATCGCTACAGCTTTCGATACCACAGTTCCCAGTACAACTTATAACAGAAATACTTTCATTAAGGCATTTTGGATACTCAACCTCATATGCGGTCTCTATATCTCCTCATGGACAAACAGTCATGTGGATGAAGTTCCTATTCTCTCAATCCTCGACGCACACACTCCGAGACCTTATAAAGGCCAAAGAGTTTGGTTTTGTCTCGCGGCCTTCCAAATAGTACTAGCATGTACTCAACTCCCCAGCTTACAATCTATTTTCAACCTACCGCTTGCTCAATATCTAGGCAATATATCATATGCCCTCTACCTAACCCACAACCTCTGTCTTACGATCCTCGAGCCATTCTTCGCACCGCTGTTTGAACGGACCATAGGAAAAGGTTCCTTCTTCGGTAGACATGGTGTTTGGGCGGCAGGATTACTGATTTATGGACCGTTCATATTGTGGACAGCAGATGTGTTTTGGAGAGGAATCGATGTACCGTCGACGAAATTTGCGAGGTGGCTTGAGAGTAAATGCTTGATTGATAAGGATAGTGAAAGTCCTAGAAGGGGAAATACCCAATTGTAACTTAGTTATGGTTAATGGATTTGATTTGGGATAGCATGTTATTGGCGTTGGATATATTATGGACATTGCATATAATTGCATTCTGGAAGCGGGTTTTGCTTTCTTTTACGAGTCGGATATTTATTTACACTACAACTTTTTGTATCTAGAGATCAGATTAGATTAGATAATGGATGGCTAGAGATATCAACTCTTACTCTGACTTCAGAGTCGAAATCTTACAAAATAATTAGAGCCAGAGAACAATTCAAAGGATTTGATGATGGGACCCTGCACCTGCATAAATATCGAGCAACTCGTACAGGATAAGCAGAAACACGAAACCCCTCAATCTTTCTTATCTACAAGCTTTGAACTCTAGCTTCAAGATAAACTTCAGTTTGTTTTACGTGTCCAAGCTTCAAGATATCAATGGCGTAAGGTAGTACCGTATTTCCCTTTTCTGGGAAAGCTCCATCCATCTCCTTGCTTCTTATTTTCGCCCTTCCTTTCTTACAGTAGTCTTTAATAGCGTTACATTCCACTCCATCCTATCCCATCTTCACAATTCCCCACAAAGAAGTCTTCATCTGCAATTGCAATTGCATTTGCATTACAACCCGAACCTACACCAAGACACAAACCACCATACTAACCTAACTAACCACACCATGAGCACCTCTCAAAAAACCGTTCTAATCACCGGGTACCACTCTCCTCCCTCCCTCTACCATCTTCTCTTTGACTAACCCACCAACCCCGCAGTTGCACAGCAGGCGGAATCGGACATTCGCTCGCTCTCGATTTCCACTCGCGCGGCTACATAGTTCTTGCCAGCGCGCGTTCCGCGTCTAAGATTGAAGATTTGAATGGGTTGGGTATTAGGACATTGAGTCTAGATGTTACGGACGGGAAGAGTATTGAGGGAGCGAAGAGGGAGGTAGAGGACTTGATTGAGAGCGGGGTGATTGCGGGTTTGGATGTTCTAGTTAATAATGCGTGAGTAGGAATAATGTTTTAGGACGGGGTTGAGGAAGAGGAAGAGGATGTGTAATGAGATGTGGTGGGAGATATGGTGCTAATGTATTGGGTTGTAGGGGAAGAAATTGCACGATGCCTGCTTTAGATGTAGATTTGGACGATGCGAGACATTGTTTTGAAACGAATGTTTTTGGTGTCATGGCTATGTGCCAGGTCTTTACACCCCTATTGATCAAACGAAAAGGGCTCATTGTCAATATTGGAAGTTTAGCCGCAGTACGTTCATCTATTACTCCCATCCAATCTCTCACCGTCCCGTTCCTCTCAGACAACAATATCCTAACCCAACCTCTACAGATCCTCCCCTACGTCTTCGGCAGCGTATACAACGCCTCTAAAGCCGCTCTACATGCCTATTCCCGAACTCTCCGCCTCGAACTCGCACCCTTCTCCGTTCGCGTAATGGTCGTCGTAACAGGCGGCGTCCAATCAAACATTGCTCGCACCCCGCGCGCATTGCCCCCCTCATCCCTTTACCTCGAAATCGAAGATGAGTTCCAAACAAGAGTAGTTCATTCTCAGAGTGCAGGCTCGATGCCCAATGCGGAATATGCGAAGGGAATAGTGGATGCGGTTGTGAAAGGAGGTGTGAGGACAATGTGGAGGGGAAATAAGACGTGGATTGTATGGTTTGCGAGGAATTGGTTGGGGAGTTGGTTTTTTGATTTAGTCCTGCCCGGGATGTTTGGGTTGAGGAGATTGGAGAGGTTAGTGAGGGAAAGGAGCGTTGAGGATGGGAAGAAGACGTTGTGATTAGATGAGGTAGGTGATTGAATTGTTGCAAAGTAGTTGTCGTTTGAGTATGAACATTTTGATTGGTGGTGGTTAGGTATTATCGTTGTTATAAGGATGCTCGGATATAGTTTTCCGTAGAATATTTCCCTATACTTCGATAGAACTCAATGGCTAGAAAATCCTTTGATGCGTTCAAGGCGCGCAGTTCAACATGCAGGATTCCCCGGTTAGAGTGTCTTTATATGTAATATTTTTCATTTCCTTTACAGGGGCGTCTTCATTTTGCCGTCTCAACCCACCAACAGACCAGATTTTTCCTATATACCATACCTACCACCTTAGCCAGACCCAAAACTATACATTTGCGACATCTACAGCAAAATTTCCGAGATAGAAAGGCCAGCCTCTCATGTCTATATCCCAATATTCTAACCCTACTCTCCCAACAAAACACTCCTCTCATCCCTCACATTAACCCAAACATACTCTACACACCTCGGATCCGTCTTCCCCTCTCCCAAAGTAACGGCCAGCAAATTCGTCTCAAACCAAGTCGGCCTCATACCAAACCCCTCAAGCCGTTCCCACCATTTCAAAAACCGCTCAAAATCCACATGTTCATCATCCACCAAATGTAACTCAATCATCACCTGACCAACCGGTAATTTACCTTCTTGTTGATGAAAATCCATAAACGAATCCAAAGCCGTGTATTCAGATCCTTCAATGTCGATCTTGAGGATATCAATATAGCTGTGGTTATTCTGCCTCATGAGTGTTTGGAGCGTGTAAAAAGGGGGTGTTTTGGAAGGTATATCTTTGGATCCCAAACCGTACTTGAGAAAGTGAGCTCGAGAGGCATAGGCAGGGGAAAGTTGAGGACCGAATTTCGTGACGGAGAAATCGTAAGCGTGGATTTGAGAGGTGGGGACTCGGGAGAGCATTTCTTCTTCAAAAGTTGATTCGTCGTTGACGCCAAAACTGTAGATGATTATTCCATCTTTGTTTTCTTTTTCTTGCTTCTCTTCTTTCTCGGATTTCTTATTAGAGGCGGATTTGGAAGTAGACGGTGTTTTGTGCTTTTCGTATAAACTCATACCGCAAACCCATTTTCCTCCATCGCCTAATCGTCCCACTCGTTGAATATCATGCGGACATGTCCATGATGCAGGAAAGAAATCCCATATCGTATAAGGTGTGTTTGAGAAATCGGATAGTTTTTGGGCTGGGAAAAGGGGAATCCGTGGGTAAGAGGGATGTTTGATGGCCATTTCATGACGGGAATGTACGGAGGTGCGCCAGGCGGATTCGGAGCGGGTCATTCGTTCAAAGGTTGAAAGGGGTTTGAGAGGGGAACGGCTAGGGTTGTGGAGTTTGGGATCGAGGTGTAAGGAGGGTGAGGGGAGGATGATGTCGGATTGGTGGAAGATTACGAAGAGAAAGAAGGCGAAAGCTAGCCAGAACCAGAGGCCGCAAACTGGGGGTTTGTTAGATGGGCGAGCTTTATATGATGGTTTGAAGCTCGGATTGAATTGGAATCCGATGGATAAGTGGGTGAATGGGTTGAAGAATACATACTTTGCGCAACTCGTAAACCCATGTTGAAGTAAGCTTCGAGTCAGGAGATCAGATATGAATATAAGATGATTAATTTACGAGTATATAGTATATATATCCAAAATATAGTCCGTCCGTCCGTCTGTATATCTATTCAATTCTCTTTCTCCTTGATATAGGAAATAGGAATAGAAATTGAGATACTGAGTAGTAAAGAAGAAATAGAAATGTCAATAAATCACTCGCTACACATCCATCACCACATACTTCTATGCTGCATTCCAGTTGATAAGAAAGATAGTTTTATATGTCTTTCAATAGTCTCCGGAAAAGGATCCGAGGAATGGAGTGGAAAGCTTGTTGGTACTTTGGTTGGTATGTTGTAGCCGCATGCACGCACGCACGCATGCATTGGTCTAGGGAATTGGGAAGAGGAGAAATGGAAATGGAAATGGAAATGGGAAATTTGGCTGCGTGCGTAATAATAGGGTGGATTGAGACGGGAAGGATATAATATAACCACAAAAAGAAGATCTTGAAATCAAAATAGATGGACTCAATCGGTAATATAATTAATTGAATAAAAGTAGAAATCCATATAACATCTTAAAACCAACATCTAAATAAAACCAACCAACAACACCAAGAAAAGTAAAAGGTGACATGGATGCGATTTTATATATTAAGATACATATACTCCACAAATAAGTATCCCAAATCCTCCATAGCCATATATACCTCTGATGAAACTATTCCTTTCAGTTAAATCAGCTAGCTAGCTACCTAGATAGCTATGAAATCTCCATATGAATCTCCATGTATATGAATCCGCATATCCAGCTTCCTTCAGCCTCAAAACCAACAATATATCTATCTGCCTAATGATATTCCTTGACTTCGTAAACAGGCCAAGAAAAAAATCAGGAAAAATCACACACAGAAATAGAGAAGAAAAGGAAAGCAAAGCCCGGATTCCATAATTCTTTAACTTCATCCTCTACGTAAGACATCCATACATACATATATACGTAGCTAATTATCTATCCTACTTATAAGATTTATAAAAATCACCAGAAAAATTACACTTATACTCATAACCAAAATCTATATCTTGGGTATTCTAAATTCTAAATTCTAAATTCCGGCGGATACGACTAGAAGTTTAGGAGTTTAGATTTGATGGAATCTTTATATAAATCTTTAATATCTAGATGGACATAACCCCACAGACCTACTATCTACAGGATATTATAAAAAAATAATAATATATTCATATCTTTAGCGCTTTGTGATCCTTATTCATCCATCCATCCATCCTTCCTAACTGGAAAAATGGGATGTTGATTACCTGGTCATATTGACGAGAATGGACTGATGGATTGCAATTGATTGATCAACAGGTTTATTATCCCTTTCATATCATATCTTATGTGATTAGGTACTCACTCACTCGTAGGTACTCATCATCTGATCTAGTCTCTAGTAATTATAAATGCCTATCCTATCCTATCCTACCTCATTAGCTACCTATGTATCCACCATATTCTCACATCCTACATCCTTCCCCCCATCTCTCCCTTCCCTTTCCCATTTTTCCTCTCACCAGCTCCTACTCCCCCTCCCCCTCCCAAAACCCCATCCAAACGCCCCTAACATCCATCACACACTCATCTCAAACATCCTACCACAACAAGCGCCCAGCTGAGCGGCAATCCACACAAAAAAAAAAGGTAAAACATCCCCTTATACTTCCCAATCTGTACTTTCCGATCTGTGCTCTGTATCCATAACATATATATATAATCTAATCAAAAGAAAGTGGATACTCTTGCGCGACAGGATCTAACTATCTACTACCTGAACCGTTTAGCGCGCGGATAAAATACTAATAACATTACATGCACGGGGTGAATCAATCCAATCATACACACAGTAATTCGAGCTATAGTTTAGAGGTATTCTTATAATATCATTGCTATGCTATGCTATTTTCTACATCCACTAATTTGAACTGTATTACATCATCCAATTCCAATTTCCACACTGTATGCAATTGAATTGGATTTGCGCATTGCAAGCTGGCTATCTGCCTGCCTATAAAACCACAAAATATCCTGATAAACAGAGTAATCATGTCCTTTCCAGATGCAGAATCACTACTCGTTCCATAGCTCGCAACAACCTCCCTCATATGTCGTTATTTTCCATGTTGGTACTATCGCTGTAGGTAGGAGGATATCATTTCATAAACAAATCGTAATCTCATTTCGTCCGTCTCTGTGGGAGCTCCATCTCATAATCTCATCATTTTCATATCATCAATAATATCGCATCCATGTGAAAAAATCAGTTGGTTTCAACCTTCATCTTCATCCTCTTCAACCAATGCCGGTGTTCGTCTTTCATTTCTTCGTTTGGGTCGTCTGTGTCTTGAACTGCTGATGTTACTCGCAGAATCATCTGGTGCCAACTCACTCTGCATTTCATCTTCATCCCACTCAGCTTCACTCATAAATTCGCTGCCCCCCTCGGCCCAACTTGGTCTCTCGTATCCTGGTCCCAAACCTGCTGAGTAAGGACCGGGAGTACCAACGATGATCTCGGGGCGACTTGTTCGTCTAGACTCCGCTGCCATTGTCAATCCGACACCACGTTCACGAAGAGCTTTGCGAACAGCCTCAGCTTTTCGATGTAAACCTTCGAATGCATCTTCAAGAGCCTCCATTCCTACATATATCTCACGCTCAATTTCAGCTAGGACTGCAATTTCCATCTCTTCATCGTTCGAGACTGGGTGTCTGTACTGTTGAGATGGTGTAGGGCCACGAGAACCATAGCTTGCTGACCGAGGTGAAAATGGCGTGTTGTTACGAGACGGGTTTCTCATTACAGGTGATGGTCCTCGGTAGCCATTTGGCGTGGGGCCACGAGAGGGAAAGTCATCGATAAAGTCACCATCAGCTCCGGACCATAGGAATCCATCAAATCGACCAGATATCAAAATTTCCCACTCAGATGGTACAATGCCAGATATAGTTGCGAGAAGATTGTGAATATGAGGGTTCTTTAGCAAGTATATAGCAACTTCTGGATCTCGAGGAGGAAGTGGTAATCGATACAATCTCTGCATAGACTGTACAGTTTTTATCATAAAATCCGAGCGTGGCTTTCGCATGGGAGTTGGTGCTCGTGTAACGGGTTGTAGTGTAGTAGAGCCAGCAAGCAAAGCGTTAAAGAGAGGTCGATCATGATGGTTGAGATGGGTCAGTATAGCAAATGAAAGAGTTTCATCGTCGACCTCTTGAGGAGGTGCAGATGTCGTCTCAGGACAACTTGAGAGCCATTTGTCAACCGAAGCTTTTGTTTTTATCGATTGTCGTAGATAGTGTTCGCGAAATTCGTCCGCAACATCAGGATCAATCTTGATGGGTGATCCAGGCCTGTGATGACCTGATATACCAAGACCAGTTAGATCATCGACCGATTTCGAGCCGAGCGCTGAGAAGTCGAAAGCAGGCCATTCAGGAAGTTCACGTCGACCACTAACCCATTCCAAAACCTCTCCCCATGAGAGACCTCTACTTCCTTCGTGAGAATCAAGATCTAAATCCTGGCACATAACACACAAGCAACCATCAGATGATAGATCTCTAGCAAAAACATTTTCCAACCGATCGAGCAATCTTCTCGCAACGGAGCGATATCCTGTAGCAACGGCAAGTGACCCACTCTTGTTGAGGACTGTCTCGTATTGATCCAGGATGTTGAAGTATGGCCCAAATATCTTCTGTATTTCCGCGGGAGGAGAAGAATGGGACGAGGTGGAGAGTAGAGTCTTGGGAACTGGACGAACGAGTCCACCATTCTGGAGGAGGTAATCAACGCTAGGGATGTTTAATGGTAAATTCGGGGGAGGGGGTGGTGGAGGAGGACGTGGAGAGCCATACACACTAGATTTAACAGAGGATGCATCAAAATGCATATAAGGAGATGGGATAGATTTTGTATCAGCCGTACTAGGGGGGAATTGCGGAGTCTGAGTAGGAGTTTTCGGTGAAGAATCCTGTGCCGACGCTGGGGAGGAATCCGTGTCAATATTTGTAGGCCTGCGTCGAGATGTAGGTTGTGGTTGACGTTTGCCTGCCACCGATGTGATATTGGAGTCGTCATCCTCATCGTACCTCTCGGTCCTTGACGATCTTGAACTTGATGTTCGCATGGGTGGCGTGCCAGCCTTTGTTTGTCTAGATTTGGAAGATACCGTGGACCGGTCTTCTTTTTCCTTCCTGGATGACTTTCGGTGTTCCGAACTTCGGGAACTGGGCCTGGAGGACATTTCCGAACCCTCATCTCGAACCTTGTTCATCCTTGAAGATGTAGATTTCTGTCGGTGTGTAAATTCAGTATCTGGTGGACTCGGTGGCCTGCCTTTTGTGGAAGCTGCTCGTCTTAGGTTTTCTGTAGATTTCGATCTATGCTTCTCAGAGTCGATATCTGTAGCTTCTGGTGTATAAGGTGTAGTCTTCGACTTTGAAGGCCTTTCAGAAACATAACTATTTACTGCCTCCTTACTGTAATTTTTGTTGAAGGTTGGATAGGATGATGCACCTGGCGTAGAGGAAGTCCTCGAGAGCTCAGGCACAACATCCGCCATTGTAGTAGTTGTCACTTCCGACATTCCTTCGCTCTTCTCGTCCTTTATTTTATCCTTCTTCCGACGATGAGATGACTTGACAGACTCTCCCGTTTCGGGATTTAGGGTTCTCGATCTTGATTTGTGCTTTCGATTTGGATCTCTAACACTTTTAGAAGACCTGTGACGCAGCTTCTCGGATGGAATTTGTTCGTCTTCGACCTCAGGACCGTTATCGCGGTCTTTGTGAGGCATTGCTAAGATGACCTTAATTATTGAGACCTATTAGGCGCTTAAAACTTGATTTGTTGGCGGCGCATGTGGAGCAAAGGCGAGAAGGAACGAATTGGGCGAATGAACGGCGGTGAGCACTAAGGCCGCAACGGGTTTTGTGAATGGATGAATCTAAGTTGTTGATAAACGGTTGCTATGACATCAAACCACGCAAGAGTAAGGGTCAAGCAAGTGGAGGGAGTTCAAGTGCAGAAGCAAAAGAGCGTGTAAGGCAGGAGACTTGAGGAGCTATGTCGGAATTGGTGGAGGGGGAAGGGAAGGTGGTGGATCGATACTGGGATCGTTCATACGTTGGCAGATTAGGAAATGATACGTGATGATTGATAAGTGAGGTTCAAGATTCCAATTTTGCCGATGTCGTGGGGAATGTTGCTTTAGGATGGGAAATGGGAATAGAAAGATCGAATTATCGTGAATTGATTGGAAGATTGAAAGACATCGATCGAATTCAGCTTACTTTTTCAATTCACAATCAATCCAAATTGGATAATAAATATGTAGAAAGGAAAATGAATGAGTGAGAGCGTCTGTGTGAAGGTGTATGTGTATGTGTATGTGTGTGTGTGTGTGTGTGTGTGTGTGTGATTGAATGCGTGAATAATAATATCATGCCATGATAATCTGTAGATTCATAAATAATGAATGGTACGGAGTAGATTGAGTGTATTCAGTTAGAATACCTAGAATATAGAGTATTGTGATAAGTCTTTCGTTCGATCAAGTCGCATGATGACTATCCTATCGAGGATGCCTATGTAATCAATTTAGCACAGCAAGAAGAGAGTCAAGGATAATGGCAGCCCAAATTCAGCATTAGACGGCAATGCAGAAGGCCTTATGGCAAAAGCAAAATCAATCAGATGAGGTTTCAAAAATAGATTGAGCTTAATCATGGCCCAAAAGTTAAAGTTTTATCTAGACGACAGTTAGGCATTACTTTATAGAGCTATGAGCCTAGGTTCGATAATATTGAAAAGTTTGTATTTGCGCATGATATAGATCTAGAGGATAGAAAAGATGATTGGTATGCGAGGGTGAGTACAGTGATTATAGTGTCTACAGCGTAGATACTTCTGTGTCGGTCGGTAGCTGATAAAAGTAGATAGGTACCTAGTATTTATTTATACAGCAGTTTTATCAGTTACCTACCTTATTATCTACCTACCTTACTACCGACCTACTACAGAGTACCAGCACTCTAACCCCGGGTCTCAAATTAAAGGGTTTCATTTCACCTCAAAACACAGCCCGTAGCCTTACCACTGGCGCTTTTACCGCTACAACATCTACCCTGTATACCCTGTAGTCCTCGTCTCGCACCGTCTCGCACCGTCTCGCACCGTTCCTAGCCTTAATAAAGCCAACTAAACCTCTTCTCTCAAGCCGAGCCGAAGATTCCCTAATTCTTTTGGTCTGCTGCCAAAAGAAAAACATGGAAGAAAAAGAAAATGGCTGGGGAATCCATTCCTCAATAATTTCCGTCTAATGACTACGATCCATAGAAATCGATTATACTCACTTCGTACACACCACAACCTTGCTTACATTACTACGCAGTACTCCATCAGCTCATATTTTTGTCATTCGTCGCGTGCACAGCATTATTCGATGTTTACATCATCTATATGATCTACTCTTATACCGACGGGAAGCTTGATTGTATGGACACATATCAGAGTACAGCATAGCCCATCCATGATAAAACCTTCTTACCCTTTGAGTGGTCCGACCTTCCTCTATCAGTTTGGAATCTTTTGCACCAGGAGCGGGGAAGAGGACGTTTCCACTGATTTCTAAAATTCACCAGATTCTTTGGAATAGTATTTCCAACTTTTCATACGATGGTACCTCCGCATATAATACCTGGGTAGGTACCTATTCAAAGTTCACTCACTATCTCGATGGCAACATTTTACTATTGGCTCCACTTGCAAGAAAATGGGTCGAGAACCTTCGCCCAACTCTGAGTCAACTACCTACCTAATAATACGAGTACTCTGTACAAAAGTCTACATCCCGAATCCTGATAAGATCAAAAATGAAAGGGGAGGGTGACCGCATTCTGGCCCCTTCCATAGCACCCATACATCCCATACCCCTTCCCTTCCAACAGTCTAACTGCACTCTAACCTCACTCTAACCCCACTCAAGCTTTACGAAATATCATCTTATCCACTTGTGAACTTTCATCCATATCCACTCCATGTGAAGTTATGTCCATTTTGTACAACAGCATGATCAAAAGAGGCCATGGTGTTCACGCACGAACCGTTATCCCCCTCCCCTCAGGGAAGTTGAGTCGACTTGTTCCAAGTCAAAGTGCTTTGCTGGTGATGATTGTGGCATATTGGCATCTTGCTGGATTACGGACTATGAACCCTTGTTGACATGTCAACATCTTACAGGGGATGATTTTTCTGCATGTGTTGTAGGTTATGTGTGGGTGATGGGTTCTGGGTTATGCGAATGCCCAGAATGTCTGCCTTTTAGCTTTAGTTTCCCGAATCCAACCTATCATTACTCAATTTCTTTCTTTTCCTTCGCATTTCACGGCATGAATTTCCGTAACCATCCTCTGTACGTGTAACTAATGATGCAGCTTTAGAGTTCAGCGACTTCAAACTTCGTCCAGTCTTTTTTAATCCACTCTCCATTTCACATACCACCAGAGTGAAAATATATCTTCACAGGGGTGCTTGATGCACCTCAGTCGCGTCCTCGAAACATTATGGACCAAATGTCAGACTCAGCCCAGGATACACAGACGACACCGAATACTCCAGAATTATTGAGTGACGAGGTGAGGCTTCATTCATGTCATCAATTTCATGATACCATAACATTCTGACTTTTGACTCAAAAGATTAAATACTATAATATCAGCTCACCGCCATCAACCATCTCCACAAACACGCATGATATCTCTCGTGCAAGATATCACATGAAAGAGCTCGAGACATTTGCAGTGAGGGTCGAAGAGGTAAATCAATTTATAAACACTCGTATCACGGACCATAATGTTTTTCTTTTCCCTTTTTTTGTATTACTTGTGTCCTTTTCTTTCATGGCGGTCGCTCTGGTCTGGGTACACCAATAACTTTTCATATCTTATCTCTCGGTACAAAATGCTAAGATCCAATGGAGGCTGCTGCGAGGGCTTTTCCCAATCGTGGCCGGTCACGTTATGCAGAAGTTCTAGTGGTCTTGATAAAGTGGGAGGAGAGTGATATAGATGCCCAACCAGAGTTCAATGCTCTGCGTACGATGTTCGAGATATGCTATGGCTTTACCACCGATACGTGGTCGATACCATCGACGCATTCGCATAATAAACTCATGCTGCAGGCAAGTTATCCATCGTTCGGTACTACCCCATATGATGTTGACATGATATAGGCAGTGAACTATATCGAAAAGCATGGGACGGAAGATAACCTTATCATCATCTACTATGGAGGTCACGCGACCATCAATAATTCTCGACAAGCCACTTGGTCTTGCAATGAGGATATCTCCCATGCTTCTGTGCGCTGGTCCGCCATTCAAAGTGTTTTCGAAGAGTCAAAGTCCGATGTGCTGTATCTTTTGGACTGTTGCTCTGCTGCAGGTGCAGCCCCATCTGCTGGACCGGGTGTCATCGAAACGATCGCTGCTACTGATTTCGAAACATGGGCACCCGGTCCAGGTCGCTATGCCTTTACGAATGCTCTTCTTCACGTTTTAGATGAATGGATGCACCGGTCCTCATTTTCAGCGGCTATGCTTCACAGCGAGATTCTCTCTGTTCTTAAGCACGAGAAACCCCCAAAATTTTATCATGGCGATCCATACAACCCGGAAAACCGGAAGACGCCAATTTACATACTCGCTTCCGAGGATCCCAAATCTCTAAGCATTGAGATATGTCGACGCACTACTCCAGGCAATAGTTGGGCTGGCACCTTGTCTTCAGGGACAGTGGACGCTACAGATATATACTCCCCGGAAAACTTGCACGGTTTGACACCAGAGGGCAAGTTGGCGGTGCCACACGTGCTCATATCTATTGCTTTAGAGGAGAATCAGTTAGTGGATGTAGAGGCCTGGCATAAATGGATTCGGCAGTTTCCCGCGTTGGCACAATTCGCCCTTGTGGAAGGGGTATTTGCGAGCCATTCCACTATTATTCTTCTCTCATTGCCAGTGCTAATATGGGATATGCTTCCTGAAAATCTGGCGGTATCTTTTGTGGCATTCGTGGAATCTAGAAACCTTCTATCTCAAATATCTGAAAAGCTGGGCGTGGAAGTTCAAAAACAGCAGCAGCCACCGAAGGAGTTCCGAGGTAGACCAGATTCAGACACGCTTCAAATTCCACCCCCGTTACCCCTCATTCAACAAATTGAGCAAGCTCTGCATAAACAAAAGCAACAAACGATGAAGGATTGGGAAACCCATTTTCAAAAGGAAAAAGTTCGTCTTGAAGCAAAAGTTCAAGATGCTCGCGACGACGCCCAGAAGAAAGAGGTTGAACTTTTGCAGGAAAGAAATCACAGAGAAACATTGGAAAAGGATATCAAGGAGATGGAAAGAGATATGAAGGAGATTAAGAAGGAAAGTCAAGTTATAAAGGAGGAAGCCAGAAGAGCGTGGGAAGAGCTGGGTCGATATGAGCGTGAAGAAAGAGATAGAACAAGAATGCTCGGGGATGGTCAACCAACCACCATTGGTGGAATACAAGTTATCCCGATGGGCCCAGCAGACGGCTTGAATCCGAAGGAAAATAGGGGACGTGTTCTTGGGGATGTGGCTGCTTGGGTAGGAGACGTCAAATCCGAGACGTTTCCACTGCCTAATGGACGAGAAGGCTCAAGAGCAAGAGGACCTCCCGATCTATTAGTTGAACGACAATATCAAGAGCTTGAGGGTATTCACGTAACAGGACCAAAACATCCCGCGAAGCATCTTCAGGAAACTTATCCTAATCACACTGTTGAACTATCCTCACCCATCCACGATAAAACTAACGATATGGCATTTGATGTTCCCCTGCCTCGTCCACCACCAGGATTAGCCAAACCAAAATCCAACGCTTCTCACCAAAGATTTATTAAAGATGAAAAAAGCATTGCCTCATTCAAATCCATCGCTAGCGGAGTGCTATCACCACCCGATAGCGTTGGGAGTGATGAGATAGATGAATCGACCCACGAGGAATACGAAAGTGCCTTGAGTGGTGCTGGTGATGAAGATTTTGGCAGGGGAGACCGCGGTTCTGTGGATTATCTTCAGGAGTTTCTTGACGCAGGAGATGATGCACCTTGGAACCTTCCACGGCAAAGTATCATAGTGGGTAATGGTTCATTACCTCAAGACAACAGAGATAACCAAGGCAAGATACCGGAGAAAGTTTTTGATCCAGATCAAGTCACCCTTGAGCCCAAGTCTTATAGAGCGGAAAGCAAACACGAGCCCACAAAACCGAAAGATTCACACCCCACCGCTTTACTTGATTGGGAAAGACGTGGGATGCAACAAAAGTTGGCTGAGCATACCCTGCCGAGACCTAACGCAGAAACCGCATTAGAGCCTACTAGCCCTGAACCTACGAAAGTCAAAGATGTCGATCCCTTTACCTTACAAGCCTTAGAGAAGGGCCTAGCGCAGGAAGTAGTCGAGCGCGTTTTACCAGGAGACGTTACCCCGCCTCGTAAAAGTCTCGAACTCGCTCCACGAGCAGATGTTGGTCCTCTAACGTTACAAGCACTCAAAACGTATGAGAAACTACAAGAGGAATTGGAGACCCATCAAGCTACAAGACGACCGGGAGCGGCCAGTCGAACACATACCCAACAGGCTTTTCACATATAACTGAAAGAGATGGTGATTGGGAGCCCAAAAGCCCTGGCAAGTTAAACTCAATAGGTAGTCCACATTCAAAGCGCAGGGACGAAAAGGTTGGGAACAAAAAGGCAATGGCTTCAATGGAAGAGGCTTTCAAAATACTAAGGATACCCGAAATGGAAGAACTGAAAAAGGAGCCAGAAATGACGAGGAAGAATTCGGATGGTTCTGGCACAGGCAAAGTTCCTTGGGACAGCGATGAAAAGAGTGTAGGGAGGACCGAATCAGTGAAACACAGCAAAGGAAAGAGTAGTACGAAAAAGGCATTTGAAGCGGTTGATGATGCTGTCAAGAAGGAAGCCGAGGCACTGAAAGAAAAAAGAGGAAGAAGCGGAAGAAGTGGAAGCTTTTAATGAGATTGAGAAAGGGACAAAAGGAGAAGAAACGCAAAGATGAGGAAAAAGAAAAGCCAAAACGAGATGCAGATGAGAAGGATGCCGCAAAAGTATCTTCAGGCCGTGATGCAGACCCCAAACCTCCAATAGTTGTGGGACACAAGCATGACGGCAAGGACTTGTTAGTAGATGGTGAAAAGGCGCTTTCGGCAGTTGACGATGCAATCAGAAAGCTGGTAGCACCAGAGCTCGAAGGACTCAAACGAACGGATTCTCATAAAAGTCACAAAAGCCACAAAAGTGCGAAAAGCCAGAGGTTCGAGAGATCGAAGATGAGCGAGAGCACAAATCAAGAGCCTCTCCCAAAACGTGATGAATCTCCAATTAAGGAAAAAGGCCATCACAGACAGCAATCGATACCAAAATCCGATGACAACCCTGCTAGAGAGACAAAAGAAACGAATCCGAAGTCGCAGAAAGCGACCCATGTCAATCAGCTGAAAGAAGGGGAAACGAATTCAAACTTACCCCTCCAGAAACAAAAGAGTGATAGAGGCTTGTGGTGGATGGAAAGAAAACCTCCTAGCCATCAACGAGAAGAACAAACCCGAGAACATTTGCCACCATATTCACAGAAGGACAAAGGAAAAGCTCAGGATGTGACCTTGGATCCTGTTCCCACGCCTCCTCTCGATTTGTCACCAGAAGCAGAGGACAAGCACGAAATAGGCATTCTACCTCATGAACTAGATGTGCACACTTGGCGGGGTTTTAAGTTTGCTAACAGAGACGTGACACCATCCATGTCTTCACTTCCAACTGCTATGCCTCGTTCAAGCCTCAATACTAGCACAATTGCATCCAGCCCCAACAATCCATGGTCTCAATCAGAGAATTCTTTCGGCACCGTCCTCCCGCAGCGTAACTCACTAGATTATTCACGCGATCCACGCCTCTCATTGGATTTTTCACGAAACGGATCCCCTCACAGCCAAGCTTCTTCTACCAGTAATCGCCACATCTACAACCAATTCTCACCAAATTCCGAAGATCGTGAACGTCCCTTTTCCACCCCAACGATCCCTACACCTCTTGCTAGGGTACCTTCACCCCCTTACCAACACCCTCGCTTCAACTCAAACCACAACGCAAATAACCCCTACTCCCAATTCGCCCAATTCGAACAGTCCCTCTCGTCACCGCACTCTACAACGAATCAATCACCGGATC